ATATACATATATATATATATATACGTATGTATGTATGTCTGTATGTTTACATGCAGCACCACCCGCATTTAGCCCAACATCTAACATTTGTTTGCTCGATTTCCATGTCGTGTCATGTGTTGTGTGTATTCGTTATCTGTCTCGATAATTAGTGTTCATTTGCACCCAAGCAACTATAATTTATATTCAACTCTGCGTCTCTCTCTCTCACTCTATTGCCTTTCAATCACGCTCAATTTGTTAAACAAGCCTTCACATTGCTTATCTCTTTGTTTTCATCGCATAAATATTTAGCTAGTTTTTATTTTGCTCGCTGTAAGCGTTAATCTGGATGAATTCGTTCGTTTTTTCTATCATATATTCAATGCACGTGCTAATGTGCCGTTACGCAATGAGTTATGTGTAATTTGGGCATTAGCTGATGTTTAATTGTGCTTAGGGGAGATATAAAAGTATTGATTTGATATAAATTCCAATTAAATTATTTTGAATTTTTTTATTTAATTTAAATTTACAGTCAACTATGAATCAAATCATAATGACTCTCAATTTACTGTATTTCTTGTTGATTATTAACTTAAAATATCATTCCGATCTTCAACGAATATCCTTAAGAAAGCGTCTGTCAAGCTCATTCCGCGTCTGAGCTAATGTACAAATTTCATAGAAAAGCAATTTCTATCAGAATATAGAAATACATCAGCGCCTTATGGCATCATAAACATGGCAATTGGTTTTTTCTTTGCTAAGAATAACCCGAAACGCTTAAATTATTCTATGTGTCTGCATTACAGCAATTTTGCTATCTAGCCAATATTTAGCAGAAGCAATTCAAGTTGGCCAACGTGCAACGGGCACCGAGCAGGTGCTCAATTACGTGAAATTTTCCATGAATTTTCAATGTGTGTGGGCGGGTTGTGTCAATACGTGATAGAACAAGCAAACGCCTGGCCGGGCGCCTGTTCGCAGTGTCTGCAATGTCTTTCTGAATGACTGGAAAAAATCAACACAATTAAATTTTCAATTTATAAAATTGACGCTCTTGAACTGTGCACTTAAATTGTGCCAGCAGCAGTGGCAAGAACAACAACAAAAACAACAGCAGCAGCAATAGTAATAATGACAGCAATATTCTTGTACTGGCTGCAAAACACTTGCTAATGGAAAACCCATTCATTTACCCAGCCACGCCCCCAGTGGCGCTAGCACTGGCTGCCTCCAAAGTTGTTGTTGAGTACAAATCACATTTGTTAACTGCAATGCCCGGGCAAGTGCTAGCAAGTGCCTCTCTGTGTTGGCAGCGGCAGCAATTTGCATATTGTGTGTGAGTATGAATGTGTATGTATGTGTGTGTGTGTCTGGGTGTGTGTGTTTGGTTGCTTTGGGCTAGGCAGCCATACATTTATTGATCTATGTCAAGTGTAGCCTACTTGGCAGGCGCTGCTAGCGCCACCTGTTGGCTGACAGAAGCAACATGCAAGGCTCATTTCAAAGCAGACAAAACTCAAAACTTGAACGCAGTTTTGTATCTTCCTTTCACGCTGGTGTCAACTTCAGTCACTACAACAGTTCCGAATTCCCGCTTGATAAAAATCGTTTTCTCACACACCCGAAACGGAATTAAATTGAATGCGCGCGACATGGGCAATTGACAGGTACTGTCTACGTGTATATCCGGTCACTGGCATGTCCTGTCAGCAGCCAGGCTATGCAATTTCCACACTCAATCAGAGAGTCTATCGAGATTCTTTGCCATTTCTTGTTTGGCGACAATCGAGGCGGAAAATTCATTTAAATTTGTTGAATAAGCATTTCATGTACGTTTATTTATATACATATATAAACAGGTATATATGCATATCAGGCCGGTGTATTTATCTATATTGGAATATCAGATAAACAAGGTTTGGCTGCGTAATGATGCAGTCTGAACTTATTTATATTATATATTGTGAGCAATATTTATATTTATTGTTATAATTTATTCACTTCCAACTCTCTCTATAATATATCCATATGCTGATTCAATTGGAGTCTCCCTATATCAAACTTGAAATCAATTTGTGATAAAAACTAGCTTCCACTTGGTCCTGCAGTTGATTATTATTGATAGTTGATTATATGATATACCACAGCGTCCTTCCCAAAAAGAATAAAAATAAAATAAAATGTGTGTGTGTGTGCGTGGGTGAGTGTGAGTGTGAAGGCAAAAGTTAGGCATTGCATTAGTGGTCTGGCGCTGGTCAGTTTGAACCAGTGACTGCCACTTGTGCCTTAAGCTGCCATTGTCATGCAAATTGCTGTATTTTACTGTAATTTTATTTTAAAGTATTCAGCAACCCGCATAGAGCATTGAGTTGTTGTTGTTGCGTTTGTGTGTGGTTTGAAATTGAATTTTCCCTCTTCGCACGCTCAGTTTATTTGGGGAATAGTGAACGATTACGTATGCTTTAGTGTATATTGACAGGGGACCATAAACGGTTAAGGTAATTGGAGTAGTTGAGGAGGAAAGAAGTGGCGAAAGAGACGGAGAGAGGGGGAGTGAGACAAATGAACATGCAAATACAAATATAGATCTCAAATAAAGATAAATATGCAGAGACAGATACATATACAGATACAGACAGATAGAAATACAGATACAGATACAGAGATAGATGTATATAGATATAGATATATCTATATAGATAGAGATATATATAGATATAGATATAGATATAGATATAGATATAGATATAGTTATAGATATAGATATAGATATAGATATAGATATATCTAAATATAGTTAAATGTACAGATACATAGAGACATAGATACAAAGATATATGTAGTAGAGAGAAGGAGAAATGAGAAGGGATATAAAAAGGTAGAAATGAAAAGAGACAGACAGAAGGCGACAGACAAAAGGGGTGGACTAATAGATATAACAAAATACACAGAGCTCTAACTGACAAATTTATATTTTATTGCATACAAATGAATGAGAATGAAAGTGAAAGAGAGAGAGAGAAATAGCTAACAAAGGAGAGCAAGAGGGAAATTTATAATACGAAGTTTTTACTCATTCAGATTCATTAAAATTTTTCTCATTCATTCCAACTCAGTTGATTAAATGTCAAAAGATTTTCCTTTGGCACGAGCTGCGCCATTTGAATAAAGCTCAACTAGCAGAAGGAGAGAGAGAGAAAGTGAGAGAGTGGCGTATTATCTCCTTCTGAGGCTCGCTCGAGTGAAGCAGCGACATTTGCATAAAATTCAAAAAATTTCCATTTGCAATTTGAGGCACTTTTGTGGCTGCCCAAAGACGGCGGCCGGACTGACCGTCTGGCCAAATTGACCATCGTCGCTGAGCATAATACTATGTGGCCCTGCCGCAAGCTGCACTTGCAACGCTTTCTTCCAGCATTGACACTGACTTGCCACAGTCGCAATTGATGGCCAGACGATATTGTCGCAATTCGACTTAAAATCAATAGACGCTTAAGAGAGGCCAGCGCACAGCGTTTGCCTGTGTCTGTGCCTATGTGTGCCGCTTAATATAACATGTGTGCTTAACAACAACTGAGCCGCGTTGCAAGAACTGGGGCTGGCATGGGTCTAGCAGCCGGCATTGAAATCAAACGACGGAAGTGGCCCAGCGGGCTAAAGAGTTAAAGAGCAGAGGAAGCCGCCGCGAAGGGGGTAGTTGGTGCAAAATTAGCTTTGCCAATGCCAAGGCAATGAATGGGTTGCTTCGTTTAATGGCTGTCACAAGAAGGGAAATGGCCTACAGGCACCCACACACACTCTTACCCACACACATTCTAACGGATATAATTTAGCTGGCAATCAAAGCGGAAATAGAAACTAGAAAATTGACAAATACATTTCGCAATTCGCATTTCGCTTCGCATTTGATATTACTCATGCGCCCCGAAGGCCGAAGGGAACGAATGACGCATAAGTTTTAATTGCTGCAATTACGTTTCGATTTCGTATGCAAAATATTAAATGCTAAATTTTAAATGCAAAATGCAAAATGCAAAATGCAAATGCTCAGCTAACTAAATGCGAGCACGCGTTTGTTTTTTATATTTGCAGACGAATCAGTCAAAGTTTAGCATAAAATGCAAATTCTTGGTGTGTGTGAAGAGTGTGATGAGTTTATGTGTGTGTGTGATGTTTGCCTGCTCGCTGCTTGCTTGGTCTGTGTTTACCTTAACCCAAATGCTGGCCAAAACTTTAACCACACACGCAAGGGAGTACCAAATGCTTGTACCCACACATATATACACACCTGGCAGGTGCTAAATTTGCCCATTACGTTGATGAGCTTTCCATGACTATATGTGTGCCCTACCCTTAGTTCCTAATTGAGTTAGCATAATATTATTGCTGTTTTACAACATTGCTCTACTTGTTCTATGTTTCTAGCCCCATTCTTGAGTTTAAGTTTTGCGTCTATCAGCGCTAGCTAAAGATAAGCATTAAAGGGATTTATATAGCATTATAGCAGATAAGCATTAAAGAGATTTATATACTTAAAGTGAACTCGTTATACTGAACTCGTTTGGTATTCTATGTCTAATCTAACAAGCGACTGTGTATGTGGCTTCATTACAAATACCAAATTATTTTGGTCTGTGGATCGAAAGGAAACATCTTAGACTCTTAAAGACTGATTTAAGGCAGGCAGCAGTCCATAAATCCCCATAATTATAGAAACTTGTTCTGCATATGATTAAGAAGCACGTGTGTAGCTATATTTGCAAAGCCCACACCAAAGCCGAAAGGGTCTTGACACGAATATAACTCAGAAGGAAAGAACAAAGCCTTATTGGCTCAGTCAAGAACTGCTTTAACCGCCTTTGCACTTACATAAGCACAACGTGCTCTCTTTTCAATTATATTCAACGAGTGCAGCTCATAATTAGACGCACGAAAGCTTGAGCGTCGAGAATGTAATCAGAAACTCGATTTGAACTTGTTTTTCCGCTAACATGCGAAAGGCTGAGGAGTACTGTAGGAAATTCGCATTTAATTCAATTTGCAGTATGCATCAAGGACAAGTCTAGAGGCGCTGTAGACAAGGGAGAAGCAGGAGCTAAAGCAGCAGCAGCGGCAGCTCCAGTGCAATCGCTGCTTTTAATGAGCCACAAACTTAATTGTGATGAGCTGCAGTCACGCGGCAGGCGCTCAAGTCTTTTGGGAGCTGGAGCACATAGTGAGGCCATCGCCCAGACAGGCGCTGTAGGCCATCATGTGGGGTATGGCGCTCTGTTCGTAGACGCCGGTAAACAAATGGGACCAGGGACCCAATGCATAGACCAGCACATCATCGCCGCCATGAGTTTCCGAGTCCAAGGGCACGCCCGCTGGAAACTCATCCTCATGATGGCCTTTAATCAGCGTGGTGGGATCAATGCGCTCCATGGTATCGGCATTATAGAAGTGCTCAGCACTGGGACCATTCGCATAGCTGAGAATCATGTGTGGCTTCTTATCGTTGCCATTGGCTGGTGCCGTGCCAAAGACATCTGCGCCGCGATACTACAAGCGGAAGAAATTGTAAATTGATTCAAGGAAATTCAGTAAGCGTCTGCTTGCTTACCCCATAGCCCGAATAGGTAAAGGCATGTGAGTGATCCGCTGTGATCACCAACAGGGTGTCCTCCTCGCTTGTCAGCTCGCGTGCAGCGGCAATTGCCTTGGAGAACTCGATGGTCTCGTCGAGCGCCATGCGCGCATAGTTGTCATGATGCGCATGATCAATGCGACCGCCCTCAATGAACAGGAAGTAGCCCTGCTCGTTCTGGCTCATGTACTCAATGGCCTTGCGTGTCATCTGCTCCAGAGTGGGCTGTCCGCTAGCCTGTTCAAGATCCTGCAGGTGATACAACAAATGATCGTTCTGGAAGAGGCCCATCACGCGCTCCGGTTTCGTTACATCCAATGCCATCAGCTCTTCCGCTGAGGTCACATAGGCATTGCCAGCACTCTCCATCTGGAACTCCTCAATCAAGTCCAAGCCATCTGACCGCTTGCCCCAATCGGCCAGAGTTTTATCCACGAAATTCTTGCGACCGCCGCCCAGTATGAGCTTCAGCTTGCTGCCCACTTCGCCTTTGATCAGCTGATACGCAATATCCTCCACACCGGAATTCTGGCCACAATCATCGGCTACATCCGTATCGCTTTCCCAGTCGCGCTCCGCAATGTGTGCATAAACGCCCGCAGGTGAGGCATGTGTTACACGTGTGGTGGTCACCAGGCCTGCCCACTTGCCCGCATCCATGGCCCACTTGGCAATGGAGTCAACGTTTGTGCTCTCGTCCAACTTGACCGTGCAATCAGTTCGGGGCACAGCGCCAGTGACGCCAATGGTGCCCTCCTGTCCCTTGACACCGCACAGGTAAGCCGTAGCCGTGCACGCCGAATCGGGTACAGTCAAGTCCACGGCATAAGTCTTTGACAATCCCGTATATGGAAAGTGATCAAAGGAGAGCGACTTCTCCTCGCCGCCTAGCAAATTGCGTGCTGCCGATGTCGTTGTCACGCCCATGCCATCGCCCAGGAACATAATCACGTTCTTAGCTTTGCCCACATTCGCTTGTTCGCTCAGCTTTTGCTTGATGAACTGTACGCCTTGGTCACGCCAGTAGGCAGAATTCTCCTCGCCCGCCAGACGGGGCTGCTGCTCTTTTTGTTTGGGCTCCTCCATATCCGGATGCATAGCCCGATCTTGGCAGTATTCAGAATTGCGCTTGCATTCAGGCGCTGCCCAGCTGCAGCCGCTGAGCAAAGCGATCACAATCACGACGTGGTAGAGGAGCAACATCTCGTTGAAGACTGGTCAACGGGCAACGACTGGCGCTGGCCAGTCGTCAGCCAAGTACCCACTTGCAAGACTTCTGATTACGTTGCGGATAAGATAGCGCTGGACACGGTCAAAACCAGCGCAAATCTAATGTGATAATCCCCTCGCCTCTCCCAACCTCCAGGCCTCGACTCGTGCACGTATTTACGACCATCTACGCGAATTTATGGATTTATTATGTTTCATTGCGAACTTGCATCATAAAAACACAGCACGTGAATTGTTGCATATGTGTAAAATAAGTTATTTTTATGATAAGACCAGAGGGAACAGAGAAATAGGGTAAAGGGTGTAAAAATCGTTAAAAAAAATTCCCATTTTATATCAACAAATCTGTCTGAAGCAAAAATGTTTTTCAGTCCAGTATTTGGGTTGGCTTCTTATTTACTGCGTAAAGAAGTTTCGAATTATGAAGTGGGTGACTAGGATACACCCTATATTGAAAGTACGAACATAGATACTTATCGATTGCTGGCATGAGGCTCGATAATGTGTTGTTGTGATATTAACTGGCTTAAGAAAACTGCAAGTCAAGCATGTATATAACATATCAATTCAGCCACCTGAATATACCCTATATTCAAAATCGATATTTATCGATTTTTTGGGGCTAACATGCCACATTATGTGCACATAATTGATAAAGAAGACATAGCAATACTTATATATAAGTAATATGCTAAAGAAGATGAGCTTCTGATATCCTTTAACTCGGTAACTTCAAATATGTACACAGCGATATTTATCGATTTTACTGGCAAGTATATTTAAAATATAACGAACAAAGAATAGTCTTTCTGAATGTTCACAAATCAATATCTATCGAATCAGAATTGTTTTTAAGCTTTTGTCTGTAGATTGTCCAATAAAAATTTACCATCTTAAGCCTTTTGTCCATGGGCAAAGGGTACTAAAGTTAATGGGAAAATCAAGAGTTATAAATAAATAAAAATACCACGAATTATGAACAAACTTGCTGTTAGCTTGTAACTAAAGCAAAACTTATCTAATCGCAGCAGCTTAAATGCCACTCATGTTTATATATATATATATATATATATATATATATTTATTTTGATAGAGATCTGTGCAGATATATGTATATACGTAACAAAAAAGAAGTGCATACTAATGAAATATTTCTTATGGAGCAGTTCCACTCTCTTTTGTATTCTTGAATAACCGCATTTCATTTATATGACTCATAAAAGCTGTTTTCCGTAATGAAAACTTGACCAGGCACGTCCCACACCCACACACACACACGCAACAAGTTTAATGGAAAAGCGGGGCATTTCTCTGCACAAAGTGCAGAATTAGAAACAAAAATAGAAACCGCAAAACTCATTTGGCAAAAAGAAAAAGGAAAAATTAAAATAAACCGAAAAGGTGAAAGGTTGATATAAATGTGAAAGTTGGGAAATGACGAAAGAAAAGTGCGCGAAATGCCACTGACGCTAAGTTTGTATACAGAATACAGAATACTATATATATATATACATCTACTATATATATAGTAGATAGCAGTTGCATTCTGGCGAAAAACTTGCTAATTTTATAAAGTTTAATCAGTTGAAGTTAGTTTTTAGGGACAGACGAACTTTTGCTTGTTGGCCACTTTGACTCGTCTTATCGGACCAACAAATTATGTGCCTGCTGGCGCAAACCAAACAACTTGTGGCATTTTGAGACAAGAAATAAGTAGGTAGTTGTGGTCAGACGAATATGAAATGCCCTAACAAACAGAAATGCCCTGAGAAAAATATGTGGTAAAGGCAGCAGCTGTGACTGGGCTTGGCCAAATTTTTGTAAATAAAAAATATACAAAATTATAAGATAAATACAATTTCATGTTTATGCATTTGCAAGCCTAGAGCACAAAGCAGAGTCAGTTAACATACTTACATATATTTTGGTTCTATACATTCCGATTAAACATATATGTATTATATTATATTATATATTCCTTCATAGCTTCGTAGCTGTAGCTGACAACGTTTTCATGCTCCGTTGTAGAGTATTATAATTGGATTTGCGCTGGGCTTGGCACATTGCCAAATCAAACGAACGCTCTCTCTCTCTCTCTCTTCTCTTTCTCTCCCACCCACTCGCTTTAACAATAATTCTTTATTCTAGCAAAGATTTCATTGCACAGCCTGAATAATGCACATATTTATGAGCACTACACTGCGTATACGTAATATATGTTTTTGTTATTTTCAGCTGCTTCGTTTTTGGCAATTGATTTTGGCCACGAGCGGGGTGTTTGTTCTTGTCACAGTCTAGTTAATGCCGCCTAATAAATTTCCAAATGCTGTTGTACAGTGTCAAGATTACGGCCATTTAGCCAACGGCAAAGCGACCATTAATCAATGCGGCTGTTAGTTATGGCCACGTTTAAGCTGTGCGATTGTATTAACTTGATTTAAGTTGTAATCCATGTGCCTTAATTCTTCTTCTTTGCAGAAAATTCATATTGATACCCATCATCGAGGAAAGTACGTACGAGAAGGATGTCAAGTTCAAAGTGAACATTGGCGAGCCTCAGCTGGCACCAGGTGAGTGTTTGGGCCAACAGGTTGCGAACTCAACAGTTTCAAACTCAATTTTAAAAGCACTGAAAAGCAAGAAAAAATCCAAACCAGCTTTCCCGACACAACAAAAAAAAACAGTTTCACTTCCTGATTTCTCTATATATGTGTGTGTGCGTGTGTGTGTGTGCGCGCGGTTATTCTTACAAAAGCAAACTCAATTTGTTGTTAACCAAATTATATGAAGAACTCGAACAGAAGCCCAAAAAGTGACTCAAAATGGATCTGAATATTTTTTAATAAAGTTAATGGCACAACTTGAGCTGTTGCCAAAGCAATAACCGCAGTTAGTGCACAAGAACACACACACACACCTCCTAACTCACACATATACAGCTCTGCTGTAGGCAATAGCCATTTGAATGATGTGAAGGCAATCATATGGCACTCTTTACTCTTAGAAACTAAACTTCGTTTAATTTCCTTGCATAATTTTGTTTGGTCTCTTTTCGTTTGTGTTCTTTGTGCTTCTAGATTCCGCTCACTACCGTAAGACTTGAATTGTGCAATTAATTAATTTTATTTGAATTGAAAACGAACGAAACCATAAAAGAAACAGAAAAAAAGTGGGAAAAAAACAAACAATTCTTGGGTTACGATTCCTTCAGTTCTTAACTCGAATTCCGTACTGCGCCTAGCGTTAAATTTCATTTGCGATAATTGCGAACAAAAAGCGCAAATTTCTATAGTTTAGTTCTGTGTTTCATTTGATGTTGTATGTTATTCCTTTTTTCTTAGAATCCTTTTTTGTTGGTCGCTAGGCAAACAGGAGCGGTTGAAAAGTAGAGAGAAAAAAGGTTATAAAGAAGCAAAACTCAAAAAAGACTTAGTCAAATTAAAAGTTAAATTTTTATTTGCTTTTAATGATAAATTTTAACAAAAATAAAATAATTATTAAAAATTAAAAATATTATTTTCTTCTAAACAACTTTTTTAAATAGATTAAATTTGAAAAAAAAAAGATAAATGATTCTTATTATTTTTTATTGTAAAACTGTTCATGAATTATTCAACTTTTATTTTATTTATTTTATTTATTTTATTATAAAGGATTTTGCTAAGGAAAAATTAAATTTAAACCTGAATATTATAAATTAAATATATATATTTTTTTCATATAAAGAACTCCATATACACTTCTTATTGAAAATCATGAAATATTAGAATACATCAATTTAATTTTCACTGATCTTTCGCTTTAGTTTTTTATCAAATGGTAACAAATCTGTTTGAAGAAATAAAAAATTATTATCCATGATTTATTTATATTTTTTTTTTTCAACTGTGAAAAATTGCCTTAGCTCTCTTAACAATTTTTATAGAAAAGTATATGCTTTCTTGTGTATTTACGTTTGAACTAGTACTCTTTTATTTTTGTTTGATATCAACTCTGTGTAGCTGCCCTTTTGTCCCCTCCTGCAGTCCGTAGCACTCTACACTCTTTGTTTTTTATTTCAGTATTCTATTTGATTATACATTTTGTAGTTAATATAATTATTAATAATATTGAAATATATTTTAATATGTCTCACATCATGCATTAATGTAACTTTTGAACAAAACTAATCCGATTCCCGATATGATATATATATATATATATATATATATATATATATATATATATATGAATCTATGTGTATGTAATATTTGATAACACACTACAACAACTACAACAACAACAACAACAACCACCAACATTGCAATTATCCTCACGCAGATGACACAAATAAGGAATCATTTTTCCATCGATTTTTTGGTAGGTAAAAGTATTCTTAACACTTTTAACTCATCTTCAATTCTCGAAAAGTGTTTATGTTCAGTTAAAAATACAAAAAAAAAAAAACAAAAAAAAACAAAAAAGCTTTAAAAATTTCACATATTGAAGGCTTTTCATGTGCTGCGTACCGCTGTAATCGAATCTCATTGCAATTTGTTTTTTGTTCCACACACATTACAACATTATTTAAATCTTGGCTGCAGTAAAAAAGGCTATAAAAATGCTACAAAAATAACAAAAATACCAAAATATATGTAGATTCTTAATAAAGGATAGAGTTTAAAAAGCAAACCGTTCATACAGACAGACGTACAAAACTAATATACTCTTTCCACTTTATAATACTCTTTAAGAATAAAAAATAAAGACTTAAGACTTAATAAAGCTTAAATAATATAATGCAGTTGAAGTTGCGACTATATTCTTTATTGCCAAATAACTTTGGGCAGCCTTGATTTATACACCCCTAGCAAGAATCATTCGTTCATAATATAGATGATAGATCTGTGTCCATATTCTGTATATATATTGTATGTGCGTGTGTGTAATTCATTGTATATGTATCGCATGTAAACAAAAAAGAGTGGAGAAAAAATTGCGCTTTTTCGACGCAGAAAATGTCTTAAAGTTAGAATCAGCTGAGACGTATTTAGCAAGAAGAAAAAAGCGAAAAAGTAAATGAAAATTTTGCTCACGGTTCGTCTTCAATTGAAATAAAGTTTTTGGGCAAATTGTGGTTAAAGACATTTTGTTGGTAAACTTCTCTATGCTCGACGTAACACGCGCTTGTGCCCGCTTCTGTTTGTGCCCCGAAACTCGAACTCGAACTCGATACGATAACATCGACTATATATACATATACATAACAAATCGTTTAACGATTCCGCATCAACTCGATTTGTAAGTAAACGCACACAAGATATTATTGAATAATTCCTTATATTTTTTTTGTGGAATACCCCTATTATTTTTGTTGATTTTTATCTGTGTGTGTGTGGTTGCATTTTTTGGCCAAATTTGATTTTTTGAACGGCTTTTGAGTTAACATAATCGCAGCAGATGTTGTTCGATGTATTAGTCTCTTGTTGGTTTATGTGTATGTTAGAGCAACCCCACCGATTGCATAATCACAGGGTATACTAGCCGAGCTAAAGCTAACACAAAACAAAAAAGATAAAAAATATTTAAATTTGTATTGGTTGAATGCATTAAATAAATTTCTTAACTGAACATAGCAAATGAACAAAAGAAAAAAAAAACAAATAAAATATTCAATTTGTATTTGCATCTGAAATAAACAAACAATATATATCTTGTTTAAAATATTCCTGTTCTCCAAAAAAAATACCAATTTGTTGTCACCTTCCACGTATTCAATCGCTGTCTATAGAAAATCACACTGGAGATCATACTCGTGAGTCATCCTTATATCAGTAATATGTCTTAATTGTCTGTCTCTGTCTCTGTCTCTCTCTCTGCATGCATTCTATCAATCAATCTAACATATTTTATATAACAGCTTATAATTTCCGTTGACTGAGCGAACTTATAATAATTTTAAATGTATAGAAATAAGTTTTAACTAAGTTTCTTTAAAGTTTCACTTAGAAGTGTGGAAAATAAGTGAAAATCATTTTATTGTACTTTTATTTAATCATAACTGTAAGCTCTTGGGTTCTATTAGTCGACTTTCTTTAGAATATGATTAAGTAAGCCTTAAAAAACTTCCAACAATTCCAGACTATTTGGGAATCCACTGTTGTAAGTGGAAAACTGAGCATATGTTGTTATAGTCACTTCTCTTTGTCAAGTTATGAAATCTCATACTTTAATAATGAGTATGGTTTTACAAATTCACTTCTTTAGGTGAAAGTTGAGTGAAACAATTGTTTATAAAATTCACTGTTTAAGCAATTGCAATTTAAAAGCTTTTAGATCAGTTTATGAATGAAAATTCATATTACCTGAATAAATATTTATTCAATCTAAATTATATAGACGTCGTCTTAATATAAATTGGGACAGTAAATTTATAAAAATGATCAGAAATATTTTCATTTTTCATTAGTGAAATTCTGGACAAATTAAAAAGAAAAATCATTAAAACATTTCATGGCAATTCTAAGCGAAGTTTTCATTTCATTTAGCTTCATTTGCATGCAATCAGTAACTGCAACTGTAACTGTAATTGTAACTGTAACTGTATCTATATCTGTATTTGTATCTGTATCTGTATCTGTCCCTATCTCTGTGTAGCTTTTGTAGATTTACTTGATTTGTTTTCTCATTTAATTGCAAATTTTGCAGCTGTAGAAATTCGGAATCCACAAAATATTTCTGCAAGCAATGCACTCAATTCCAAACAATTCTCTAAAATTAGCAAACTTTTACTGTCTATGTTTATGTATGTGTGTATTTGTGGCAAACATATATGTGTATATACGTATATATTGAGACGTATATATGCAGCTATGTGAGTGGACCTCAAGAATTCTGGTTAAATGCCAGACTTCTGTGCAAAATATTGTATACTAATTAATATTTACACCTTGATTTACCTTGGCCCGCACAGACGATGAACTATTAGCGGAAATCCATAATGTGGAAAAGAAACGAGCTGAAGACTTAACAGATCTCGAACGCATATTGCTAATGAGCAAGCCACGAAACGGAGAGCTGACCACTACATACATACGCATACGGGAGAGCTCGGAGTTCAAGGTAAGCATATCCAATTATGACTACAGATAATAAATGCACTTGACAGCAGAAATCTGTTGTGAATAGGCACTTAACACACCCATGCACACGCACACACTCAACCGAGCAACACTCACTGTTAGACATTATAATGATCCTTGTGCACATACCACATCAGACAGCTTAATGTCCAGAGCGGTTGCTGTAATACAGACAACAAGTTGTAGGGCTGAGAGGTAGTCGACTAAAGGATGACCTATACACTCTACAAACTAGTCTCCGAAAAATATCTTTAAGATATGTTTTGGAATTTGTTATCGATTACAAGACAACACGATACTGTTATCGATCAATTTACATAAATCATTGTATTAACAGCTAAAGTTTCCATGACGTTCAAACTGCTTATTCTACTGATTGATACTATATAAGTATTTGCTATATATACTTCAGATAAGCTGACAACTTCACATTCACATTCACTTTTCTCTGATCACATTAACCACTTTGTCGCCATTTTCAATGGGTATATGGGTATAACAATGACATGAGCAACAACAAAAACGAGACTACGAGAGCATAAAGTGGCTCAGGTGTCGTTGTTACACTTGGCAGTTAAGCTAAACACACCTGGCTAGCACCTGTCGTGCAACTAAGCACCTAATTGTCTCTAATCTTCAAATGAAATGCTTTGTTTCCGGTGTGCATGTGTGTGTTCGTCGTATGTGGCGTATACTTGATATGCGAACACGTATACGTAATATTGTAAAATAAAGCTAAACTACTATGAGTAAATATGTATGTATCTTTATAGACTACTGTGGACAAGCTGGTCGCCAGGGCAAACGTTTCAGCTGTGCTGGGCACATCCACGTGGAAGGAGCAGTTCAAGGATGCGCTTACTGTTGTACCAGGTAAGCTATATCAATATATCTCTATCGATTTAGAGCCTGAGGGATAGCGCGGAAGCGAGAAAGAGCGAAAGCGCGAAAAGGAGAGAGCGACAGCGAGCGAGAGCGAGAGAGAGAGCGAGAGCGAGAGCGAGAGCGAGAGCGAGAGCGAGAGCGAGAGCGAGAGCGAGAGCGAGAGCGAGAGCGAGAGCGAGAGCGAGAGCGAGAGCGAGAGCTAGAGCGAGATGCGAGAGCTAGAGCGAGAGCGAGATCTATATCTATATCTATATCTATATCTATATCTATATCTATATCTATATCTATATCTATATCTATATCTATATCTATATCTATATCTATATCTATATCTATATCTATATCTATATCTATATCTATATCTATATCTATATCTTTATCTTTATCTACATCTAAATCTACATGACTCTGTCTTAACATTTACATCTATATTTTTCTCCCAGGTGACGAGAATGACCTAGACGCCGAGGAAGATGTCGGAGAGGAAGTACCGAAATGCGTGGATTATATCAGCCATTTCATTTGCCTATTTTGGAAGGTGCTGTTTGCATTTGTGCCGCCCACAGGTAACAACGACGCCCAATATTGAATCGATTGATTTGTAAATCATTTACGTTTTACAGATATATGCGGCGGCTATGTCACCTTTGTTATTTCTATATTTGTCATTGGCGTTCTAACCGCTGTTATCGGAGATGCGGCAACTTACTTTGGCTGTGTGTGCAACATCAAGGACTCGGTGACAGCCATTTGCTTTGTGGCCCTAGGCACCAGTATACCAGGTAAAATGAGCTTTACATTCGGCTTGATACTTATCGAAAATTCATATAAATTTGTATTTGAGATTCAGTTTATTCTCCTCTTAAGCTGATAAGTCAAAGAGTAAATGTCACTAGCAGATACAGTTAGCGTGAAGATAGCCAGCCTTTTCTTCGCAATAATAAGTGTCTTTAGACTAAAGAGAATTTTCTTGAAGGAAAGGTTTATGATAAAACCTTCTAAGGACGAAAAGGCTATGGTCTCATAATAAAGTAGATGGCTAGAAATTGAACACAACTTTATCCTCACGGTAAAATGTGACTTAGCCAGAAAAAGACTTGACTTTAAAAAATATAGTTGAGTGTCTAAAATTGATTTAAAGATAATTAGAGAAAATATTATTAAAATTTAAATCTGTTCCTCATGTTAAAATAACCAGTAAGTTCCATGTACCATGTTGAAAACGTATCAGTCAATTATGTAATATGATAAGGATACAAACAGCTTTGTCCTCGTCTAATTTTAACTTGCCTTGCAGATACATTTGCCAGCATCATTGCGGCTAAACAGGATGCGACCGCGGACAATTGCATTGGCAATGTAACGGGCAGCAATGCGGTCAACGTATTCCTGGGCATTGGACTGGCGTGGTCAATCGCCTCGATCTATCATGCAGTGAATGGCTCAACATTCAATGTAGAGCCCGGAACGTAAGTAGAAAACCCGCGAGATCGCTAGCTGTAGCAGCTGTACTAATACTAGAAACAATTGCAGCATTGGCTTTGCTGTAACGCTCTTCTGTGGCGAGGCTCTCATTGCAATTGGTGTTTTGATGTTTCGACGATCGACCAAATCGATACGTGCTGAACTGGGTGGACCCTTTATTAGCAAATGGCTTCATGCATCGATATTGCTCTTGCTGTGGATTGTATATCTGATCGTGAGCACCTTGGAGGCATATGATATCATCATAGTTTAAACCGATCGTGCGATGCAATGCAGAAACAAAACCAGGTAGCTGTAGCGAAGCTTTAGAGAGAATATATATATATCCAAAATGAATAAACAGGAATTTTATTAATATGATTCAAGTCTAAAATGTATAATAATAATGTATTATGTTTTAACTGTTAAATATTGAGAATTAAATCAAATTTATGTTAATATTAAAAATTTTAATGTTTAATTAGTTCTTAGGTGTGGCTTATTTTAAATAAATATATATATATATATATAGATATATATCCATATATATATATATATTGTTTCATTTTAAGTAATGTAAATACAAGAAAGGCTGCCCCGGGCTCAGCAAACAAGCAACGTGATCATTCAGTTACACACATATAAATATATATATATATATATTTATACATAAAAGCAGCATTCAAATAAACGATAAACGATAAATGATAAATGATAAATGATTAATTATATTTGATATATGATATGTATTCGCTTGTCTCTATGTTTGAAATGTTCTTAATGCAATTCGAGTCATTCTTAAAATTATTATAATTATTATTATTATAATTATCATTGTTGTTGTTTGTTATAGCTGTACTTAATATATATAAATAATTCAAACTGTCTCTCCATTAATTGTCACAATCAGCCATTGTTAATTTAATACATGTGTAAGCCCTAGAAAATGTATTCTTTAAAATATAAACAAAATAAAAAATTTACAAAATTTATATATATATATATAACCGACAACTATTTCTAGTCAACCGCACTTTTAAGCAACAACTAACAGCTTCTGTAGTCTTAACTAAATTTAAACTAAACTCAACTCAACTCAAAACAAAAAACCAAACTCCGACCAATTGAAATTGCGGCACTTTTTAGTACGACCATCAGTGTTTAAGTACACTGCACTACATAAATCTACTTACTTGAAAGACTTTCATTTCACTTTGTCATCTATGAAACGATAAGCGATTAACGATTAACGATTAACGATTAACGATATTAAGGCATAACACCAAAATGTTTGTTAAATGAAATTGTATTTTTTGTATAATGTTATTCTATTTTTTTAATAAAACATTTTGAATGGTTACCAATATATATATATGAAGATATATATATTAAATAAATATACTCAATAATCAAATATATATATATATATATATATATATATATATATATATATATATATATATTGAAAACCTACATAAAGTAAACTTGATGGAAAAAATGCGCCAAATCTAGATATAGATATATACCCAAAAAAAGAGAAGAAGAGAAATATACGATTAATATCGAATACATTTAAGTTATGAATATAGTCGAGAAATGTATTTAATTCAATTACATCTATCACATTAATGTCTTTTGCTCTTAAGTTATATGAAAATTAAAATTGAATTTTTCAATTATTTCGATTATTGTTTCGTTTTGGTTTTCAGTTTTTAAATATTTTTTGGAAAACTATTTCGAGGACTAAATTGAATGAGAAAGGGAATGACCGAGTACATAATACTCGTTCACGTTTCATTCTAAAATAAATGGCTCTATATAATAGTATATAATAGTTTTTATAGTCTGTGGAGCAGGTCAACAAAAGTCATTTTCTCAAATTTTGTGGCTCTAACTGAAAAACTAGAAGATTTTCTATCCAAAAATCTTAATCATAAATCTTATTGAGAGGAAAATACATAGAAATATTTATGGTAAATTGCAAGCTTGCAGCTTAAGACGAACATTGCACACAACTAATATACTCTTTTCACAGCGTGAACGAGTATCAGAAACCAAAACTGGAAGTTAACAGGCGCTGCGCATAGAACGCAAACAGAATCAAGTTAGATTCTAATAGAATGTAGAAGAACAGTCCAAAACAGCTAAAAGAAAACAGAAATATAATAAATGAACTAAGAAGCAAATCTTATCATACAGCATATAGTATCTATATATAAATATATAAATCTGATTTACTTCAAGGCAAAGGCAAATAAAACGAGTAAAGTGCTTCCGATATAGAATTTAGGTATATACTTCTATAGATTTACCAAAAAGAAGAGCAGAAAAACTAAAAAATACTTAATAGATCTATTTTATACTTATATAATTTAACGAATATTATCTTCTTTTTTCTTTCAGTTGGAACAAATTCTTTTTTGGTTTTCTTTAAAACATCCAAATTTTGTATTTCTCTTCTAAAAATACATTCTATATATTAATCATTTCGTGTTTTTTATAATGTATTTTGTATTTAAACTTTTCATTGCATTTTTGATATAGTATATTATTCTAGACCCTCTACATATATACATAAAAAACAAAAAAAAAAACACATTTACTTCAGATATACTCCAGATATCTTAGCTTAAGTAAATATAAATAATAACAAAAAATACTTTGCTACAAGAAATAAAATATTAACTACTCAAGATATTAGCATATTGCGTGGGTCAACAATTTTCGATTCCATCTATATGTCATACTATATATGTAAACTCTATGAAAATAATCTCCCCACAAAATATACGAAAACTTTAGCCAAATATGTGAAAATCCCCCCAAAAGAAAACTATCCATAAACGTATTTATGCACGATATATAAACTCGATGTTTAACCATATATATACTTATATAGGTTTAGTACTTAGGGAATTCCATGGCATTACTCAAAGAGTCTAGAGTCGAACATATGGCTAGGTATATGTATTTCCCAGCATGTTAATCTCCCCCCAAAAAGAAATACACAAATCGAAAATCAAAAATAAAACGAACATTTGTCTTAAACTCAAGTTTATAAGTGGAACATTATGCTTTATCTGGGCAGGGGCGCTTATTTGCGGGGCCTGTCGCTGGGAAACTGGGCGACAATTGCCAGTCAATTGCTATTATGCAAGAGATTACATGGCATCTGGAATAAAAGACACCAAGAAACCGAGAAACGCGCGGCTACGATAAGAGAAATCTGTGCAAGTCTCTGCTCGAGGCGGAAGATGCGCGCAGATGATGAGTTGAAAATGACAGAGGCAACAACAGCAACAGTAAGTCGGCGATAAAGTTGTTTACAGGAATCTGAAAAAAAAGCGGCAATAAAACAACAAAACAAAACAATAAAAACCAGGAAAAGTCTAGAGCTGTCGCTGATGTAATACCCTCGCATGGGGCTTCATAAATATTTCAAAAATGTTTTCTATATGAAATTGCAATTCTCTTAAAATATATTTAGTTTATAAAAATTTTTAACATCCAAAGAAATTTTAAAAAAAAATTCAATAAAATGCGAATGACAGCAAAAGTCTGCAGATAACATGGATGAACTACCCTAACTTAGAATTTCGTATAAAAATATACTTATCTCTACAAAAAAGTTATAATATGATCCAAAGTATGCTCCAAAATAGATAAACATACTATAAAACAATAATAAAACATACTATAATATATAGATATATATCACATCATTTCATAATGAGCTCAACTGCCTTAAAATATGCCCTTCTAAGTATGTGTATCCAATTGGAATAACTTGCTCCAATTGGATTACGACATTTGAGCTTGCATGAAAGTTGTGGCATACTAAAAGCAAATTTGCTTACAGATAGTGCCTATAGATAGTGTTATACGATTTGAATACAAATCAGTTAATATAAATAAACATTTATAAATCTTCTAAGACAACAAAATCAGGTACAAGAGACTCTTATTCATGCTGAAAAATATTTATTTATTTAAAAACTTAAACAATTTTAATTTCGCTAGACTCCGTTACGTACTGGTTATCAAAATCAATATACCTCTTGCCAAATGAGAGCAGCCAACAGCAGCAACGACAGAGCTAATTTAAGTTGCAAACAAAGCCAGAGCAAAGCCAGATGCCAGTTTCATTTGTGCGCTAACGGAGCCGCTTGTCGCCCCAGGTGACAGCCACGACCAAAAGGACACAGACAAAGGGCAGCAGGAGCAGCATGTCCTGCAACGAGAGAACTGCGCTGCTGGCAGCACAACAACCACAGCAGCAGCAGCAGCAGCAGCAGCAGGAGCCACACATCATTCTGCTGCCCAACAAGGAGGCAAGGGATTATGAGCCCGTTTTTACAACTGCTGAGTAAACACACGCTTAACTGTCGCATTGCATTAAATAATTAATAAATACACACACACACGTACGCACACACTTATATTTGGACAGCTATTCGTACGGCCTGTCGCTGGAGGAGCTGCTGCCGTTTAGCTGGGATCCCTGGTGGCAGAAGGCGCGTCGTCTGTGCTTCGCCTGCTTCTGGCTAACATTTACACTGACCCTGCTGGCCGCCCTGGCTCTGGCCTATTACCCTGACACTGCCAGCAGCTGTCGACCGGCTCGCCTGCTGGCCACCACCATGACGACGCCGGCACCCGCAACACTCGCCCTGGCCACCAATGGCACGCTGCTGCTGTCTGGCTAATGCGAGCTGGCACTCGGTAAGTGGAGCGCATGGACTCTTCGCGGATTATTGGCTGCTGCAATGCGGCGTCTTATATTACATCAGCTGCGTTGAGCTAAGCGATGGGACAAAGACAATTAATTGAATTTAGCTCTGCAATTATTTAACAATTAACAATTTGTTATTTATTTATATTTTATAGATAGAAAATATCAAAGATATTTTTAGACTAAAGCCAGAGTTTTTGAATTGGATTTCGATGTTTTATATATGTTATTTTTACCTTTAAATAAATTTAAAATTATATTAGAAATTATTTAAGCCTTTCAATTTAAGTCAATTTAAATGATTGTCGAACTTATTCGTTTCCAATTGGAATGCGTCTTATAAGAAACTTGAAATAAGTCAAGAGCATATCTTATATGGAGCAGAGTTTTTCAATGTTAGCTAAATATCAAATCGATTTCCAGTTGAACACATATTGTTATCGATAATTTGGTTATTTTCTAAGCTACATCTATAAATTTAAGATCTAAGATCTCAGATCGAAGATCGAAGATGCGTCTCTTTAACTCTTAAAGATAACAGCAGATAGCATCAACAGAATCTTTCACATTTCGCATTTATTTTTCAGTTGGCTACAGTTACTTGAGTTGCATTAACGTCAAACAGACGCACCAGGGAGATGGCTTGACTGAAGCTCGCTCGGTGCAGCTGCGGCGCTGCATTCGCCGTCGACCAAGGCTGAAAGTCAAAGTCGTAGCCCTCCAGATCCGCACAGTTCACATAGACATTGCCGTCCAATCGATAGCGCTCCATGAGATGCTGGCGCACGCGTCGTATGCCATCGGAGTTGCGGCAAATAATGCCGGCCAAGCTGGTCTTATATATTTCAGCCAGTTGTGCTGCAGGCAGAATCGATTATAGACTCGATTTCTATATACATATATAAGGAGCCTTACTCTTGGTCAGTCTTTGTGGACCCATCTTGCGCTCATACCAATGGGAATCGCCGAGCTTGAGGCGCATAAACTGATCCGAGACGAGGCAGCTGAGCAGCGGTCCAAAGATGGCGCCATCTAGCGGCGGTTCGCTAAGCGCGCCCGTATAGACGTCCACATCCTGAGGCGAGCTGCAAGAGCGGATTGAAAGTTAAGCTCAAGTCGCACTTGGGCAACTGTTACCCACTCGTATATCTGCCTGATGGAGGCCAACGTTGAGTTTTCCACCGCCAGCGCCATTTGCTCCCACGTGTCCACTGGCGGCAGTCGGCAGTGCCTGCGAAAGACAGGGTAGGCGGGTATGCCGTGGTCGCGGCCGCGTTGTATGTTCAGCGAGACCAAGTCCAGGCCACAAATGGGCACGCGGTCCTCGGCTGTGCCCTCGAACAGCTTCTGGGTGATCTCCAGCGAGAAGAAACGATCGACGCGCAGCACCGGCGTATTGGAGGCGGTCTGGAGGGCGTGGTCGATGCCGTGCGGCGTCCACAGCAAGAACGGATTGAAGAGCATCTTGTGCAGCTCCATGGCCTCCGGCGTGCTATTGTCCCGCGAAACATTGAACAGACCCGGCAGCAGCGTGTGAGCAAAGCGAAAGGCAGCAGTCGCAAAGCAGTTGGCTATGCTGGGGTCCACCTGGGGATCGTAGGTGTCCGGCGCATCGAGCTGCTCGCGGGCAGGCAGCAGACCCTTGGCCCGGCTCAGATTGCGCCCCAGCAGCACGGGCAGAAACTCGTTGTAGGTGATGTGCGCAAATTGGGCGGCCAGAATCTTGCGGGACTCCTGGAACAGGCGCTCATCGTCCCAATCTGGATTCACTTCATGCAGTCCGCGGGCCAGATAGTTGTGGTGCCTGGCCCACAGCAGGTGCATCGAGGTGAGCAGCAGATTCTCGTTGGCCCGATCATCGCCCGACTCGAAGCAGTATTTGCCCTGGCGCGTCATCTGCATGCGATTGCAGCCATCGTCCGGATTGGCGGAGATGGGCAGCAGCTCGCGGCCATCGTCGGTGAGGAACATGCGCAGTGTGCCATTGATGAAGCTGCGCAAGCTCCGCTGACGCTGCTCCAGATTCCCGTACACCACGGAGCCGTCAATGAAGGCCGTGGCCTGATTGAACTGCTGTCGTGGTCCGAATCGGCCCGTCGGAGCTGGCGCCGAGCGCACAAAGTTCATGCAGCTCAGATTGTATTGCCTGTAGTAGGGATCGTCGGCGAGTATGTGCACCGGATAGCATTCCGGATGCTGTTCGAGGTTGCCGCGCGCACAGCAATCAATCGACTCGCCCTCCTGCGCCGAGGTCTGCGACGTCGCCGTAATATCATGATCCAAGAATTGGCCGAACACCGCCAACATAACTGTAAAATTCGAATCAGTCTCGTAGCTGGAGCGGTGGATATTCAGAGAGACCAGGCGTGCCGGGGGCAGCTGCTTGCCATGGCTAGCCCTTGGAGCTGCAATGCCATCGCCGTAGTCCGGCGCGACCATGCGGCGATAGGGCACCATGGAGGCGCCATAGGTGCGCGGATGTTCCTTGTTGTTGCAGACGCCGGTGCTGCGTCTGTAGCGCTCATTGAAGTCGCAGTCGAGGCGCAGCAGCGGCGGGTCCGGCAGTACTATGACCGGGCCGAGTCCAATGTTACTCCGACCCGGCTGCTTGGTGTAGTTGTAGCTCTGGGCAATGTCCAGCGTGGCCTGGTTCTCCACATAGCCTCGACGCGCCAGCTTACGCGCCTCCGGATTCGTGCTCAGCGAGCGATAGTGCCGGAACTGTGGCGTATTGATGGCACTCGGCTGCAGTCCCTCCTCCAGGATCTCACGATCGCCCAGCGCCTTGATGCCCGCACTTACCGAACGAGCACCCGCTCCCTCATCCAATACCACGTCGCGCAGCGCCCACTCGGACTCCGGCTCATCCGGTATGGGTTCCTTGATAGCCGCCAGCATCTCGCTGACAGACTCATTCGTGGCAAAGAAGAAACTGGGCACTTCCAAGCCACTGCTGCTGCTGCTGCTGTTGCCATCGTAACCACTGCCACTCAGCCACAGGGCCAGGCCCAAGGCGGCGATTACAATGACGCTGCGGGCAGGAAAGTGAAATTGATTTGCGGTTAAAGCCTGTTCCAACTAAACGTTAACATGCCGGGTCAGACAGGGCTATCAAATGACAAACTTCAGCCAAAGAGAACGACAATTGAATGTGGAATGATGGAGCTTAAATACCCCGAAGAATAGATATGAAGCACAATGGAAATGTTGGCTTGGCAGTGCTATCAAATTGCCTTTGGTCTGACTAGCTATGCGTTATAAGATCACAAGATCGCAAGATCCCTCCGGTTCTATGATTCGCCTTTGCTTGGCTCCCCTTGCTCAGGCTTAATCATTTAAGCAGAGTGAAGCCAACATTCACTCTGTGTGTTTTTACGCTTGTTTAGACACGTTCAACTCAGGTATTCAAAGTCTATTCGCGGACATTCCCCAAGCAACAGATTACAACGGCAGCCATTTGATATAGTAATACGATCGATGCAGCGAAAAAAAATATATCACATCTAAAATGAATTCGATTGTTGATCTAGTTTATATATGCTTTCAAAAATTGGCCTTGCAATACTAGAAAAATATGAAAGGAATTTAGAGCTGAAGCCAACTGCAATGTCAGCACTTAGTAGTCGTATATCTTATGTACTGTAGATATAGCTCTGTAGCTAGCTGATCGCTCGAGCACTCACATAAATGTCACCGTTACGCAGCACTGGAACTGTTTCAATTTGGAAGGACGCGCACGTGGGGAGACGCCGCCGGGAAACACATAGCTGGGTCCCTGATAGGGCGGCAGTGCAACATAACCGGAGCCACTGGCGTTCAGCGGCGTTGTTTCGTCCGTCATGATCAAAGCGAAACTAAAGCGCTGCCAGCAGGCTGGCTAAGAGTTGGTGTCCCCATCACCAGGGCACTTGGCACTTGACGGGCTTCCACTTCGCTCGCCACACTCGAGTTACTTTCGCTGGCAGCAACAGCAGCAGCGCCGACGACAACTGACAAAGCAACTTAGTTTATAATGTTTTATAATGCGAGCCGAACAAAGCCCACAGCTGTCCAACAGCGCATCAAAAGTGGTTTCTTAGTCTAAGTCTTTAATAAGAATGGCAAACGCCCAAAATGAAATGTTTACAGCTCCATATCTTCGGCAGGCTTAAACATATCGCCCACATACTCGTAGGTCAGCTTCAGCAAATACTGAAAGGACTTATGTTGCGGCAGCTCGCCCAGCTCGGCACTGTCCAGAAAGTCATCCATGGGCGGCAACACGCTGTCGCACTCCTGACCCATCAGCTGCGACAGCTCAATCACCTTGTAGAAGAGCAGCTTGTGTATATAGTCGACAGCATTGTTCGTATCATAGTCTATCCAGTTGTCGCGACGTATGATCGCGCACCAGATCTTGTGTCGCAAGTCGTATGGCTGATCCACATAGTTGAGCAGCTCCAAGGCCTTGCGGAACTCGACTTCGGTGGCGCTCTCATTTTCCTCGGCGATAAACAGCTGCAAGCAACAAAACTATAAACAAGCTGATCTGTTATAGACGAACAAGCGCTGAATAGTTACATTGATAATCTCCTCTACTTTGAGAACCTTCTGATCTGTGGGATCAAAGCCAAAGTTCTGCAATACATCGTGACCCAAATGCGACTGGTATTCAATGATCATCAACTCGAAATTGATTTTCTCAACTTGTGACGTCAAGTCAACATCGGCTGCAGCGAAGGCAGCCAGCTTGGATAACGAGAGCATCGACTTTTTGCGTGCCACATACTCCGTTTCGCACTGGGCCAGCTCGTAGAGCACCTTGGCAGCACGTTCGAAGTCGCCGTTGAATATGAGCTGAATCCAGCCGAGTGACGGATGATCGCGCATGAATTGTGCAAGTGCTGTTTGATTGCCCTTGAAGCGTTCGAAGACCTCAGCGTGCCGCTGCTGACGCAAATGCCAGTTGATAGCAAACTGCGAGAAATCGTATTCCTCATACTTGCGCGTGTATTCATCTAAACGATCCTTATCCTGCGTCTCATCACAGATGACTATCAGGCTGGGAAAGTCCAAATACTTTTCAGCCAGCTTGGCAGCGCACTCATACTGTCGCTCCTTGACTGCAATGAAACAATATAGATTAGATTAAATTATTTTGAGCTCGCTTTCTACTCACTTAACGTGGCGATGAGATCACGTCTTTGGGTCTCGAATTGCTGCTGCAGCACCTGAAACTTTTCCGTATCGCGCACGCTCTCCAAATAGTTCTTGCGCGACTCTAACACTATATCCACCAGCTCCAGTATTTGCTGGTATAGCAGATGCTTCAGTTCCGTCTCGTTCACGCACTGCGCGGCATAGCGCACACTAATCTCTATTATCCGAATGAGTGCATCGTGTACGCCAGCAGCGCCTGGCGTGGCTGTCCAGGGCTGATTCTCATGCGAGGTTCCGGGCGCCTTATAACTGCTCGCATTCTGATCCCGAAATCTCAGCACCTGACCCAGAATACCCAGCACAATGGCATTGATGTCGGCAACAAATTGTGCTACAGCAGCGCTGGTGCGATTCTGAGCTACAATGCGATCATCTGCCATGTCGGCCAAGGACTCAAAAATACTCTGGAATTTGCAGAGCTTCACGTAAAAGATATCCTGCGTTGTCAGACTGCCCTGTGGCCGCTCTTCCCAACGTGCAACTGTTATATCAATGGCCTCTTCCACCAGTTTGGGCAGTTTACTCTGTATCGTACGCAGTGCCATGGCAGCCACAATTTTCTCACTTATATCGGAGAGAATGTACGAAGTGGGCTTCAACACATTGCTGCCACAGGGTACGGCATTTAGCTGTAAATAGATGAGGTCTTAGATATGTATGACATGTAGAAGTAGTTGCCACGCACCTTCTCCCAAACTGAGCAGTGGTGCAGGAAATCAATGAAATGCTGTAGGGCAATGCTCTTGTCGCGCAGCTGGTTAATGATTTGCATAGAGCGCGAGCTGCCCAGGGCATGACGATTGCCATCGTGCTCCTCGATGGCTGACTGCCAGCGCGGGTCGGCAATGGGCAAGTCCTCAGCCAAGTCCTCAGCAATAGTGATGACGATTCTGTAAGCCATCATAGCACATAGTTCATTTACACAAATTTATAGATATAGTATTATAGTATGGTAATACCTATCTAATTTATAGGCATCTAGAGGTGCTCCTTTCTGATCGGATTCGTTGATGCTGTCCATTAGATCCGTAATGATTGTATTAACCATGTTGTTGTTGCGTTTCAGCTTGTATAGGAAGGCCGCCTTCAATTGGCCCACCTCATTGTTGAGCTCGCTGTAAACGTCATCAGGATCAAGCTGAAACATGGGCAAGTTAGTGGAGCTCTCGCCCAAGATACTTTGATCTTGGCCGCTAAAGGTTGCATTGAAGGAAGCTGGCGAAAATATATCGGGCGTATTGCAGCTGCTCATGTTCAGCAAATCAGTGCTATCAAAGTCGCCAGGCGTTATGGAGACCAAGCCATGTGTGCGGCTAAAGAAGAGTGGCAAATGGCTGCAGATGGCGGCGCTTAAGATGCGATCATCATGCAAATGGAACTCAACTTTCTCCGCCTCAATTTCAGCTGCGGGCGATGAGTTTGATAAGAGCAGCGGATAAACCACTTTAGGCGTATACAAATACATGTGGGAAGGTCCGACAATGATGCGCACACTTAGACACTCCTGCGCTGTTTTGCTATTGAAGAACTTGTTAAGCTTCAGCGGCGTAAAGCACTCCAGCTGCATGGCCTCCTGCTGTGCCGATGCGACAACTATAAACGAAACTTGGTTAGACCATTATGAAGTACGTAAGGGTAGTTTAGATTGACCTATAGCGTAGTACATCTGTGGCGTATGGGCTTGGTTGACAGCGCCGACGAGCATGTAGTAATCTCCTTTGTACAGTTGAAAGTCCATGAAATGCATTTCAATATCAACATTATCATTGGGCATGCGCACATTCCAAAACTTTAATAGCAACATTTCACGCATTTTGCGTAGTAGTTCCACATCCTCGTACAGCAGCTGCTCCGTGTTGCCCTTGTTTGAGAGACGCCAACGTTGAATGGCACGATCCGAAAGCACAGCTACTATTGATTCCCCATTCTTTGTATCGCACTCACAGCACATGCCAACCAGTAGCTGTGAAACATAAATAACAATGAGCTGCTGAGATATGAAGAGTTAGAGAATTGAACTCGCCTGATCCCTGTCGCTTCCACTGTTCATGCCAATGAGCATGGAGGCAAACCTTTTGCCAAAGCCGCCTAGGAAACTAGTCGCTGGCTTTATCGTCTTGTGATGCAGCGTATATCGTCCGTTGGTGAGTCCAACGCGTAGAAAGACCAAAGTGCATGTAGAGGTGACCGCCAGGTAGCCCTGCTGTATGGGTAGACTGAGCAGCTGCACAAACTCCTGACCGGTCAATATGGAAATGTCCACGGAATTGTTATCATGCGCAATTGAAGCCCAATAGCGCACTTCGCCAGTCGCTGAGATTGCAATGCACGAGGCCATCTGTTGGCCCTCAGTCTGAAACACGCTAACTAATTCGCTTTTGTGTCCAATATCACTGTAGGGCAGCGTGAGCTCACGGCACTGGGCGGAGGTGCCAGCGCGACGCTGATGTTTGCCCATACGTGGTGGCGAACCAATTTTGCCTGTACCAGGCGCATCCTTATACTGCCAAATCAGCAGACGACGTCCTTGCACAACCTGAAAAGGATTAATTTAACTTATATTTATGTATATTTCGTATAGTAAATGAAAACATACCCATGCCCAGCCACTTTGTGTGATTTTGGCTGACACTGCGTTCGCATTCGGTCCAGCAAAGGTGAGAGCCTCATTCACGGCCACGGGCAGAGCATGGCCATAGCTCTCCACGACATTATAGTCTGATCTAATGCCCGGTATGGACTGTGTGGTTGAGCGAGCAGAGAGGCTCAAGCGACTGTTACAGCATATTCACATATTAGTACATTATATTAATAGATATGTCACATACTTTACCTATTGTTTAACGCCGTTTTCTTTAAGCTGCCTGACAATGGGGAGTAGCCATGATTGCCGCCAAAAAATGATTTGCGTGTATTATCAGCGCTCGCTGGCATACTTTGACGTCGCACACTTGGTGACGATTCGCGGGATATGCCATATAGCTGTTTCTGCATGCTGCGCTCCATTGTTTGTCGTTAAATAAAACAGCGTCAAGTTATAAACAAAAAACACATGTACACTGAACAAATTAAGCCGGCATTAGTTGCTTATCGACATAGTTGCAGACATCGATAGTTTCAATTGATGGCTGGAGAATATAAATCGCCTATATCGATACGCATGTTTAACGATAGCAATCGTGTAGAAATGTCATAAATAACTTGCAAATCTTATAATTACTAATATGTTTTTTTAATTCTTTCTGTTAGCTACTGCGAAGCTAATAAAACTCAAAATTAGCGTATCATGACTCAAAATGGCACAAATTAATGTGTCAGTTGTGCCTCAACAAATTATATATAATCGATAGTCAATAAGGTTGGCTGTAATTTAGCATGCTATTAACATACAACTGTAGAGTTAACAGACTGTTAATATTTTATCATGACAGAGTTGTTATTCACAGCTGGCTGCAATCGATAGGTTGCAATGCTGTAAACATGCTGTAAGCAAGTCGATTGTTGGAAAATTTTCATTTTTGTATATACAGTGGCGCGAAGATGAAGTAGGTTGAGATCTTGATTGAACTTGTCAAAATATGAACAACAATAATCTGTCTTATTGTTTAACTAGATAGAAATTAAATTGATTATTAATTTGTATTTTATTAGAACACCCTTCTGGAGTTCTTTTGTTTAATATGAATGTGAGATTGTAAAATCAATATAAGTTAATAATGTATGTGCCTGATTAATTGTTATTTCAATGTTTAAACAATATATAAATGATATTTTAGATTTTTTTATTTTTTAATTACATATCAATTTAATATGTGCCATGGATGGTGGTGATCTACTTTGCTCACTTGGACGATTTTTAGTGTTCAATTACATATGCTTGCATTGTTCTTACTTATATTTACATACACGTTATACTCCTTACATACCTTAAACAAATTATATTATGTAGACAGTATGACTTGCTTCCACTTTTCTTATTTCTTAAGAATCTAGCACATGAAATTGATAAAATTTAGACTCAGTCTTAGGTATGCCATTAAATTGATAGTGATAGTTGCTCCCTCATTTTGATCAACTCAGGGGACTATCAATTTAAAGTCAATAGATTGTATACTTGACAACTTTAAATGGGGGTTTTCAAGTCAATTGAAATAGATCTTGCAATTACTATACTTTAATTACTAAGTAATTTTATAAATATTTTAGTTGAGTATTAAATTCATTATTTACTTTGATGTACTCAAGTATATATTCTAAATTGCACTGTACCCGAATCCAATGTTTATACAGTGGATATATCAAAATGTTAAAACATACATCATACATCAATACGTATATACTTACATACATACAAATGTACAAAAACATATGTACACGTTAAAATTTCTACTGCTATAAACTGACCCATCTACTTAAATTTTAATATAATTGAACTCGATTGATTTGTCAAGGAAGACAGATCTTAAGTTTTAGATTGGCGTCGATTGATAATACCTACCAAGTTTAGTCTGAGGAAATGGAATCAAAGAGATATGCCTAATGAAGACTATCGTGTATTTTGTTATATGTATGTTTTGCATGCTTTTTTGTATTTTTATACATTTACTTTATTATATATACTCTTAATGCGACCATTTAAATAGATCGCAGCTATATGAAATACAAATATGTATAGATGATATACATACATATGTACATATAATTATAACAGCAATGCCTTTCTTTGTTTTTTGTATTTTTTGTTTTTGGAAGCCTTACGAGTCTAAATTAATGTAAATAAATACTTTTCTCTCGATTGAATAGATATAGATATATATATATAATTATTTGCTACATTTGCATAGATTTATAACATAATTTTATAAATTAAATAGGACTAGGAACCAGTACAAAGTATTAGAAAAATGTTCCGAAATCAAAATCAATTTATACATGCTAATTGGGGAACATACGATGATTTGATTGGGCCTAATTATAGTTAACTTCTAATTCTATTATAAAAATATATTTATATATGTTTATGTGTATATGTTAAATAGTATTGTAGTGCTAATATTTAATCGGTGAATCAATTATCGTAATTGAATGGAAAACCAGACAAAGAGAGACAGATAGAGCCAGTACCAAAATTCTTTACAACTAGACATTTCGTGTGCAAACTCTGATATATTCTGATCCAGCTCTCAAATGTTAAGGACATTTTCCTAAATACAATCCCGAAAATTAAAATAAAAAAATTGCCAACATTTTGAAAATGGCTTAAAAAGGATAAAAATTGAAAATGAAATCAATATGGCTAACCACCTTGTCCAGTGCCCATTGATTGTTGCTGTTGTTGTTGCTGCTGCTGCTGCTGCTGATGTTGTTGTTGCTGCTGCTGCTGATGTTGCTGCTTTTTCTTGTCGAAAATGGACAATTTTGATTTCACAGCTCCTTCACAGACCATAATACGCTGTTGTTGCGGCTTCTTGTCCAATTCAAAGCAAAACGAATCGGGATTTAAGTGCCGTTTAAAGTCCGAGTATCTGTGTGACTCGTATGACATATAGTTGGAGCCCAGCGCTGAGGCAGCAACAGCAGCTGCCACAGTGCCATTGCCATTTCGATTGTACACTGACGCTGGCAATGAATCGTGCCGTTTCCTTTCGAAGTACTCGACTATTTTGGCTATCTGAGCGGAACGTGTACTTGGCAATGCGGTAAAGGAGCGATCATCCCAGAGCAGCGAATCTGAGCTGATGTCATCCGAACTGTCTGTGTAGATGGATGATGTGCGATTTTTGCAATACAGCAATTGATTTGTGGCAAACGGACTGCGTTGCAACAGCGAATGTATCTCTGAATCAAGTGCCAATCGATTGATTATGCCAGCAGTTGTCGCTGTCATTTGCGAATCGCTAACATTGGCGCTCACCAACGAATGGTGACAGGTGTAACGCCGATGATGTGTGGGCGGAGCTATAATTTCGGCATCCAATTCGTCTGTAGAGTCCAGTGCTGTCGACGACGATGTATTACCACCACCTGTGATGGTCGGAGGTTCGTTCTCTATAAACAACACGGATGATGACGTTGTGGGTGAATCACTGTGATGTTGTTGTTGTGTGGCAGCTGCAGCAGCCACAATCGCGCTAGTTGATGAAGGCGTTGCATAATAACAGCATCGACACAGACTTGCCAATTTATCACTGAAATTGAAGCGAATTCATTAATATTTAGGCAATAGCAAATACTTAAAATGTACTACTCACTTAAGTTTATTATTAGCCAAGTTTAATGATTTTAATTGGTCGTAGCAGCAACTGCTGCTGCTGCCGCTGCCAACAACTAGTGATCCGATGCCGCACAACTGCCGTGTGTAACTCGTGTTTGTGGTAGCTGCATCTGATTCCTCATTGAAGCACGAGAAGAAACCACTTTCGATGGAATCGCGCCGGGTCAAATTTCTTTTCGTAGGCAGCAAGTCGCACGAATTTTTCAGTCCATTAAGTTCAAAGTCTGTGGGTGCAGGAACAGTAGCTGGAATTTCTTCGGGCGGTGGAGATTTCGAAATAACATCCTTTTCTGATAAGCTACTCTGTGATAGCTGCTTGCAGTAATCAACCTGATTATTGCTCGAAATCATATCAGTTGTGGTTAAATTCAAAGATGTTAATGTGTTGGCGGAATTGCTTGTCTTCAATAAGGGCGCTGCTTCAAGTTCGCTGTTGCTGTACTTTATAATAGTTCCACTACTGCCTCGAAAAAGCGGATGTGTGTAGAGTGAGTTGGCGCGGTATTTGCGTGCCACTGGCATTACAGAGGGTCGGACAGCACTATCGTCACTGCTCGATTCAGCATCGGCGCAGTTGCCACCTCCATCCAGATCTTCGCCCTCTGAGTTACAATAGTCACAGTCGTCGATATCGGTAAGAACAGGTGTTACAAGCGGAGCTGCTGCAGGCGTCTCACTAGCTACCATATTGTTGTTTCGTTGTGGCAATTTCAGTTCAATAGCGCTGTATTTACGCGTTAGCTGCGGGGATGCAGGTAGGCTCTTTGGTTCGGTAGAATTAGCTGTTGTTGTCGCACCGCTCGGATTGTGTTCAAGTTCTGTGCCTGTTGCCACATTCTTAGCTTGCATTGCGACGAGCTCTTTAAAAAACGGCGCTGACATTTCAAAGCACGAGCTAAACAAGTCGCCCACGCCAGCTGCGTATGTCTTTGGATTGGCGCCTAATATCTTCTTAACACCTCGAAGCTGAGCTAGCGCCGTGAAGGGATTCGGTTTGACACCGTTATGATCCTTCGTTGCCGATGGTTTGTATTGCGGATCTTTAAGGCACATTGTTTCACCGACTTTTCGCAGCGTTAAAACCGCCGGCACCAGCGGCAATATCGAGGGTGATTCCGATATCTTCGTTGTTGGTGTGGTTGTTGGTAAAATGACCGCTGCTGTTTGTGGGTCACCCAGTTGACGTGGTGGTGTCGGTGAGTGCGTTGAAGATCGTTGTCGCTGCATTTGATGACATCGCGCTTTGTCACTGGGTGATGTATGCAGTGGAAAATGTATTATGTTCTCGCTTAGTGAACGACGGTGCAGCAAAATTTCTGCTTCTAGCTTCTGTGTGGCACGGCGAACGCGTGACTTCAAAATGTGTTCATCGTCATATTCAGCACTGTCGGCCAACCAGTTGGGTGTGCCTGGCAGAGCTGCCGAAGCTGATTTACAACTTATTCCTGTACTGGGAAAACGAAAACCGTCTTCATCCACGCCCCTCTGGTAGCGCGGTGTCAACACACCCGCCGGGGCTGTAAATATACTTTCGACAGTTGACGGCGTGTTGACCAATGTGATTGCATTCTCAATATCGCTACCATTCGGCGAACAATTGATTAGCTCCAATGAGCTCAAGGGACTCGCACACCTCGACTCCTGTTCGCACTTCTCCAAGAGTAGTGTCAGCTTTTTAGTTGCGTCACTGAATGTAGGTCGACTTTTGGGATCGTACTGCAGTGGGAAAAGAAATTTTAGTTTTCATATGTTGTCCAGCAATATATCTGGAAGTACTTACTAGACAACAATAGAAAGCCAGCCTTAAAAATACAGGTGGAGTGTCCATTGGACAGAGTTCAACGAATGCCAGGTAATCAAGGCCAAATGAAGCAGTGCGCGGCATCAAGTCTGGATCAGCTTCGATGCGCGCGATTATTTCACATTGAATAATTCCAAATGAAAATACGTCGCTTGTCTGATCATACCATTGGCCCTTCAAACACTCCGGACTGACCCAGTACGGTGAGCCAACTGTCTCCAAACGTGATTTGCCGCTGCAAGTCAATTATTTTGTTAATATAAGAAGGTCTCAAAAGAACTCGAGAACTTACGACTTCACTGGAATCTTTGCTGCTAGTCCAAAGTCACCGACAACAGCTTCATATTGACCATCTGGCAGAAAGCGTATTAGCACGTTCTATTGGAAAGACAATCAACTCGTCAATTACGGCTCTAGTTAGATGCTTAAGCAGTTCACAATGCAATGTTACCTTGCTGGTTAAGTCCCGATGAAAAATGCCCGCATCGTGTACATAAGTCATTCCTCTCGCGATACCAAGGGCCAGTCTTACTTTCTGAGCGGCGCTAAGAAACAACTCTTGATTAGCCAGGAGTTGCTCCAGTGAGCCGCCGTTGATATATTCCGTCAGGGCATGCAGTTGTCCCTCTTGCACACACACGCCCATAAAACTAAAAATAAGTAGATTAGAAATAAGTATGGAAAGTAAATATATGATGGGAAATGGATTAGATTAAGCTTGTTGAAATATGGCTTCGATGTTCCTCGCTCTTCGATTTATTAGAATGAAAGCATTTATTATTGAAAAGTGATGATTGAAACGAAACTTGAGCTGAGCCTGCCTTTCAAAACTATAGTTTTGGCAGGTTGCGAGTTCAATGCGCTCATATGCGCAGATCGGCACACACAGACAAACAGGTGAAGAAGCAGTTAAATATACAGACAGGTCTAAATCAACTCGACAGTTGAAGCTGATTAAGAGAAGCAGACCAAGTTCTATACTTAGGCCACTCTAGCTCGAGCTCTAAGATAAACTGCAATACCCCATTTTAAAATAGGTCCAGGGTATTAAGACACTCACCTCAATATGTTAGCATGAGATAATTTGTTAAGCAACTGAACTTCTCGCAACATGTTTGGCCGATTGGCGCGCAATTGATTCATTTTCAGCACCATTACTTGTCCAGTTGTGCGATGAGTGACCTACAAAAGGAAGAGGAAGACATATTATTAATTATATACAATTTTTAAAGATATATTAAATAAATATGTAGCTTATTGATTGATATACTTTTGCAATTTATAGTCAACATCTTTAGACTGCATCTGATGTGTCAGGCAAATAACATAACTCTAGCAGTTAAGGTCGCGGAAGCTATTGATGCTACCTTTTTGTGGTTAAGCAAAGAATATAGTAAGCTCGAGCTCTTCAGCTCACAGAATGCCTTCCAGTCGCTGCTGAGCTATATAGCAGCAGGCCTATTATGGCATAACATCTCATATATATTAATTTGGATAGGGTAATGGCTGTTACTTAAACACTTGTTTGCTCATGTTGATAGTTTCACTTTCAACTCGTGGAGAAATGGCCATTGCGGAAACAAAAAACAACAAGACGTCGCCAAATGCCGCAACACAAAAAACATCCTTTTTGAACAGCCAAAAACCAAGATTGAGCAGTAAAGTTAACAACGAGAAAACCAGTCGAACGCCTGAGACGTCCATTTGAAGCGAACCTGACAGCAGGTTACGAAAAGAGGGAGAGAAAAACGTTAAATAAAACCCGCCTGCTGTACAATTTAGTTGCAGGCTGGCTGGCAGACTTGGTTGACTTGGCTGGCAGCAGTACTCATTTGGGGGGGATATTCCCAAATGGCCAAACAAGTTTCATATAGCGGCATTGACCACGCTTCAAATCGATTGCATCGCCAACTCTTTTTTTCTTTCATTTATTTTTTTTTCGTTTGTTAACTATTTCCACATGCAATTTTGTTTTGCTGTTAACAAATATTTAATACGATTTCAACTTGATTTTCGTTTGAACAAGTTTTTCTTAAAGCCGCTGCACAATCAAATTTCGTATAACATCTCATTGAAGTTGTTTCACTTATGAAATGGAATGGCAAAACATAATGTCAAATAATCACATTTGTGTTCTGTGGTAATCAAATGCATTGGTCAGACTTGTGCGAAGCGTGTGGTTTGGTTTATCAAACTAATTATACTCGTTTCCTATGTGCACATGAGTATATTGGCTTTCGTCTGTCAAGCGAGTGTCTATCTGACTTAACATTTTCTAAATTCCTCTTATATATGTACTTCTCGGTTGTATCCTCGTCGTCACTCACAAAGTGTTTGTCTGTCTGAATAAAGCTTGAGACTGGAGCATAAGCTCGAGCTTATCTAATAAATAAATAAATGGTAACAGTTATCGATGAGTACAACGTCTAATAATCAATTAAACTCTATTTCTTGTGGCGCTTTTAAGGCTAGATAGAATAGGCCGTCAAAGATAAAATGTTAAGCCTATATATATACACTTCTCCTCTATATATACTACCCTATATGTACTCCTACACACATCTCTCTATTTATACTCCTCTATATATACCATACCAAAATGTGCCTAAGTTTAAGTAACTGCTAAGATTGACCAAGCATTATATATACGGATCTTGAAAATATGGTAAATTATATATATATATAATATATATATAATATATATATATATATTATAACTGTATTTAAAATAGAGTTTATACTATTTTTAGCATGTTTAGTAGTTGAATTTCTGTTAACGTGGTCTATAAATAGAACTCTATATAAATAGTGGCCGTCAATCGATAGTTTTGTTGCATTGTAAACGAGTATTATGCAGTCTACTGCGCCCAACTAAAATACAGTCGCACAAATAATAAGTTTAATATTAATAATTATAATTTAAATTGAGTAATTTTTGTTGATTTCCGCTACCTGTTTATGCAGGGCTCTATATTTATATATAAACTGGATTATATATATGTATATATATATGCAGACCAGTATTTGAAAAGAAGATTGTCGAGTGTCGCTACCGTTGCCCAGTTCTGAACAGTTGATTGAGGTCGTAGCCATTAGCCAAACTAAACAGTTAGCCATTCGGCCGACTAGAATGGAATTTGGCCCAGTTTGCTTTCTTTTTTGCGTTGCCTCTAGAATCTGTATCTAGACGCTCAACTTGCTTTTCGTTGTTTTGGACATGCTTCCACTACTTTAAGTTGTGCAACTCATCAACGCCAAAGTGAGCTCTGCCATGGCCAACAATCACTTAGAAACAAGTGGATGCGACGTAAGTATGACGATGGCTAAACGGTTTTTCGTTTTTGTTCCCCTTTTCCTCTATATACATATATATATATATATATATATATATATACATACGCTCCTCGCCTATCACTCTAGAAATATGCTCTTCAGATTAAGACTTTTACACAATCTATTAGCTATAATCTCTTTTCTTGTTAAAAGAGTGAAATGCCGCTTTCAAGTACCTTTCAAATATCTTATCAAGCAGCTGTCAGGCTTTTAGTACAGGGTATTAAAAGAGCTAGTCACCAAATCTTTCATACATAGTTGGACACATCTTTAAGCCCATTAAGATTTGATCGAGTCACGCCCAATTTGCGATAAATCTGTTAGAAAACTTAGTTTCTTCAATATATGTCACGTATACTCGACTAGAAGATACTCTGTAGCGGGTACCCTGATCATATCTGATTAAATTAACTTGAATACTTGAACTTATTAGATATAAATTCTGTTTTAACGGTGTCTTCTACCTAAAGTTTTGTATTGATTTTAATCGAGATGCGAAAAGTTATCGATAACTTTTAAAAAACATGGGTTTTATATGTTACAGGACGAACCAAGTCTCTAGTTCTGTTAGTTTATGCTGTCATGAAGTAGGCTTAGGAGATTCCAGTACAGCTAAGATTTCAAATCAATTGGTGCTGCTCTGTGCAAGATTTCAAACTTCCAGCTCTTCCAGTTTTAAATAGACAGACTGATTTAATTGACTGATGTACTATCCTGTCTATCCTGTTCTATAAAACACACTCCCCCTTCTGGCTACATTTTCAGCAACATTGACATCCCACTTTCAATCGAGTTCAAGGTAGAAACAACTTGATTCATTATTTTTGGCAATATATCGCACTTGTTAACCGTAACATCGATGTAGAAAAGTGAAATGCTACAACAGGCAAGAAATAAATAATTGCTTTTTACCCCATTCAAGATAAGATACATATATATATATATATATAAATATATAAGTACAGTTGGCTGCACAGTTCGGGCCGTTGGCAAGAGGCATGCCAGACAGCTAAGCTGCGCTTCAGAGCTCATTCAATTTCACATTTCACATTTCAAATGTGAGAAAATAATATTTATTGTTAGAGTCTGAGTTGGAGTTGGTGCTTCGCTCTTAGCTTTGTTTTTGAAAAACTTGGTGGCAATAAATTATCCATAAGATATATATATATATATATATATATATATATTGAGACCTCCATAAAGTACAATAACCGTCGTACCCCCACTTCCCATACACGTATATTTCTTGTTGTTGTTTCATTAATTTTTTTTTTAATTGTTGCGTGTCGGGAAAAAGAAAGTATGTATCAATTGCTTTTGTTTTTGAGTTGTTAAAAAACAAAAAACAATGTTTGAAATATTGTTTATAAAATGTTTAAGCTTATCGTAAATAGTACTTTAATGAAATTACTTTTCAGTTTGTGCGAATAACATTTTTGCATCGATTGTTCACGGGGGAGTTTCATTAATTTCATGTTGCGATCTTTATTACTTTTCACACACTTCAAGTGCGCTTCAAGCAAAAATTGAATTTTTATACATATGCGCTGAAAGTGATAAGAGTATATTGGTTTTGATTGTAGAATTGGAAACGTGAAAGAACTTGAAAATGAACTAGAAATTTGGATTAGATGGAGACCCGTGCGTAGCCTTCGCTGATAAAGTAATCGAGTTTTTTCATACGCCGTTGACGATATGCCAAATCGTAGAATTACTATATCCCTTACACTACTCAAGTTACAAATTTGGAATATACTCAAGTGAATAAAGCAAAGCCCGAATCAGAGTTTTAGAGCTTTGCAGTTGGATTCCTGTTAAATTGCCTTACTGATAGATCTAGTATTATATAGACCGCCCATAAAAAATATCAAATCATAAATAAAGTTATTTTCGGATCGTGTATAGGTGATATACGGTCGGGCAACTGCAACGTTTTTACTTGGTATGCTTTGAACGTATATAAATTTAAAATTCCTGATCGTGACTAAGAGCCGAGTCAATATAGCCGCGCCCGTCTATTTGTTCGTCTATCTGTACATATAGGAACATTGATCTCATAAACTAGAAGACCTAGAGAGCTGATATGTTTAGCGTATTTCAATTATAGCTCAGACAGTAGCATGCTTCAAATTGACTTAACTTCCATGAAATCGATTCAGGTTAACTCCTCGATGTATCGATTAATATTGATACTATAGCTTACTACGATTATAACCCAAATCAGCACTTCCGCAGAGAATGACGCCTAGTCACACTTTAATCAATCAACTACTTTTTGCACTTCCATAAAGTCCATTAAAATCGATATCATAACTGATCAAAGTGGTACTGCTAAAGTAAGGTATCTGTTAGTCGAGCACACCCGGCTAGTGCCCTCCTGTCGTCTCTTAAATATTATGAAAAGACAGCAGCAAAACAAAATATATTTTTTGGCACATTAACAAATTTATTAAAAATTTGTAGGCAAATGAAAAGTCTGTGGCTTGCAGCACGCGACGAGAGGCGCGCGTAGAACAGAAATAGATAATATTTGTGGGTGTTTGGCAATCAGCTGACAACAGACGAAAGCCCAATTGATTGTGTAATTTATAGGATCTTGGGCAACATCGCGTCTTACCAAAAGCATAAAACATTTGATATTATACGAGCATTAAGCTCAGCAAGGCCGGCCACACACACAGGCAAATGAATTTTCTTTGATAAATTTATAAATATATAAATATTTGATATATATATTTCAGTTATTCACCTGTGCCTCTTTGGAGCCAAGTTTAAAACAAAGCAGTGGCAACGGCCGTAACAACTGATTACGGTACTGATCTATAACGTGTGGTTATACGATGTTATATAAGCAACTTTAACAGACTTTCGATCGCTGTGGCATTTGTTGCTTTTGTTTTGTTTTGTTTTCAGTTTTCGGTTTTTAGTTTTCAGTTTTCAGTTTTCAATGCTGCGCTGCTGGGAGCTTTGCCTTTGTTATTGAAAGTGTTTTTGCCGGCTGATTAGTGCGTTAAATATTTTTACCATATTTGCCAAACGCAGTTATTTGTTATGCAAATGTATTTTCCTTTCAATTTTTGGTCTCGACAGCTCGACTCTTGACAACTTTAATCAAAACTAACTGTAAATATTTTACGGCATTCAATGTAAATGGATCATGCAACACACTAAGAGTGCACCAGTCGGGACTGCTCAACGGTGTCATACCCTACCCTTCGATCCTCATACGTGCATAGCTCCCTCCTCATTTGAAATGAGATTTATACATTTTCGGGCATAAAGCAAATGTTTTATAAATCAATAAGCCGAAACAAATCAATCATATCAATTAGCAATGTCGGTACTTGTCGATTATTAGTATATAAATAGGCATTTGGAAGAAAAATTAGAAGTGTATGACTTGATAAGTCTACTACGTAGTGGTAGCAAGACTATCACTCACCTTCAACAATTTATATATTGCAATTTAGATATTCTTGATAAAATTCTGATGTAATCTTATCAAAGTCTGATTTCATTCGAAAGTCGATCACTTTTTAAATTCAACTGCCTATAAATAAGATTTGTATATGCGACAGCTTTTTATGAGCTTCTGGGTACAGTCAATTGAAATCGAAACTATTGGAAAAATTTAATAGATTTCACAATGTAACTATGCTTAGTGTAACTTTTCTAGTTGCCGTCCAATTTACACACTCTATGCTATGTAAATCGAGATTCAAGACTTAGCCCTCATTTGTTTGTGGAATACTAAAATGTTATTTTGGGAAACTTCGAATCAATGCAAGTGTTTAACAGAGTAGTGAAGTGAACGCACTGCAAACAATATAAATACTTGGGCAACGTCGCACAGCTTGTTGTTAATTAGTCAATGCGTAACTGAGAAAACAGACAATGGCAAAAACTAAATACCATAAAAGGCAATGGACTGCTGGCTGTACGGCCAAATTATTTATAAGATGCATTGAGAAATTCGCACGCGAATATTGTATGTGGCATTTGGCTATTTGAAGCATTAGAAAGCATAAATTAAATTAATTATGATGTTTTCTTCACTCATTATTATCATATAAAAAGACTAAAATTAACTCTTTTCACTTATGAAATTTAACAAACAAACTCAAATATCAAAGGCAATCGAAAAAATAATATGTGAAACTTGTCTTTGTATTTGTATACCCTGTACTCTTTGAAGCTGTATTAACAGGGTATTAAAGTTTCGTGCGAATGTGTGTAACAGGTAGCATGAGCTGATGAGACCAACTTTAATTGGCAGCTGCATAATGAATACACAGATTTCAAATATTTTCAGGTATACAAAACCTTAAATCAATGCCTCAGAAATTAAAAAAACATTTCATTTCATATACACACTTCAGGATGGCATATTTATGCTGTAAAAAGTTCATTAAGATTGAACACCTGGAACTGAAGTTATTCAAGAAGGAGGTCACTGACTATGGGAGGAACAAGAGCTGCGAGATGCTTAGACTGAGTATTTCTTAGTCGGGCACCTCCAACTCCCAACTGAAGCACTCTCACTTGTTTTCTAAGGCCTTTCCAATAACTTTCATTGAACAAAATGTGTGAAGCAACAAATTGAAATTTGTTCCACTTATTGTTAAAAATAGTGGTAACATTTTTTATAGTTCTTAATAAATTAGATTTAAAAATTAATGAAAACATATATAATCAATATATATCTATGAGATGAAGTAAGCCTTGCTATGATCTTTGTTTGATAAGCCTAAGATGCTCCATCTTGCATTTTATGTTAAATGTAAAGAGTCTGTCTGGCTAATATTCTTTTCAATTCAAAATATATATCAAAATATTTATAGTGTTAACTTATTCGATTCGAACTTACCCTGTAAACTTCAGAGAAAAACCCTGAACCGATTTTTTCCTTGACAAAGTCATCGACAGAATACAATGCGGAGACGGCAGTACGTAGAGCACGACAGGAGGGCCCAGTGACAAGGCGATCCGATGATATTGTACGCATAACAGCTGCCGGTGGATGTTCGTAGTTGCTACCTTTGGTACTCCGGTTAGTGTTAGCAATAACACTGTTATTGAGCACGCCAGTTGACAACTCGGTCGACGGCTCGCCCACTCGATGAGCCACTGAGCACATGCCCGATGTGCTGCTGTCGCGCCACAAGTTCGGCGTTGCATCCACTTGATCACAAGACTTATGAATATTAGTGTTGTTATTAATACTACTACTACTACTACAGCTGGTATTGCTGGTGGTGCTGCTGCTGCACGCTGGCGGGCCAGGTCCACTGTGTTGATTTAGATTCATTGTTATCAGCTATGACGTATAGTTTTGTTAGATGTTGTTGCTGTTGTTTGTTGATGTTGATGTTGCTGTTGCTGTTGCTGTTGCTGTTGCTGTTGTTGTTGATGTTGATGTTGCTGTTTGTTTGTTGATGTTGTTGTTGTTGATGTGGCAGGTGGGCAAGGATCGGTCGATGGTTGATGATGAAGTAGGCCTTGGATAAGCGGCAGCGCTTTAAAGCTGCGTTGCTTTGTCCAAATTACATCGGCCACAATTCAAAAGATACACCGACTGGGCCCTAACACGGACACGAAATGTTTTTTGAATGTTTTATGTTGGGCGTTCAAATCTAATATTATTTGTTGTTTATTCGGGCACAACGCTTTCTGGTGCTTATTTGGCCAAGTCAATTGACAAACTTTGGAGACAGAAAAAAAAAATGTATATATAAATAAAAATAGGAAAATCGATCGGAAACCGTAAATTTTGGATAATTTAAATGACGAGAAACTCCAGTAAGTGCGACGACATTCAGATTAGTTTTTTGTTTGGCACAATCTTATTGGAAGATATTCGAATTGGAAGCGCTTCGGAATTCTGTGGAAGAAAAACAAGCAGAAAAGAATATCGATTAGGTTTGCTAATTGAATGGCTTACATACAGAGGCAAAAGTAAACATTTTATAAATAACATACTAGGTCGGCTATAATGTTATTATTAAAATAAATTGCTTACATAATAGTAATGTACTAAATCGGGTAAATTGTTATTAATAAAATGGTAATTAGTAGGCATTAACCATGTCAAGCCAAGTTGCTTTAGACCTAGATTTGTCTACTTGAATACAAGCATTGATTTCGATCCTATAGTATTTAGAGCTAATGCCACCTGTAGCACCTATAAATTTCTACGGTATTGATTAAAACCATTATCGATCTTTAATTATCATAGCTGTAAGATCTAGAGTTTAAATCTTATGCTAGAGCTATATCTCGCGTTGATCATGTTGGCTCCATATTTATGATAAGCCTTTTCTGGTTATATTCATGAAGCCGATTAAAATCGATTTCGAACGATATCTCGTCAGTTGTGGGAGATAGTTAATTCATCCCATATGCTTAAATGATATTTGAATTTGGTTTTATTACGTGTATATAGAGTATATGAGTAAGGAATTTGCTGAATATTACAGGTTTTATACATTTTTACCTCTCCTTTCTTTGTTTCCATAAAATCAAAAAATAAAGATAATATTTCAAATAATCTAGGTGGCTTTATCATTCTTTGACATGTTGATTAAGAAAGTCCAATTGGTGCAATCAATTAATTTCCAATAATAAAGTCCCTAGCACGTGCTCACATATGTATGTGTGTGGTTGATGTATGTATGATTGCAGTACCAGCTCTACGCAGGGTATCTCCTAGTCGGGCATTCCCGACTAGGGTACTCTTGCGTGTTATTAACTTATTTATTTAGTAATTTGATGTGTACAATTTGTGCAGAGTAAATTTCGAGCTATTTGCTTTTGATAAGAGCTCTTTTTTTCTTGCGATCAGAAACACTTACATTTTAACGTTTTTGAAGCTGATAAAAAAAATTGTTAACAATATACGTAAAACATTATTTTTCAATTGACCGTGAATAGGTGTTCGAGCATATTTTAGATTTATAATGGCACTACATGCTAAAATTTTCCAGTAGTTCAAAAAGAATATTAGCTAACCGCATGCCTGATTAACGATGACATAACAACATTGTTGCGCTCTTTCTGTTCTAATCAAAAATGAAATAGAAAAAATTATCAGGCAAAACGACAACAGCACCATCAACAATAACCACAACAACCATACAAGTTAGCAATTTGATTTGCACCTTTTTATCAGCGAATTCGCGATAAGATAGCAGCAGAAAAAATGGCCTAGCAAATCTAAAAATTGGGTATACAAAATTTTGCTGGCAATTGAAATACTTCGAATTGCCAAATATACTTGACGTCAATGCAATCTAACATTGCTGGCTGTCCTTCGTCCTCTACTGTTAATCAAATACTTATTAGACTCGGTTACCATGTTATATAACAGTGCTGGCTCCATCGCTTGCTGAACACTGTTAATGAAATACTTATTAGACTCGACTTCCATGTGATCTAACCTTGCTTGCTCCTTTCTCCACTATACAATGTCACCCAAATACTTATTAACAGAGGTGGCTCCTTTATCCACATACCAATTAGACTCGACTACGATGTTAGCTGAATGCTCAGCAACCGGAAGATCCATTACATTTAGTAGCTATGTTAGCAATAGCAGAAATTGCATTTGAGCTCTGTTAGGTCTCCCGGTAGGTTCGACACTAAGTGCCTTGATTGAAAAGTAAATATGATAAGTAATTCAATTTTCTTTTATTCAATTTACTTAACATTCTATGGCACATCGACACATAGCAATGAAATGAATCCAAAGTTCAAGGCTATCTAGGTATGTGCGCATCCAACATATTCATGTCAATAGACTGATTTTACCTTAAAGGCACCATCAAGAATGCGGCTGCCGTGCCAAAAATACCCTGTAAAATTCTATACAACATGCCAAGTATTTTCTGTCTTTAAGTTCAGCTGCTCTAGGCGCAAGTAAACAGAATTTTGCAGAGCTCCCAATGTTTAGCCTTTTTCTTAATATATTTCGCCTTTTTTGTCAACAACTCAGTCAGCAAACAATGCTCTTAGCCAGAAATTCTTTGTCGGCTTCGAATTTAAACTAATTGTAAATGATGTCTCACTAAATACCCTGTGCCATTTACGATCTTTTTTACCAGCTACTGCTGTGGGCGAATAAAAGAACAATAAGTAATATATAAACAAAAAATGATTAATTTATACACAAAGCGTTGCAAAGAGCTAAGAAAAAATAAATAAAATAAATTAAAGCAAATGGGACAAGGCGCACAAAGGAACGTAAACGCATAAAATTTAAATTTATAGAGTATAAATTTGCTTTTGTTGCTGCTTCTACAATGTCGGAATACCCTATTTAGTTCCCTTTGCCATTTTTTCAAGCATGTTATCTATTTCTATATCTATTTCGTTATCTATCCCCAATTACCATATTGGTTTAATTTCGCCATAAAATGCAAGTAGAATGGAGACTTGAAGATAAATTAGACTAGAAGACATAGTAGAGAAAACAAAAGAAAGCGCAAAAGCCAAGTGAATGCAGCTGACACAGCAAACGGAAAATGCAAATTGGAAAAATTTTCAATGGTTTTTGTTCACCAGCACCAAAATCCAATAAGAATCAACTGAATCACTGACTTCAAATAATGGGAATATATGACATATGTATGCATATAACATACATATGAACATGCATATATACATACGTACACATTCACAAAAACAGAAAAATCTCGTAGCAAAAACAAACACAATGGTCGCACATATATATGTATGTGTGAGACTATGAATGGATTCACATAATAATAAGTGAAACATCTGTCGCAGCATTTGCATTTTCCGTTGAAAAGTGGCTTTCCACTAAACGAAACGAAAAAAGCGTTGGTATTGGGGAAAACTGCAGACACTAAGACTGAGCTCCGTCCGCATCGTTTGCGCCAGTGTTAGTGTGCTTGTAAATGTGTGTGTTATTTTTACATTTCCGCTGCTTACAAAAATAAGTGCATGTAGCCAGCCATCCACATTAAACAGCATTCCAAGCATATACATACACACACACTCACTCGCTCACAAGAGGTGGTGAAGCAACATAACGGGGTAAAAGCAGAGCAAATCTTATGAAAATGTATTTGTAAACAAACAGAATATATATTTATAACATAGAAAACATGTATATACTGTTTTTGTATGTGAACAAATTATTTAGAGAAATATTGATGTACTGTCCCAGGCAAAGGTCACATCATCTATGGCAGAACCGCTTCCGACGAAAATGCAGCAGAAAAGAGAACGAAACATGTACCATGTAAACCCTCACACACACTTGCATATGCACACTCACACAATTACAGAATGCACACGCCTTCACAAATATTGTTAAGCGCAGGCATATGCATATTAACCCAGAATGTTTATATTCATGATTTAATGGAACACGTTCCACCACAAGAATTTGTTAATTTTTGTTGTTTTCTTAATGATAAAATATCTTAATCAACCATTATTTACCAGTTATTTTCGTTTTTATAATCCAATAAGTACGTAGTGTATACATATGCACATATACGTATACATGTCTGTCTGCGCTGTTTTACTGCAATTGTATTAATATTAAAACACAAGCACAAAACTTAACGCAAAAACCTTTTGCGCGTTGTCGTTTTGAAAACTTCGAAATTTAGTTGGAAGCAAAAATTTCACTAAATAATACGCTCGTCTTGTTTACTGCATACTATGTATACAATTATACACTAACACAAACACACACACTCACAAATATACACATACGGGTATGCATGTAAGATTTATTGGACAACTACCAATTCATCATTTCACTGTAACGTTTTATACAATGCATTTTATGACGCTTCAATAACTTTATTTAGTTTCAAGTGCCGACAACTTTTACTCTTTTTATGTTTCCTTGCATTATTAGATGTACTTATTATATTTGCACTAGCGAATCGTATACAAACAAGTCGCGACGCGAACCCACGTCAAGCTTCGTTTCTGTCTGTAATCTGAACAATTCAGTTTGCAAGTGTGACCGCACTTGATAAACCAAATATACCATTAAAAAAGGCTAGACTTATTGTTGTTATTTTCAGTATTTTGTGGAATAACTACTTACTGGAATGCAGTCACACATTATTATAGAATCAGCTATTTTATTTAAACAAGATTGTTTAGAATTTCTATATATGTAACAAATTTAGAATGCCTTTATTCATGCGATAGGCTATTTTTTATTTTTAATATATTTCATGTATTTTCTCGCATTAAAGTTGTCTTCCACTTCATCCATAATCTTGACCTTTTTGCGCGGCTTTCGAGCCTCTAAACGTGACTTACGCTCCGATTCAGACAACGTACTTAAATCCAATGGCAACTGAATGGAATATAAGCAATATATAAGAAACATTCATCTAAATATATTTCATCTTATATAATTACTTTGATTATTTTGCGGGGTTCGTGATATCGAATGTTAATTGTGGATCCATCAGGGTGCACAACAACTGTGGGATAAACGCGACAGTAGACTGAACGATGTAGTCGCGTAACTGCTGCAGTAGCCGATGAAAGTGCACGCGTCTGTTGAATAGTTTGATGTAAAAGCTTCAGCATTTTAATAAATAATATTAAATGCAATGTTTTCAAGCAATTGATAACCCAAATGTGTTCATCGAGTGTGACCAGTTGTTGAAAGTAGAAAAAAGTGCTAGTTTCGCTTGGCAATGGGATTTCGTAGTGAAATATTCGATAGCTTCTGCATCAGCAGTCCGATTCGATAATTATTATCTTGTTGAAGTAAGTGGTGTGCAAAATCGTGCATAAAATAAAACTTAATAAAATTGTATAATTCGATCCAAGGATAACACTGTGGATGTAATACACATGAATTAAATAAAGGATAATGTCCTCTGATAAACCACCGTTTGCGATTATGAAAATTTTAGTGCTGCTATGAAGTTACATAATTATTGCAGAACCAATTTTATGTGCATAGCTGAAAAAACCTTAAAGCTTAGCACATAATTTTTCTTACTCTAATGTAATTCAATGCGATTTTCATTAATATTCTCTGTTTTCAGAATTGAACATAATAATAATGGCAGCACGCCGCATCGCTCAATCTTCGATCAACTGGTCTGCTCTGGCCGAGCGTGTGCCCGCTAACCAGAAAAGCAGCTTCGGTGCTTTTAAGACAAAATCGGACATTTATGTGCGTGCTGTGATGGCCAATCCAGAGAATCCACCAAAAATCGATTGGGCATACTACAAGAAATTGGTTCCCATCGCTGGTCTAGTCGACGGTTTCCAGAAACAATACGATGCATTGACCGTGCCGTACCCTAAGGACAATGTTTCGCAGCAGGTTGATCGCGAAATCGAGGAGTCGAAGAGCGAGATTTCTAGCTACAAGAAATCATCTGAGCAGCGCATCCAGAATTACCAGAAGGAAATTGCTCATTTGAAGGCATTGCTACCATACGATCAGATGACAATGGAAGATTATCGTGATGCATTCCCTGACAGTGCTTTGGATCCCATCAACAAGCCCACTTTCTGGCCCCACACACCAGAAGAACAGGTTGGCTACAAATCCAAGGAACAGCTGGAGGCTGAAGCCCATGGACACCATTAAGCGCATAAATGCAATTTGTGTAGCATGATATTATAAGTGTTTTGATTCGAATTATAAACATTTATGATGTGCTATTAAAAATCTTTAAAATCGAAAATAAAGCGAAAAATTTGAAACGAGCTGGCATGTCCCCACTTCGCTTGAAGATTAATTTTTATATATATATCGATAGGTTTATAAAGATATATAAGACCATTTGAATTATTTTTGTAATTGAAAATGAAATACATATTTGTGTTTATATTATTAAAAATGCAAAAGTGAATAATACTGTGCATAGAAATATATTTCATTAGTTAGTTATTTTTTTTAAGTTGCGATATTTGCTTCTAATTAGCACTACCACTAGCATAATGTTACATAAATATCGATTCATCGATAAAAACATGTTGGAACAAAGAAGAATAACATTAGCATTTGAGGTTCTGTTAAAATGCATTTGAACCAATTAGAAGATTTAAAATCTAAAGTCAAGGCAGTTCACTTTCGTTAATTTTAATAATACTCTGTTCACTTGAAACTGATTGTGGAATTCCGATGATGGTTCAGTTATACAATTGTGTTTAGTTTAGTTCATTCGATTGTATAGTTTACTTATTGGATAAATATAAAGGATTTATAGCGGAACTAAGTGAACTGAACTAAGCTATTCGTTCACATTAGTGCATCGACTGATCGGAAAAAGAACCAAAATACTTTTGTTAGGCATAAATTAGTAGTTCGTTAAATGAACTTATAAAAAAGAAGAAAACGAAAAATACATATATAATTAAGTTAATTCACGACGTCTGCGTTGCATGAACTATTTAACAATTTTGCTGTGTAATCGTAAACCGACGATGCTTTCGCGCCGAAGCAAAGACAAATCGCAGGCACATAAAGAAGGCGTTGTGGGCAAATATGTTAAGAAGGACACGCCGCCTGAAATACCGGTAATAAACGTATGGACCTCCTATCCAGACCAACAAAACCAACGTGCCAAAAAGAAATCATTGCAACGCTGTGCTAGCACGTCGCCTAGCTGTGAATTCAAACCGCGCAGCTCCAGTTCTAGTCGCAATACATATTCGTGCAGCGATGTTCAGCCGGATTATTATCATGCGCGACGAGCTCAAAGTCAAATGCCCTTGAATAACAATAATAATCAACAAACGCTGCAGCCACCGACAACGTCCAATACTCAGTTTCAGCAAAGTAACTATGTTAATATTGAGCAAATGGAGCGTATGCGACGTCAGCAATCCTCCCCACTGCTCCAGACGCCCACAAGAGGCTTCCAACGTAGTTATTCAACGCAGAAGCAAACACAACCCGTTGGTGCGCCGAGCTATGATATCGATCAGGGCTTACTTAATGCCTCCTATGCTAATATGTTACAAAGGCCAACTCAATTTGCTATGCCACAGCCAACTCAGCTGCTGCATCAGCCTGTGCAGCAACATGCTTCACTCATAAGGTATTTCACTAAATATATATATATAGTTGCTTTTCATATTTAATGATATTTATTTTACACATTTGCAGAGCTCCACTTGCACAGCAGCAGCAACACTTAGCAGGTCATATGATAGGCAGCTATTCAAGCGATTCGTATCCCATATATGAGAATCCATATCGTGTTTCTTCAATGCGTGTAACGCAATCACAGCGCTCCGAATCTCCTATATATAGCAATACCACAGCATCATCAGCTACGCATTCACATCAGCATCACCAACATCATCCACATCAACATGCACATCATCAGCAATTTCATCATCACTTACCACTGCCCCTAAGCGCATCGCTGAGCGTTAGTGGACGCGGCCGAAGCTCTGGTAGCACTCGAATCGCCTCCAGTTCTGTACAGTCTCTCTACGCGCCACCTTTGACTCCACCTGCGGCTAGCAATTCGTCTGCCGGTGCCGCTGGTGACAGCAATAGCAATGGTGCTTTGCAAAAGGTATCATCACAGCAGTCCCTGACTGAGAGTGAAGAGCTGCCATTGCCCCCCGGTTGGGCTACGCAGTACACATTGCATGGTCGAAAATATTATATTGATCATAATGCACATACCACGCATTGGAATCATCCATTGGAACGCGAGGGTCTGCCAGTTGGTTGGCGACGCGTTGTATCCAAGCTGCATGGCACCTACTATGAGAATCAATATACCGGCCAGTGTCAAAGGCAACATCCATGTTTAACATCTTATTACGTTTATACCACATCTGCTGAGCCGCCCAAGGCTATACGACCCGAGGCGCCGTTATATGCGCCACCTGCGCATACGCATAATGCTTTGGTGCCAGCAAATCCCTATTTGCTAGAAGAGATACCCAAATGGTTGGCCGTGTATTCAGAGGCAGACTCCTCCAAGGATCATTTGCTGCAATTCAATATGTTTAGCCTGCCAGAGCTTGAAGGCTTCGATAGCATGTTGGTGCGACTGTTCAAGCAGGAGCTTGGCACAATAGTTGGTTACTATGAGCGCTATCGGTGAGTGCTAACTTCAACCCGAATCAGCAATTTCTTATTAAACTCTTATTTCCTTTCCCTTGCAGTCGCGCCTTAATCTTGGAAAAGAATCGTCTTGCGGGTCATAATAAGCTACAATAAGCTGGACAGCATGAATATTTACCCCATAAGTTATACCACCCTTAACATAACTTCCGGACAATTCGTTTTGATTTCTAAAAAGAATTTCAATCAGTTTGTAAACTGTGATATAATTTGACTAAAAACGAATGGAATATAAAAGAAAAACTGTTTTGAATTGCAGTTTAAGTTCTTGCTTGACTTTTTGCTTTAGCACATACTAAATTATTCATAATTATATATTTATGGCTTGTGTTCCGGTTTTTATCTGATATAAATATTTATGGAAAACGATTTACAAATTTAAATATACGATATTCAATGGAATTGAAACCCAGCAGCAAGAGATACTCAACTAATTAGTGCAGCAAAGCAAATTAATTTATAATGAACATTTATGGGTATATAAATTTGAAAAAATCTTATTAATAGAAAACGAAGTTCTACGACTTGAGTTGACTACAACAACAAAGCACCTACAATCGATGCACGATCGAGCAGTTGAAGAGCGTCGAACACTCCAATAACAAAGTGAGCTTCAATCTACCCTAAGCCCATGGCAAATGTGTAAGCTGGGTATAATGGTTTTCTGAAAATGTATGTAACAGCTAGAAGGAGTTATATACTACGTTTGTTAACAGCTAGAAGGAGTTATATACTATGTTTGTGTAATTATATTTAACCTTCAGAAGAAGGATCTAATAGATTTCTGTTACAAAGCTTTAGCTGCAGCTATCCACACCACGCGCACTATACCAAGTTTTTTTCAAGTTATAGTTCGATTTTCTTAAAACTCGTATCAAAATGTAGTTTTATAAACAGCTCGTACGTCTTACTAAAATTACCAAATTATGTTTATATAGTCTAGTAAGGTATTCTAGAATATTAATTATATTATATATAAATTGATATATATTCCGCTTTCAAAAAGCAGCATCACCAAAAGCAAGTTCTGTTTTCCACATGTGCATACATATAATAAGGCTAAGTTCATGCGCTAAAAGTGATCAGAGTCAGATCAGATTATAAATACGTAAGAGTATATAAACACGTCACTTCTATGGCATTTTCGACAGAAGGCGTCTCCGTGATTTTCTGTTGTAGAATGCAGTAAATCGCAGCGCATCACGCCGTTAAGGGTATGTAGTAGTCAGGCACACCCGATCACAGCACACTGGCTCGTTTCATATAAAGTATTGAGGCGCCGTTGTACGGTGCCTCAGTATCTTGAGAGTCGCGTATCGTTGAACACACTTTAAGCTAGCGAGTGGTAAGTTGTACACGTTGTTTAAATGCAATACGAAAATGTTTTTTAGTTCTCGATTCGAGTTGTAAATACACACTTTTATTCGAGTGCGTAAATACTGTTTTGTGTATGTATAAAAAAGTAAAAAAAAAATAAATCAAATGTCGCCTAGATACTTCGACATTTCTGTTGTTGTGCTTTCCAACGTGAGCCAACTTTCAAGTGAAAGTTCTAATCCGGCTGCAAAACGATATCGGAAAACGACCAATTGGCTAATATATTTGCATTGTTAATTTAAACAAATGGCTAAGTCAGCAAATATTTGACAGCTATATATAGTTGTATAGCGCCCATAAAGTGTACATTCTTTAAGAATCGTATTTATACTTCCAACTCTTTATTTAGTATGCTGTCGGCTAACTTTGTGCGGTTGAAGTTTTAGTTCGAATCATCATTGATTACCGCAATCAATTGATTAGCCAATTTATTGCAACATGCATCATTAATACAACAGCAGCAACAACAACAACTACGTATTGTAACTAGCCCGATTAGGCTTATCAACGAGCCTGATAAGTTTATATTCAGGATGTTGTATACGATTTTTGCAAAGTCATCTGCTTTTGCTATCAATAGCTGAATATCTGAATGAATAGGCAATTCAAAATAGAAACGAGTATATTGGCTTCTTGTGAATTGCACCTCTCAGTTATGAAATCCAAATAAGCTCAACTGATATATCAAGTAAAGATTAATTATACTCGCTCACTTAGTTAATAAGAGTATATCGGTGTTGCAGCATTTATATTTATGTGTGGTATATACTGTGTTTACCCTCGTCCGTCCATCTGCCCATAGAATCGGGAAGTAGCTGAAGACTTTAAATTTGAAAAATAAATGCTCGACTGATAAGCTATTCAAATTGATATACTCGCTCACATAGCGAAAAGACCATATTGGCTTGCTGCCTTTCTCATCTTGGCATCTGCGAAATTTTGAATATATATACTGCTAGGCACACTTATCTGATAGTATCTTAGAGCTTTGCTTACGCTCACTAGAGGCATGGCTGAATTATAGCTTCTAGAATATAAGCTGTGTTGCCAAAGTCATGAAAATTGAAATATTAACACATATAATTACGCGGCATAAAAAACTCTAGGTTAAGTGGCCTAGCCTAAAGGAGGCGTTTCTAGTGTGCCATACTTCAAGTAGAGTTGAGTTAGATATTTCAAACTGAAATATATGAAGATGAGGTTTATATAGCTATACCTATTGCGGGCATGAGCTCGTAAGTTATATTCTGTTGACTAAGAATCTCAAAGAAACGTTGCTTAGGCCATGCTAATGCATATGCTCCATAGTTTTGGAGATCACAAGGTTTACCATGTGGATCACTGATCAACAGGTCCACAGCTATCTATCTCTACATTTGGATAATCTTCAAGCTATATTGCATAAACAAAACTTTAGTTATTTTTTAACCTTGAACGAGCATTGAGCAGTCGCTAGCACCCGTTTGTTAAGTTTTTACTTGTTTTATAGAGTGCAGCATGTCATAGTCAAGGCGGCTTGATTTGTAGAACCTCCGCCATATGAATGTCTGTGATTGTATATGTTACTTGATACATTCGTATACAAGCGTCTTTTGATAGTGCTGACATACAGACTCACACAGTCATATACGTATGTACGTAGTAGGTTTATGACTCTATATGACTCGTTGTAGATTGTTGTTAGTTGGGCTTGTGCGTGTAAAAAAAAGTATAAAAGCTTTGCTTTCGTTTTTTGAGATGTCTTTTGTTATATCGTGGAACGCGCGAAAAGGTCGCGTTTTTTAATTCATACAACAAATAACAATATTTCATAAAAGGTAATTCACAGATATATTGTTGATAATTAAAGAGGAGTTCTCAGGAATGGTTTAAGTTTGCTAAAAGCAAACATTGAAGCGGGCTTGATGTGTGATACTGAAAAGAGTATATTGGTTTTGTGCACTTAACTTTAAATTTGGGATATATGTAAGCGTGTCTACGAAAATGAAAATATTCCTAGAGATCATACCAAAGCCGTTAACAGCAAATCTTTCACAGCTATAGAAGCGTGAATAATCAATATCAAGTTTTGTCATTGTATAACTGTTGAGATATACCTATAAGTTATAAGCTAGTAGGTGAATTTCAATCAGAAAGTATTTTTTAAACTCAAGTACGTGTAGTGCAGTACGCGGTGTTCATGCTGATTATTGCTGAAGTTGTAATATAGTTGACCTCTATACATATCTGAAAGTATCTAAAGTAGGGTAAAAATAATAGCACCACATCATATTCTGTATTGATCAGAAAGTGTATTTGTATCTAAGTTTTTATTTATCTATTCATATTAACTTTTTGCTGTATGTAGTTTGAAATCTCTGATCACTGATCAAATTGTTCTCCTGAATGCGGCGTTATTTGCTTTTTGCATTGCTTCAGATCTTCAATTTCCTTTCAGAATTGATTGGCTGTAAATGTTGTGGCCTGAATGCCTATTGACTGTATGACTCTCAATTAACACAATGAAGATATATTAGCTATATGTATACTGAATATATACCGAGAGTTAATGAACTGAAGTACATAAAAAAGTGAATTACAAGTGAAATAAAAATAGATTGCGAAATGCAAAGCAATTAAGCAAATTCCAGCTTCAGATTACTCACGCACTCATATATACTATGTATTTTATACTATATTATTAAGTAAATTAAGGTAAATTTGTTTTAGTAATAACATTTATAATAATAGTTTTTAGAATTTTAATTAAAAATAGATAATTAAAATATTGCCCAATATAATTATTAAGAATAAATATATATATAAAATAAACCCTATATATAACTAAATAAAAAATTAAAAATGTATATTTTCTAAGGAAATAATTTTTTTTAAATTATTTTTTTAATTATATATTTCTAATGCATATTATAATTATTTACTATATTTTATATATATCTATTTATTATTAATTAATTAAAAATTAAAATTTATTTTAGAATTTTGAATATATTTTTTTGCCTTGCTATTTTTAAACACTAATAATTGGTCTCAAATATGGAAATTTAATTAATTCTTTTTTATGTAATTTTACTTCTATTTAAATATTTTATTATATAATATTACTTTATCATTTTAATTTTTTTTTCTTATTTTTAAGCTCTTGGTAATTAAAATGGTAAAGGAACAACTTAATTTGCAGGTGTTTTAAGACGACAAAAAAATGGTTTATCGTTGGCGTTATTTGCGCCAATTGCTTGTTGTTGTATTGTACGGTAAGTTGTTGTTATTGTTGTTGTTTTTTCATTAATATTCAACAAAGTCAAATGCTAAAAATAAAACTGTTTTGTTATCAATTGCAGTTACAATTGGACTATCAGGAGCAACAGCAAATAATTTACTTACCGTCAACACTCACGACTTGACAGTGTTGGTAAATGACAATAAAAGTTTTGTGGTTTATGTCAGGTGAGTTGAGAGTATAAGGAATAGGATGGGTATTATTGTAAGAGTAAAGACATATGATTTGGAAAGGCTTTTGCCAGTAGGTTCTTAATTTGAAAACGCGATTGAAGTTGAAACCTTAATTTAAATCGTTATATATACTATGAATTTTAAAATATAATTTTAGTAAAATATTGTGACTAGCTGTTATATCTCTTGATGCATGGTCAGCGAGTCAATAGTGTTTCATTTGTTTATAGAGTATAAAAAAGCTCGATTCGATTTATATTTATATTAATATAAAACACAACTTGATTTCTTACAATTTCACAGCGAAGACCTAACGGAAGACATCTCAGTAACTCTGATCAAACAGTATGACAATCATTTGGATTTGGATCCCGAATCTTTTATATGCCTCAAAGGCACTTCAGCCCAACAAACTGTTGTTGTAACGGGTCTAGCGGCGGGTCATGTGGAGGTTACAGCGAAGAGCAACTCTAACGACTTATCAATGTGAGTGGATCGAGCACTGACGTATATATATATCTATATAATCTTAAATATGTTCCATTCTGGCAGCACTGAAAATGTTTTTGTTCGTGTCCTTGTGGCCAAGTCGAATGCCATAATCTATGCTTCCATTGTTTTTGGCTGGATATATTTTGTGGCCTGGTCCGTGTCGTTTTATCCACAAATCTGGATCAACTATAGGCGTAAATCGGTTGAGGGCTTAAACTTCGATTTTCTAGCACTGAATATTGTTGGCTTCACTCTGTATAGCATGTTCAACTGCGGACTCTTCTTTATCAAAAGTCTACAAGACGAATATAGCGAACGACATCCGCGCGGCGTTAATCCGGTTATGCTGAATGATGTCGTCTTCTCATTGCATGCCATGTTTGCAACATGCATTACAATCGGACAGTGCTTCAGATATGAGGTAATTATTTGCTGCGATGAGTTGTAGTACATATATATAATACTGTACACAAGATTCTTAGTGATATGTTGACCAGACAAAGGGCTTGCTATTACTTACTGTAGCCAAATAGAATACTATGTTTAATATCTTCCAACTGAGCTTCTCTTGAAGCTTAAGCATTTAGCTTTATTTGCCTTAAGTTTTAACACTGAAATTTACCACCTAATTCTGTTATACACGTGTATAACAATTTGTTTTCATAATATTGCTCACATTTAGATGATTTCTGCTGCTTCTTAAAAGTGTTTTAATAGTATAATACTGTTATAAATATTTTTATATTAAAATTCTGTTATGCATGTGTATTACATATCCATGAGCAGCTGTCATATATAACAGTTTTCTTTGCTTTCTTCTTTTTTTTAATATCATAGCGTGGACAGCAACGAGTATCAAGGATCGCATATGGTCTCTTGTTGATATTTGCGCTTTTGGTAATCATATCAATGGGACTGGCTGGTGGCTCTGTTATACACTGGCTAGATTTTCTATACTACTGCAGGTATAATTGAGTTATACATATAAATATATTGATTGTAATACTAATGTGATCCATTATTGTAGCTATATCAAATTGACGATTACAATTATTAAATATATTCCACAAGCGCTAATGAACTATAAGAGAAAAAGTACTGAGGGATGGTACGTATGAATATTTGAATATAACTGTTATACTTTTATATAAACATTTATTCTTAGGAGTATTGGTAATATTTTATTGGACTTTACTGGTGGCACACTGAGTATGCTACAAATGTTATTAAATGCTCATAATTATGGTAAATTGTTTGTAATAGGAAGGAAAATCGTACAAATTATATGTAAATTTATTTTTGTATATTTTTCCATAGATGATTGGGCTTCAATATTTGGTGACCCAACCAAGTTTGGCCTTGGCCTTTTCTCAGTGCTCTTTGACGTATTTTTCATGCTTCAACATTACGTATTTTACAGGTAAATAGTATATTTTTTTATTTAAAACTTTCATATGAAATAAAGGAAAATTGTCATATGCCTGTACAATAGATAGTAAATTCCCCAATACTATTGAATTATGTGTGTAAGCTATCAAGAAAGTATTATAAAAAATAACAAAACTAGTCAAAATATGTTTTATAAAAAGTGAGTGTTTCCAAAGAAATAATATATACATATCTAAGTCATAAATGTTTTATATAAATTTATATGTATTATTTTCCATTGTCACAGGCATTCCAACAAACGGGCGGAAACAGTTTCAGATTTAACGACAGACACTGCGGCACCAAACGATGTTCATATTGATACAACAATCAAATAGAGTTAGGCGGAATATTCATATTATTGTTGACTGTTGAACGTTGAAAGTTTGTTTAAAATGTGTATATATTTTTTGCTAAGTTATTGTTTTTGTTCACTTTACCGTATTGAAAGTGTATATAAATAAATTTAAATAAATGTTAAGTCCAATGACCAACCAATGACTTCTATGTAAGATTTTTAATGAACATGTGGAGAAGCATTTGAATTTTAATTTAACGTTTAAATTAAGCAAAGCTTTTACGGAAAATCAACGATAATAATTGTTCAATATATCGATAAGCAGCTGTATACGATAGCTGTAACCCAGCTGGTTGTTCCGCCACGCTGTGACTGACGACATGAAAAGAAGAAGACGTAATTGTTAACTTGCTGCGTTTTACAATAATAAATTCAATTAATATATGCACATAAATGATAACGTTTATTGCAAAAGTGTGAATACATTACATTTAGAATGTCTCGCCAGAAAAAGAGGTATGAGATAATCGCTATCAGTAAGAGCCATAAACAAGCTGTTGCGTGCAATCTCATACGCATTGTTTGTGTATGTGTGATTGTGTATATTTGCATGTGGTTAATGGATTTGCACTTGCAGGCCTGCGTACGTTGTGGAGGAGCAGGAAACATTTGAGGCAGCTGGCTCCACATCACAGGAGAGTATTAGCATTGGAAGTGTCATAGACGATATGTAAGCAATAATTGAAGTACAATATATAGGTTACATTTTTTTTTATATGTATTACGATTATTTTTATTCAAAAATTAACTTGAATGTGCAAAAGGATCTTACACAGAATTCGATCTTAATTTAGTGTTGAAAAACATGCAATATATACGATAGAGGAAGTAAATTGCAAAACGATACTTTTTTGATTAGTAATCGAATCGTATTTTAGTTAGCTATTACAAATATTTAAATTTGTATACATATTTGCAGACCCATGGAGCCGATGGCCTTTCTGCACGGTCTAAACGTAAGCAAATAGAACAAATTCTTGTTACTTTTATTAATTTATTTTTATTTTCATTGCAGTCAGGCAATTTGATGCAATTTAGTCAGGTAATTATTTGACTACTTAAAACGCTGGGAGAGATCGGATTGGACCAGTATGAGTGAAAAACTGGCTACCGCAGAAAGTACACTTGTTATAAGCGAAATATCAATTTCGAACAATCCCATTGGCTTGATTCTGTATTTGATTGTATTAACTTGCAGGGCAAATGCGTGAACACTTTGACGAAAACGCCAATCAGCATTTTGTAGATTGATTTCTTGCAGAGAGCTGCCCGTAGTTCGAATTACATTTAATATATCATTGCTCACATAAGTCAGTAAGCCTATTTCCAAAATTGATATGGTCAGAAACACTAAATTGATGAGTGCACCAAATCCATCGAACTGCTTGCCAACAATGATGGACTCGGCTATGCCATAATATTGATTAAAGACCCCAACTGTAATACCCAGAAGGTGGCAAATCAATGATAGAATTATTGAGAGTGACATCAGGGCCATATACTCTGTACTTTTTACGCAAATTATTTTATATTTAATTGCCAGATCATCAAGCTCATCCGCTAATGTGCAATATCTCTGTATACGATAGTATTTCGACTGAAGTTGTCTATTTAGCGCTTGTTGCATAAAATTCACCTGGTCTACAACCGCTTTAAGCCTCTCATTGACGGCCTCTGCAATGTTCGTAGCTATGATCATGGCACCGAAATAACAATTGTTTAAAAAATTTGATATAATCATTGGAAACAACTTGTGCAGCGTCCAGGTCCAATAGACATCCGGCTCATTTCGCCTCTGTTGCATGACCAAAGCAAACTCCATAACTAGCGGAAATCCAAGTACTTTGATTAGTGCCAACATTACAGATTTCCTTATTGCTCCACTATCAATGTGCAATTCGTTCAATGTCTTGAATAAGGGAACTGTGCTCATCATTTTACCAGCCGTTTTGCTCATTATCATTTGGGTAAAAAAGTTAATAGTTGCCACCGTGATGTTCATATAGCTGTATAATTTGACAGCATCGCGCAGATTAAGCTGTGAATTTATGTAATCCTGATATATCTGTCGTACGTAGATGCTCATAAATATCGTGGTCACCATTATGGAATATGCAAAAATCTTCTTCGAAAAGACATAACGCTGTCGTCCACGCAACGTAAACCGATTGGAGAATAGTCCAAACAAGGTCAACATAATTATGAGCATAATAAGCAAGCCATGAACAAGTTTGCCTTTGCCCTGAATGGGTTGACGCGACAAACGTATGCCTAGGAAACCCATTGCAGTTAAAAGTTCAATACACACTAACTGCTTCTATTCACATTTTATTTTCATTTTTATACACCTTACCACTTTGAATAGGGTTGAAGAGGGCATCCTCTTTTGTTGATATAAAGCATATACTGTTTCTGTTACCTCTTCTATGTACATGTATAAACTGGAGTAATAAACTGGAGTTCTTCTATTGCCTAGTATTAGCCAAGTTGCTATAAATATGCTCCATAAGTAGAACTAGTACAACGAATCCTTAACTTTTCCTTATTTAGTTACATATTTGACGTTATAAGCTATTATAGTTTCGAAAAGGCAGCCCAAAGCAATTTGTAAGGTATCTGTTAGTCAGGCAAGCCTACATAATAGAACTCTTAGTTTGATGTTCTCTCCGAGCCTCAAAATTACGCCAAATATTAATTTCAATCAATCAATATTATTCATGCTTGACATATGACATAGCTTGACATATCTGGAAATCGTATATTATTGATTGATTAATTAGAGAGAAAACATACGTATTCATGCCTCTACATACATTTATCATTTACTCAATGGAGCTCAAATGCAAGTCTGTGCTATGCTAGTGTAGTCGTTGTTCGCCCTTGCAAGACTTCTATACTATGGTAAACTGAGCTCATTAATGTATTTTATATATATTTGTATTCTACAATGCAGCAATCAGTTTTGCGTGAAATGATGCTGCAGGATATCAAGACACAGATAAGCTCGTTGCCCAAATTGGAGAATCACAACAATGGCGATTATCATTTTAGCATGGTATTGGAGGAGCCGCCTAAGTCGCACTGGATGTTTTCGATGCCATTGAACAAGCTGTATATACGCATGAATAAAACATTCAATATTGATGTTAAGTTTAAAACCAAAATGCCAATTCAGCCGCTAAATTTGCGAGCATTTCTGTGCTTCGTTAAAGATGTCAGTGGACCAGTGCTGCGCTGTCAGAATCATTTGAGCACTGATCCCAGTAAGTATATAGAAATATACATCCTGCACCTCATTACCTCAATTTCTTCTTTTCTTGTAGTTAAGGCTAATCAGAGCATGCGCGAAAGTCTGCTGCGCTGTGAGAATCCGAATACAACATATTGCGGCACGTCTGATGGGAAGAGTATTGGCGAAAGATACTCTGTACTTGTGCCATTGAACATGAGTCGTTCCAGCCAACACAGCGGTGGCTTAGTACGTCAAACGTTGGCATTTAGTTTTTCCTGTCAAAATTCATGCTTTGGCCGCAAAGAAACTTGTTTGGTTTTTTGCTTGGAGAACAGCAAGTAAGTCGTTGACTACTTACAAAAATCTATTTTAGATAATCATATTTATATATTTGTAGTGGGGATATACTAGGTCAGCAGGTGTTATATTTGAAAATTTGCACTTGTCCTAAGCGCGATCGTAATCAGGACGAACGACAGCTGGAGAAGACCAAAATGAGATTATTGTCAGATGCTGCTGAAGATGATGAAGTGGATGGACCGAATGCCAAAAGAAAATATCGCCCCACAACATTGAATGACGACGTTAAAGAGGAAAATGAAAGCAATGATAGCACCGATATACTACATGTACCTGCTGATTGGCAAGTTTCCCGTACAATAGACGGAAACTATCGTCTGGTTATCAAGTGTGAACAAAAGGATTTGCTGCTGCAGAGCATCGAGGGCATTATAGAAAAGGCGGCCGTTGCCTTGCTACGAAATCCACAAAGTACAAAACTGCACCAGCATGCGAACCATTTGTTGAATTTAAAAAGTAATTTGAATTTTATTTGTTCCTGCAGTAATTTATTAATAATTTGATTTTGCTTTCAGAATGTGCCCTAAAGTTGCCCTAATTTGGATCGTTGGCAGTACAATAATTAGTATTACTTAAATTAGTATACTTAAATTAAGTTTTAAAGTTATTTAAGCGTTATAATTATCATTCCTAAGGAAATGTTTTAAAACAATGACATCTACATATTGACAATACAAATTTCGTTTTTAATGATAAAGTGAAAACGAATTTGGTTTTTTAATTAAATTTTTTCTTGAATATAACATAAATTATATATGTTCATATATATGAATGTGTATTTATTACAATAATACTGTATGTTAAATTTATACGTGTATTTTAACCTTAATATAAATGAATATTTACATAATATATATAAAATGTAATAAATCCAAATCTTAACTTTATATAAATATGGTTTTGAAAAACTAAAAATAATTAATTTTATTGTGCAAAAAGAATATATATTTATGTATAAATATATTTGATTAATATTTGAGCTTTATACACATTCAACGTGAACATATTAGTATATTATAATAAAACATGCTATTGAGTGTAATAGACTCTGTTATCGTAAGTGTTTTAAATGTGTTTAAACTCGATGTAAAAGAAGTATGTGTTTTAAAGAATTAAAATGAATTTTGGATGGGAAGAGTAGGGGTTTAATGATCTATTAGAAATAAATTTGTCATGTTAAACGAACTCTAATGTATACAAAAATGTTTATGTATAGTTTGTCTTGTTGCAGATTTTGGTAAGTAAATTAAAATTAATTAAAATAAAATTTTAGTGAATGGATCATTAAATTTCAGAGCACATGCAACATTTGCACCCAGTCGATAGTTAAAATATTTTTGTTAACAGATCAACAAAGTTATTTGCGTTACCTCATCTCTCTGTCTGTTATTATATAAACTTCTATAACAAATCTATCATAAGACCCAAGCTACCTAAACTTGAAAAAACTTTACTATCATTAAATATTACCAAACTCTTAAATACTTAAGACTAGTCCACTATAGAGCAACATTTACTTTACAGAATGGCCTCAGCTGTAGACTGCCACATCTATGTTAAAGTAAATATCTGTCTAAAATAAAGATTTTCTTGGCTTAAATATAGCGAACATCTGCTATATGCCGTCTTGTTGAAAATAGCTGTTAAGTTATTTGTTTTTGTTCATTTCTTGTAGCCTCTTCGTTTTTTGCCAAAGAACATGTGCGAAGAGTCAAAGATCAGAAAGCAGATGTTTAATGGGTTTTTATTTTGCCTTCAGCCATGTGTGGTTTAATCAATAAGTGCGTTATATTTATAATCGAAACTATATTTACAATAAATCTTAATTTCGCTCACAATATTGTAATCTATACGGCTTTCTCTTTGTAACTTCGAGAGCTGCCATCGAAAGGTTGGCGGACCTGTTTGCAATACCAAATGCTTGAGTGAATTCCGCGAAAGAAAAATACTCAAAGTTGTACTCAGAGGCGAAAAAAGATTTGAAATAAGTATTCAGCAAGTTAAGGGCGTCTAAGCCTGTAATATATATATGGCTGTACATGAATATATAAGTATCCAATATATATATTAACATTTCTAGAACAAATTAAGTTAAGCTGCATTCAAAAATATCCAGAATGAGTGAAGCTGCAAAATCTTCTATTTATATTCTGTATGTTGCGCAACAGGGTATATTGTTTATCTTGATAGTATATATAGGCTTAATCTTGATAGTATATCTATAATGTTGAAGGGCACAGTTCAGTCTGTTCCCATATATAAGCGCGTCGATCTCGTTATAAGCGCTGGAGACTTAACAACTAACACGTAGCTTCTATAACATCTATTTTGTTTAGAGCTATGAATAACTTGACATTCTTGGCGTTTCTCCTTATATATAAAACAATATAAAATGTCTATTACATATGAATATAAAAACTATTTACGATTGAACATTGAACATTTGAGATCGAACAATAAACAATAAACAATAAACTTATTTCATAACGTCTATGCATCAAGTTTTACGAAGAGCTGCTCTTTCATTTCTGGGCATATTCTAGTCGAACATGCCCTATTAAAGCACACTAAAAGCTAAAAGCTTTAATAATACTTATATTAATGCATTGTATTCAAGAGATTACTGTTACAGTAAAACTGTCTATATATGTAGGGTATTTGCTAGTCGACTACTGTCTTAGGCACTGCTGAGCGTTGTTAACTACGTGCATGTATACTAATAAAGCAGGGTATACACTTGATTATTGCCTCATTCAGGCAATTTGTGCGTATAGGGTATATGTTAGTCGAGCAGACTCGCACGCTCGCACGCTCGCACTGTTGAGCTTTCGTTAACTGCATATTTATGTTCAATGCTTGTGAAGCCGAAGTCAAGACATCAGGTGAAACTGCCTACACATGCAATACTCTCTCTCTCTCTCTCTCTCTCTCTTCCTCTCTCTCTTCCCCTCCCTCTCTCTACATGAACCATTGAATTCCACTCGAAGAAAAAGCCAAGCACCTACAGCCAAGCGACTGGCATTGGGAGAGCGGAGAACCGACTTGTTGTCGGCTTGCTACACCAAACCAGATAACTCGACGACAACGATATATGAAAAAGTTGCCAGAGAGCGATCTGCAGCTTGTGTGGAAGAGTACGGAAAGTTGAGCGCATTATTTTAGTTTTATTTGATATTGCTAGCTCAACGCACGTGCGGTTCCATTAACGCTAAAAATAAAATAAATAAGTAAAAAATTGTGCTTTTATGCAACTGCATAAACATGGTTGAAACAGCTACCACAACAACAATCACGCGGACCACATCGACTGCAGCGCCCAGCTCGAATGTTGCTCCATCGGCCACGCCCTCGCCCACTGCGGCACAGGCGCAGCGCAACGATGAGCGAACGCGTCTCGGTTACAACTTGCAAATTATCGTTTTCCTATGCCTGCTGCCGTTCGTTCTGCTTGCCGTGTTCCTTAAGCACCTGCTGGACTATCTGTTCGCCTTGGGCTTGAAGGAGAAGGATGTTAGCGGCAAGGTGGCATTGGTAAGCACAGGTGGGCGCGCAGCCCTATAGCCCAGGTGTTTTGTGACTCAGTCGTGTGCTCAAAATGTCAAACAGAAAGAATTCGTGAGTCTTGGGAATAAGTGTACTCGAGTGTTAGACTGCTAAGACGCCCACTGGAGGCGTGGCAATTTCTACATAAATTATATATAGATATGGAGGCTGCTAGGAATTTGGACTATATATACCTGGATAAATTGACTAGATTCTTTTTAAAAGTTCACCCATTGGGGGCAAGACACAACGAGCTTGAACTTTTATAGCTGTACAGTGAGACACCTGCCTGAGCTACTATTGGCCTGCTCTATAGCTTGACTAAAAGTTATAGAAGCTCGCCTCTTGGAGGCGTGGCGTTCACAGTTTTTAAGCTGAGATCATCAAGCTTAAGGGATCTAGAGCTGTTATAGCCTGTCCACCTTTATTGCAGTTACCTTTTGACCTTGATGCAGTCCGTTAAGCCCGCTCGCATTCTGTAACTCTATACAGCAAATAGTTTCTTAATACTTCAAAGGCACACAAATGTTTGTACATCCAGTTATATTGTATAGCTAAATTAATTAGTGTAACGGCACATGTAGTTTTCATATACAGTTAACTCTCACCCATGTCATGCGGTTCAACAAATGGGTGTGGCTCGATTGCGTTCGTTTAGTTTATTTTTTTTTTATTAAAACAAAGTATTTTTGCCATGCGTACCTTAAATAGTCAACGAGTGTATATATAAATGATGTCAATCCATATTTGGTCGCTACTCTTTGATGAGTTCTGAATATCAAATGAATTGTCGTAAATTTGAATATGGCTTTGGTCGGGGTCGGGGGAAACAAATAATAGCACCACTGGGATATATTGAACAAAAATGGAATGTTTTGGAATTTGGCTTTGTTAATAAATTTTATGAAATTACGTGCGATCCAAGTTGGTTTGACTTGAAAATCGTAATTTGATTTTCAATTGCTTGCGGTGCTATTTTATTTTTCGCACACATATACATACAGATATACGTGTATGTATATGAACAATTTTAATATTTTTGTTAATTTAAATTTAATGCATTTAAGGTTAATTTAAGTTCCCAACATTAAGTGTAACTTTGAATGGTGCTATTTTAATTTTCGCACATACATAGATACATATATGCATATATAGTTAAACGTATGCCATGTCAATTGACCGTTACGGCAAGGTCAAGACAGCTGCCAAAACTGATGTATGTATATAAGTAAGTGTAAGCACACACACAGACACACACGTTTATCAAGCAGATCTCTAACATGCATAAAGTTGTTTGTGTTTATATATTTTTTTCGAATTCCATTCGCTTGTAGGTGGGTCGTAAGTAACATCAGGTATTCGTCATTAAAGCTCAGTTTGTTCTATACTCTGGCAGTCGCTGGCTTACACAGATACAAATGGCAGCTAACCCATACCAATGCGCCACAAACAGGTTTTTGTATTTTGCTAAAAAGATTATGAACTTCACTTTTGTTTTCTTTCCATTAATGCACACACACATACGCACACATACATGCATACATATGCATATGTGTGCGTGTTTGTTTACATACAAAATTGATGACGTTTGCGCAGCTTCGCTCTGGCTGTGGCAGCAGAAATGAAAAAAGCAAAGATAACAAGATTCCTATCAAATGAAGATGCGCAAAAAAACAAAAATAGATATAGAAATGCAGATAACATTATTAATATGAACTTAAGATAAGCAGATAAAGACTTCCGCAACGTCTCTATAGTCCCCTTTACGTTTTTAGCAGAGTCTTTTATTTGAATGGAATTTCTATACCCTGTACAAAGTGAAAGAGTGTAAGGCAGGTAATATGTTTTGCACAGAACTTATGTGAGAGCCATAGACATATTTATATTCTTGATCTGAATCGATAGTTGAGTTGATCTATATCTGCATCTGTGGCCATGAAGAGCTCGCTCTATATAGCTTAAGCGTTGATATCTTAAGCTTTACTTCGTTTATAGCATAAGCAGATTAAGTTTATTTCCAATTATCGATAACTTTTGATAACAAACTTCAGTTATTTGAGGTCTGCAACTATAAAATCTTATATATTTAATACCTTGAATACCTTACCTCACCCAAACGGCATAGAAAAAATTCAGTTTTAAAGCGCATTTAGTTGAGCTAAGACTCACTTACCTTTTGCGTGTTCAAATTTAATTAAGATCAGTTAATTAACTTAAAAATTATTGAATAAGCACAGCTACTGCTGCTGCAGGGTATACCCTAGTCGAGCACTCTCGAACTACAGCACATTTTCTTGTGTTTTTAATAAAATTAAGTATATATAACATAGTTCAAGTGTTCAATTGACGTCCAGCCAATGGGGGTCACATCATTTTAATTACGGGCAAGACTTAAATCAAACATAATCAGTTTTTGGATATTTAAGCATGCACACACACACTCACACATGCATAGATGTATGTGCATACCGTAGCTGAATAGCTCATTGTTTGCAAATAAAGCCAATTAATTTGTACTAGTTTGCATAATGAGAGCTTTAGGGCATACATAAAGCACATGTGAATACATATGTAAAGAAAATTTTACCCAAATTCATATATGTGACGTGGCATGTGTATGTAAATAACACTGGCCAACAGTAGTTAGTAATGCAGCACATCCAAAAACTTGACACGTGGCTTATGGCAGTCTGAAAGCAGTTGAGTACTATCAAAGGCTAAAATCTCATGACACTTCTATGTTTATCAAAAATTGTATTACCATATCTAAAACTCTTTATCTTCAACTTGTTAACCTCTTCTGAACTTTTAAAAAATCTTTATTTGCTTTCAAAATATCGTCTGTTGAAAAAACTGCCCTGCTGCTTTATACCCTCACCTGGGCCCTCAGTCTTTCATATATGCCTAACTTCAGCAGACGATATCTCGTGAACAAAAAGAGATATTTACAAAATTGAAAAGAGATTTTATTGGAAAGAAGCAACATTTTTAATTAATGTAGTAGCAATTCAAATTCAGTCCGTTTCTGCTTAATCAAGTTATGTTAACACGTGTAATTAATTGACTATATTCAACTCTTAGGTAACAGGTGGTGGCAGTGGCTTGGGTCGTGAAATTTGTCTGGAGCTGGCCAGAAGAGGCTGCAAAGTAGCTGTCGTTGATGTCAACTCGAAAGGCTGCTACGAGACAGTGGAGCTGCTATCGAAAATTCCGCGCTGCATGGCCAAGGCATATAAGGTAAGTGATATTAAAGTTGAATGAGATCATTTTCATCATTGACTGAACTTGTTTTTGCAGAATGATGTTTCATCGCCACGCGAACTGCAACTGATGGCAGTTAAGGTTGAGAAAGAACTGGGACCCGTCGAAATTCTCGTTAACAATGCTTCGCTTATGCCAATGACATCGACGCCGAATCTGAAAAGCGATGAGATTGACACTATTCTGCAGCTTAACCTGGGCTCCTATATTATGGTGAAACATAGTTTATATTTACATAGTTTATATACGAGGTGTGCAGAGTAAGCGCTGTTGGCTAGATAGGATGATTTTTGATGGGCATCCTCCTCCTCAATTAGAAAGGAAACTTTGTAGATCAACATTTGTCTAGCAGCAAATATTAGTTACTTTTGTTTCAAGATACCAATAGTATAGACTGAACAGTCCAGACTTGTCTTGTGTCCAGGGGCAATCCATAGTATTTATTGGAGTAACTGTGGACCTGGTTAACAGTGATCTTAACTATAACGCTGTAGTAGAGATACTCTTTAAGTGCATTCAGTGCAATCCTTATGGGCGCTTCTCTATACATCCTTATGAGCGCTTCTCTATAGATCTGTCAAAAAAGAGTTGCTCTCCTATCACATTTTGGGGCTCTACTGAAAGTGATTCCGATACCATCTCTGCAAATTTTATATACAAACTCATACGAACGGATTTTACCACTTCATAAACGAGTATAAAAATCAAAAAAATTATATATACTATATAAAATTGTATATATATATATATAAAAAATTTTATATACTATACATAAAATCAAGAGTAATACTATTTTCTATAACTAAATGTAGCAGCAAAACTAATCACACGAAAAAGATCTCGTGAGTTTGTTGACACGATCATGCGATCCCGATTATTATCTATATCTATATCAAAGTTTCAAGTAGCCTCTTAGAAGAGTTCAAGGCCATCATATGTTGTTCTTTATACAATGGCATAAATAAAGCTGCACAATACCTTTATTTATTTATTCAGTATCAAAATGATTTTTTGTTTATTCCAAATTCGTTTTCTATCTCTCTTCTAAGGTCACCCTTTATACTTAATTGTTACATACTTTTTGAGCACACCTCGTCATATATGGCAACTTTATTGTATTTATGTAGTATTAATAAATTCAATGCAACTTTTCAGACAACAAAAGAATTTTTACCAAAGATGATAACACGAAAATCTGGACACTTGGTGGCAGTCAATGCATTGGCAGGTGAGACTTAAGAGATTTAAATAAAAATTTAATTGCAAACTAATTTTTTTAATATATATAGGACTCATTTCACTGCCCGGCGCTGGCATCTATACAGCAACAAAATATGGCATCATTGGCTTTATGGAAGCCCTAAGAGCCGAGCTGCGTCTATCCGATTGTGACTACGTTCGCACAACTGTGGCCAATACCTATTTGATGAAGACCAGCGGCGATTTGCCGTTGCTAAGCGATGCAGGGTAGATATATATATAATGTATAATGTATATATGCATAATATATAATTATAAACTCCGTTTTAGCATCTCAAAAAGTTATCCCGGCCTGTCGACTCCTTATGTAGCTGAGAAAATTGTTAAAGGCGTCTTACTGAACGAGCGCATGGTCTATGTGCCCAAGATATTTGCACTCAGTGTTTGGCTATTCAGGTAATAATTTTTAAATTAAATTTAAAATTTACAAAACTTTTTAAATTTTCAACATTTTTATATCTCATTTTTACAGATTATTGCCAACCAAATGGCAGGATTTTATGCTTTTGCGTTTCTATAACTTTGATGTGCGCAGTTCACATTTGTTTTATTGGAAGTGAGAGAGAGAGAGTTAATAACTGACTTCAATCAGTTACAGTTATATATATATATATATATATATATATATATATATATATATATATATATATATATATATAACATAGGCAACATTTCTAAATCTAAGAAATTTTCATATTATTTATTTATATAAAGCAAAATCGAATAATACTAAAAAAAATTATCTTTGATTTTTACATACAAATTAGAAAATTAAAAATATTAATTATGAAAATAAGAAAGTTATAGATTTAAATTTCAGTTACGTATGAGGTCAATTCAAAAAGTATCGACGTAGTGAATTTTAAAAGTTTTTATGTTTTTAAGAATTTTTTTTTGTGCCCTTCAAAAAAATCAGTAAGCATCAGATATTATTGACTTGTGCCAAAGTCTTTTCACTTCATAAAAAAGATCTTGTTGAGCTATGCCTTCGATGCTGTCTTTATAAGCTCAGTCGACGGATAGCATCGTCTTGTCATAGACCTCGGTTTTGGGTTTAGATTTTTCTATAGCAACAACCACAAAAAATCAAAGATTAAATTGTGGATTGAACTGTGGAAATCAGAATTCGTGATACTTTTTGAACAGAGCTTGTATTTGTATGCACATAAGTTCTTAGAAGTTATAACGCAAATAATCGTTGCAGTTAGCTGAAAAATGCTTACGACCAGCTGTGATTGAGGCATAATCCACAAGTTGCCAGAACTTTCGATACGAATGCAGCAATTGGTAAATGCTTCAGCAGTCAATGCACGACTAGCATATACCAGTGCCTTCAGCAACTGCTATACTAATTATGACAAGAGAGCTACTGTTAAGTTGCTCTACAAATTGTTTAAGAATTATAAATTATTTAGTATAATAACCCGAGTAATCTCAATAATTATACTCAGCCATAGTTGCTGAGGAGGCGTTGCTCAAAGTGCTCTGGCACTTTGGGTCTGGTTGCTCGGAGCTTCTAGATAAATTATACAGGGCTCTCGAGCGTATGCCCTATATCTTCCATAGGTCTAGAGATTGTGTGATTATTAAGCTATGAAGAGTCATTGTAGACAACGTTTACAAATCGATCCATAAATGCTGTGTTCCACCCAAGCCTCGAGCATATTCGGACAACCTTATTTGTATGCATATTGCTATTCTGAAGTGATCTTAAGAGCATTAACTTATTCTTACAATTATAATATCATTTCATGTTTATTTATGTAGATAAATTTAAATGTCAATTCCAAAAAGTTTTCCTAACTCACTTGTAGGAATAACATCAGCAGGTAGCACTTGAGGCACCCATCAAAGAACCACTTCTATGTAGCATAGCTTAAGGGTCGGCATTACTGTACACAAGCAGCCACAGCAGCCTCAGCAGCTCAGCAATAAATTCAAATTTGAGTTTTTTCCTAGATTTGATGTTACACCGAGGAAGACCCCCAGGCACCTGACAGACGCAGACACAAACTCCAAACGCTGTCGACTCTGGCGCTCGATTGGATGCGCTGCGCATGCGTAGCTGCATTGTGTTCCATAAATAAATGCGACTAATTACTTATGTGCTAGGGTTACAATTACAGTCGTCGAGCATTGCCATCGAGTGCTTAATAGCTGCGCTGTTCGACTCTGCGCTGCTCTGTTGTTGCCCCCGCGGAGTTGTCGGCTCGTAACATCGATCGATTGCAGCGTCTGTTCTATAAGCATATTTCAAACATCGTTTTCGGATTTGCACTGTTTCGGTATATATTTTTGTTTATTGTTTTGTTAGTGGTTGTCATTCAACCCCAACCTCTGGCTACGGCTAGGGCTAGGGCTATGCCCGCATCACATGTGCACTGGAGCTCGGCTAAGTGAGCGAAGACATTTCATGCTTGGCGCTCCATGTGGTCTACCTCTTCGTTCAGTGTATTTATGCTCGCTTTGATGTCTTTCTATGCTGCCTTACTGAATCGACTATAAAATAGAATTCACTTTTATGACCTCTAAGCACTAAATAACGCAAAAGGTTTTTGAAAGCGAACTCTGCAAATATACGTTATATTCGCAATGTTTTTATACCCTGATTTATATTTTAATTTATATAAAATTGTCTCTTTTATTACTTTTATTTTTTTCTGAATTTAATCAATTTTAATTATTTTTTAAATATTAAATAAAATATATTTATAATAATATTAAATATTAACATTTAAAATTAATGTTAAATATATTTTTTTATTCAAAGAAAACTTTGAATATATTTTTTTAATTTTTAATATTTAATATAATTTAAATGAATTGTTAGTTTTTATTTAATAAATTTTATTTTTTTAGTTATGTATATTTATTTTTTTTTAATGTGTTTCCTTAACAAATTTTTTTTTTTAATTTTTTTTCATTCAATAAGTTTAAAATACATATATATTTTTTATTGTATTATTTTTTATTCTATTATTATTTTTATAGTTTTTAATATTAATTATATTATTTTAACTATGTTTTTATTTTGTTCTGCTGTATTATTTCCTATAATTTTTAATAAATTATATAAACTGTTATGTTTAAATAGAGTATTGTTTATCATTAGCTTGTCTCTAATATCGATCTAAGAGCTCATCTGTTGCTTCTATTCTATTATTACGCATTTTTACTAATATCGAATTGTGTATCAATATATCTATTTTTATGCTATGTCTACCCCTTTGGAATTGCTGAAACCGGGTATGCTGTTTATTTTATAGTTTACGCAATGGCAAGATATAAATAGATGTAGTTACATACATATCTAAATAAATTCAAGATAATTGATATCATATTTTAATTTTTAAATTACGTTGATGAATTTACCTTTTTTTAAAAGCTGAAAAGATTTCATTTCTTATATTAAAATCTAATTTACAGACTACTTGCAAGTCCATCACTCCCGACTGCAGCAGGTTTACCTTTTCGTTTTCAACATTCTTGTTGCGCTTGCAATATTAATTTCCACTTGTCAAAATGTCAACCTAAAATAGAGTATTTATGATCTTATTATACGAAACAATTCTCCGTTTTGTGAACTCTAAAAAACATGCACTAAAAATAGGCGCAGAGCGAGCGGCGCAAGGCACTCGATACGAAAGTCACTTTTGGCCCCATACTGCGGTTCAAGTACAAACTTTATTTTTGCTTTAATTTTATGTTCAGACAAGGTGGGAAGTGGTAAAGATCAATTGACATTGGCATTTTCTTTTAAATCAATGAAAACATAAATATATGAAAATATAAATAAAATATTTGATTGATTTGGTAGAGCGGGAAGTTATATCAGTTCAAACTCTCAAGATTATTACTTTGAGAGTATCAGCAAGTTTATAAGAGTAGAGAAGGGGAGATCAAAGTTAATATACTTAATATATATCAATTTACCTAAGAGGGCAGAATATGCCAGAATATATTCGATTATATCAGTAAATTAATTTAGAATATTGAGAAAAAATATAGTAGAGATTATAAGACTGCATCAAGGCTTATCAAAAAAAGTATCTCAAAGTATTTTAGATTTTAATCCAGTTATCGCTGATCAAAGGCTATGCCAGAACATATCAGAGTGTCTAAAAATATTTCAGAATATATCTATGTATCTCAGTGTATATCAGGTATATATAAATATATCCGCTTATATGATGGAATATAAGAGTATCGTAAGGTAAGTCAGAAATTGTAATATTATAGTATATCAAAGTATCTAAAAGTATTTTATGGCATAATAATGTATCTCAGTATATACACTCAGAGTAGAACGGAGTCCATCAGAGCCTATCTAGGTATATCAAAGCGTATCAAAGTCTATTAAATTTTTTTATGCGTATATCATGATCAGAATCTATCAGAATTTTTAAGAGTTTATCATGATCAGAGTGAGTGATATCAGAATCTATCAAAAGTTTTTAAGTGTTTTTTCCACTTTTAAACATGCTCAAGCTACGTTCTTGAATATGTTAAATTTGTCGGCAATCATAGCATTGACATCTTAACTCTAGTAGGTCTCATTTTGATATTTTGATCTCGGCTATTAGTTTACAATCAATGCAGGACCTTCTTAGTTTCTCCCTCTAACTATTTCCATGTGTAAACATGAAAGAAAAAGTAATTTTTTGTTTTAGGGTTTTTTGAACCCATGTTAATAATAAACATTATTTACGCCTTCCTCTAAGACGCATTAACGTAAATAAAAAAAGAAGAAGAAGAAGAGTGAAGGAAAACATTGAAGGGAATCCTTAACTAAACAGACAGCGCGAACAGGAGCTGTGCCAGCTGTGCTGCTTTCAAAATATATATCCTTGCAACAAGCCACACATTTCAAACTGTTAAATTATGACATGCAACTGTCTGTTCGAGTGCCGCTACTCCAGCTCCAGCTCCTGCGCCTGTTGCGTGAGAAAATGTTATCCTTGTGCTTAGACAAAACTCACACACACACACACACTTTCACATTCACATTTGCATTTGCATTTGCCTGGCTTGCAGTAGCATCGTCATATCCCTCAACAGCTACTACGTAGCTGCCGTTTCTGTCTGTCCTGTTCGTCCTGCCTGTCCTGCCTGTCCCGCTGTATCAGGTTGCTAAGTAGTTGTTGTCTTTCAGGCACTCGTTCATTGAGTGAAGCGAGTCTATTGGGCATTCTGCTAACTCTATATGTTTGAGCTATATTTATAAATATGCAGTCTATATATGTTTTTATATAGTCGGATATAGTATATAGACCTTTTGCTTACATTCACTGGAAGCGTGGCAAATCACTTATAATTAGTGTTTCCACAATATAATTAGTTAGTTCTTGTCTATGACGTTTGCTGTATGTACTCAAGCTGAATATCATTACAAATCGATTATTATCGATTATTATTATAGAGTGTGCAAATCAGTTGTAATTAACGTTTTTACAATATAATTAGTTTTATATCTTATGTGACGTTTGCTGTATGTACTCGTGTTGAACTTCTTTAAAGATCGATAATTATCGTTTATGGCAAATCAGCTATAATTATGGTTACCCTTGCAGCTAGAGACTTGCAGACTTTTCATATTTTAAAAATTTGAATCGTGCACGAGTATTGTGCAGTCGCTAATGCCCCATTGCTGGGCTCTTAATTGGTGCGCAGCTAATTTATTTACTTTGGTTTTGCTTTTATTTTTTATGACTATTTCAGATTTTTTTTCGTAAACTAAAACATATGTTTTATGCCTTTGGCGAGAGCTGTGTGTGGAGAAAGGATCAGCAGGATATAATGCCGCTGTCTGACTGCCACTCGTGACCTGCTGCAGCACTTAAGAATTGGTGTTGACAGCGACGCTGAGAAATTGCCTCACCCACGTTACGCGTGGTTTTTTCTTTGGGTTACTTATGGAATATGTTAAAAAAAAGTAATTTAGATTAACGTTTTCCAAGCACTCCTGCTTAACACTTTCCACTTTTCTCTGGGCCTGCGCTTGCTTAGCCGTGGGAAACTCTGCCAATCAAGCATATTAGATGCGGCCTTAGCTCAAGCTATGTTGGGCCTCTGCTCCTGCACGAAGTCAGCTTACCAAGCCAGACTTTGACGTACCAAAGACGTCTTGCTAAACTCAAGGAATTCACACTTCGTACAGGCACACATTTCTCTCTCTCTCTACTTGTTTCTCCCTCTCTATCAGAGGTTCAAAGGTATCGAAGACTGCTTGAAAAACTTAAGGCAGCACCAAAGAGGTATTGAGAAGCATTAATTCACTCTGTGTCTCTCTCTTTATCAGAGACAAAATGTATCTAAAAGTGCTCTAAAACCTTCATGAAATGTATTTGATTCAGGCACGTCTTTCTCTCTCTGTCTCTCTCTCTGTCTGTCCCGTTCCATAGGTTTCTTTTTCTCTGTCAGAGACACAACAATCGAAGAATTTAATTGAATTTTATTTTATTAAGGCATCTCTCTCTCTCTTTCTCTCTCTCTCACTCTCACTCTCTCTCTCTCTCTCTCTCTCTCTTTCTATCAGGTACACAAATGCTCTTACGAACAATCACCATTTCAATTAGGCGTTAGATAAATATGATTTATATCAAATATTAAAATTGAACAGCATCAAGAAGTGAACTGAAAGGTTTCTAAGGCAAGCCAAACTTGCTGTGCCGCTCAGGGAAACATTTCCAGCACTTGAATAGATAAATGTAGATTGCTACTTCGAATCGTTTATGGCACATAATTGTACTTAGTCTTACTCTATATACATATTCATTTATTTCCTATACTTTTCTCTAATGTTTTAATGTTTCGCTAGACCTTTATATATTGGTTGCTGTTGAGTAATTTGGATTTGAGGGTTGTCAAAGGGTTCAAAACCAAACCAAACCAAACCAAATACAACTTTAGCCTTATTATTATAGATATTATTATGTTTATTATTATCTAAACATGTTAGATCTTATGATCACTGAGGAGTTGCTACAGTATATTTCATTAAATAAATAAATATATATATACATATATATATATATAAATGTATATATATATATATATATATATTTTTTTTTTTTCATATTTTCATTATTTTTAGTATTCCATCACATTCTCTAAGCACCACTAAAAAGTTACGCTTTTTAACATAAATTCTCTCATTTTATCACATATTAAATAATTATTTTCAACTTGCTTTTCGCTCATATATATATAGAGTATATATGAAACCTGTTATCCAATATCTATATGGTGCTTAAATATAAATCAAGTCTGGCCTTTTTAAATGAACTTTGACTCGACTATTAAATTGCACTTACAATAAATGCATTAAAATTTCAACTTACTTACAGAGATCAGGTTTTATCAGATTTGAAAAACAATTTCGTTCGTTAGCGCAGCTTTTAGCTGCCGGAACAGTCGTCAAGTGAACGCGTAGCTGCTCGGAGCTAAATAATTCTTTCTCAGTCGCGCTATGCCGATGTCTTGTGCTATGGTTAAGCTGCAGGCCATTGTGGTCGTGTCGGTGCTTGTTTGTGCCAGTCCTCTGTTGCTGCTGGCTGCGTTGATCCACCAAACAGGCGAAATCCTAATGAGATCCTTTTGCAAGAACACAACAAGTCTGAAAGGCGAGGTGGCTTTGGTATGTCTACGTCGAGTGAAGCAAATATACAAGAAAGCGTTAAAGAAACAAGTAATCGGGAGTGCCTGACTAGCAGATACTGTGAGCTGCTACAGCAATTATTTTAGACTGCTTCTTATACATGAACATATCTTTAAACACATGCAGAGACGTCTGCTCCTCTTCTTCCTATAGCTTCCAAAGCTATTGAATAATTTCGGTTCTTGCTGTACGATTTTGATTGAATTTACAGTGCATAAAGCGGGCATTTAAATGACTGTGTGTAGTAACATTAGCAGAGTTTTTGAAAAAAAATATTAATATTAAACTGTGTATAGTATACATGAATATATATTTCAAAAATCAAGAGTCTAGCTCTAGTAGTTCTCGAGATCGAGACGAACACGCAGATGAGCTGTCAAGTTTATGACTCTATTGAATGATTTAGTTGTTCTGATCAAAAGCTTAGATACTTCCTTATGCAATTCCTGAGCCACATTTAATGTACTCACAGTATATAAACTAGATTGCATTAGTGTTCATTAGGTCGAATGCGATTTGCTTCGTTTCCTGCCTAATGAGAGCTAATCAGTTCTAGGGCAATTACACACCTGCTTAGGCACGCTGAATATTAACAACATTTGAGTGCACAGGTCAAAGCCAGATCAGCGCTCACAAAATTATGCATTTTGTTTTTTAGCTGAGAGACATCGAGTTGCCTTGACCCCGCATACATCTAAGCCAATGTTTGTGGCCATTTGAGTGTTTCTGAATTTTTATTTTATACCGGTTTTTAAGTTAAAAAAGTTAAGGTTCACATTCGTCACATATGCAGCGAAGTTTCGGAGTTCATTCATTTTTGCTGTTCTTGTATACTTGAAGAGAATTTCAATATCAGCTCAGATGAGTCAAGCTCTTGAAACGTGCTTAAAATGAGCAAATAACTGATTTCAATTTATATCAATATACTGATCTTGGGCTTTGTAGTAGGATTTGTGTGCTAAATGTAAGGCTTTATATATTTAGCTGTTGGGCTCAGAGGGAAGCAAGACAGGACAGATGGATCAGGTCTGCCTCGATTCGAATATTTATTTATATGAAGAATTTACTGTACATTAAGAAACACATAGTACCCAGTCAACTCGTTTGATAGGGTATTCATAAATATACAATATAAGTTATATATATATAGGCATTTGTATATGCCCTGTATACCCCAACTACCCACTTTCTAAGGTATTAATAATCATTAGAATGGCTAGATATATGTATTTATGTATATACCTTCTCTACTCATTTTTTAGAGAACATATATTAACACCCAAGCAAATGGATAGAACCTCTATACCCTGTCTGCCCTTTTTCTATGGTGTTACTATATAAAATGTAGCTAATGGTTAGGCGCATATATACCCTATAATTATTTTAATATATATTAATTTTAATATATATTGATTTCATATTGATTGCCTTTATAACTTTATAACAGATAACTGGAGCTGCTCATGGACTTGGACGCTCTATAGCACTGGAACTGGCTAAGCTGGGCTGTCATATAGCCATAGCCGATATTGATTTGAAGGGCGCTGAAGAAACGGTTCGTCAAATCAATGAGACTTTCCCGGTGCGCAGCAAGGCGTATAAGGTAAACAGAAAATAGGCCTAGATTCTGCAACCAAAATTAAGTCCAAGAATTGTCCAGGTAAATGTGGCCAGCTATAGCGAACTGAGTGAATTGAGAACAAATATACTGAGAGACCTCGGACCGGTGACCATACTGATCAATAATGCTGGAGTTCTATTGCTTAAGAATCCCATGGATCCCGACCCCAAGGATGTTCAGCGCATGATCGATGTCAACTTCACATCTCATTTTTTGGTGAGTCTAAGTCCATTTCTATTTCTTAGTGCAAGAGTGACACTGTTTTTGATGGCCATATGTGGGCAAGGGCTTAAGTTATCGATAAAGTGCAGTAATTGAAATATTTAGCAAGATTTGCCATTTGATAATTAATAATCTTATACTTTAAATATGTAAAAGTTTTTTTTAAAAAGTAAGCAGTTTTGCAGCTAAAGTTTTGAAGATTCACTTTCCGTTTTGCAAATAATTAAAAATTAATTTAATTACTTCCAATTTAATGGCATATAGTTAGCTTTAAAATGAAGCTAGAAGCAGCATAATATGTTAAACTATTTTTATGTAATTGTAATTTCTTTCGTTATTTGTTGGTCAAGCTCTATACAGTATAAAAATAATTTTTCTAAATTTTTCCAATTAGACAAAAAGTTTGTTTTTGCCTAAAATGAAAGAACTGAACAAAGGGCATATTGTTGGCATAAGTTCCTACAGCAGTAAGTTTAACATATATATATAGATATATAAATACCCAGATATATATCGTCTGCTTGTCAAATTGTAGGCATCTTGCCGTTACCCTATAACAGTGTTTATAGCGCCTCCAAATTTGGGGTCACAGGTCACATGAGGGCGCTGCGCTTGGAGCTGGCCTATGAGAGGCGTGAAAACATTCATGTGTGCGCGGTTATGCCCTGGTTCCTACAGACAAATGACGATGTCTGCGAATTGGATAAAAGTGTCAACTTTAGCGATTTCTATCCACTCATCAGCGGCGCCGATGCCGCCCGGCGCATAGTTCAAGGCATTCAAAATGGCGAGCGTGAAATAATTCTGCCCGAGTTCACCTCCATCGTCTATCGTCTAATTTAGTAAGTCCTCAAGCTGAATGGAATGCGAAATGAATCTATTATTAATTGTCATCTTCACAGTCTCTTTCCGGTCAGCTGGCAGGAGAAAATGCTTCTCTTATTTTCCAGAAGACAAATTGATCAGATGGTTCAAATAATTAAAACCTAAGCTTCCCCTTTTGATTTTCGTTTACAGTTAAATTTTTAATAAAAAAATATTATTTTTTGCATTTTGCGATTTGTATTTTAAATAAAATTAATTTTAATTTTTTAACTAATTTTTAAAATGATCTTATAAATAAAATTAATATTAATTTTAACTAAAATAAATATTTTAAAAATATATTTCATTATATATGTTATATCTAATAAAAAAAATAAAATTTAAAAAAATATAAATAATTAAAATAGTTTTTGAAAAATAGATTTTTTTATTATTATATTTTTTTAAGTATTTTTAATATATTTATATACAAATTGGTATTTAATTGAATTTTTTTGTATTTTTAATTTTTATGTAAAGTATTTAAAAAAATCATTTTTAACGGAAAATATTTCATATAAATGCAGGCGTCATAGCCAGAAGGTAAATTCCAATCATAAGGTATTGATAACTTTATACTTTTATGCCTCCAGTCATAAGATCTTTCAATCAAAGCTGGAATAAATTGGCAAAGGTACTTAATTATCTACTCCCTGTGCATTTTGCCTTGAGAACACTTAAGGAATTTAAAGAAACAAGTAAGTATATTACTAGCGCTAGTCGGAAGTGGCCGACAAGGAGATACCTTGAACTTGAGTTTGAATTGGTTTATTATATTTATTGCATATTATTATATTTATTTTCTAATTTTGGTATCTTGCTCAGTGTGTTTTTTTTAGGCTACTTAAAAATACTTTAATTTTTAATTAATATTTTTATTTGCATTAGGTTCAAATATTTTTCTACTATAAAGTAGCTCAACAAAGGTGATTTTCAAATGCTGAAATGAGGTATTATTCTACTTTGAAAATATAAATAAAATATATATATATATAAAATATACTTTGGATATAAGCTTTATAAAATATAAAATATATATGGTGTAGTATATATTTTCTATTTGAGGTATTTAGTTTCAGCTAGGAACAGATAGATGAATCTCGTATATACTCTTTTCATTATGTGAACGAGCATAAAATTGACTTTCACTTGTGCCCTCGGTACTTGTTAGTTCAAACATGTCATAGCCCTTTCACAACTATAGAAGTCCAGCTCCATATTACCGAGGTGTTAATGATGCACATATTTATGCATGTGACACAGTATGTACACACACATATATACAAATACACTTACACACACATGTTTGCATCGCAGTCGATGGCGTGTTTGGCCGAACGCCTCATTGGCAAGCTGATTGAAAACTCCGAATGTGGCAATGTCAGCGCTTCAGTTTGTTTGTCTTTGTTTTTAATTTGAAAGGGCTGTGAATGAACGAGGGACTTCCGCTCCCAATTATCGATCGGTGCTCGACTAGGGAGACATTTGACTAGTAAATATTTTTTGATGATGAAGTCGTAAATTCTGTTGCTGTTATTTTGCGTGGGAACCTAGCCGAGGCGAGGCTTACCTAATAAGCAAAAGCGAAACTTGAAAGTGAAACAGATTCAAATAGATGTTGATTTGAATTGAGATTGTCTTTCTAATTGCTTGTTTGTCAGGGTTAGTAGGACTGATCATATATGGGCACATATAGGATTAGTTCTTCAGTAACTTCAGTTCTAGTAACACAATCTTAATGAAATTTTCAGAACTTTAATCTGAGACTCTGTTATGTATGCATACCAAAGCAGAAGACTCTACTGTTTGAAGTAAACTTTTGCTTTACCATTTAGGCAAGAAAGGAGAGAGAAAACTTAAATTGAAAGCATTTATAGTCTGAGCATTCATTAAAAGATGCTAAGTAACAAATTTGATATCTATAGCTTGGTCTTCAAGTTATGATTTAAGAACTAAACATGCATATATCATATGTATAAATATTAAAGAACTTTAATGAGATATTGGACGAAAATGTAAATTGTTGACTGCCTACGACATCTAAGAATATATATTACAAATTTGAAGACTCTATCACATATACTCTTCGAGATGCAAGCAATCAAAGGTATGAGTAGACAAGGTATAAAGTGAGTATTACTGTTCCATTACATTCATATAACATATATATACATATATATATTGTCTTGTATACACATGCATATGTATTCGCCCAACAAGTAGTCGAGTTTTCCTTAAATTTCACTTTTTTCGTTGCTCATAAAAATGGAATAATTAAAATTGATTTTGGGGGCGTTTGTGTTTCGTTCGGCTGCTTGTAAAATAGTTTTTTTATGCCGTCGCTGCTGGAGCTGTTTATAAATACAGTCAATTTGGTGTCGAACCTTTGAACTAGTCACACATGTTCGACATTGCGGCCGTTGTTTGGTTGTAAAAATGTCAAGAGGTCAGAGTACTACCAGATCAGGCCGGCTCATGGAGCATAGAACATGGAGCCTGGAGCATGAAGTGACAGAATGACACTTTTTTCAACGTTAACCAACAAAAGTTGTTGTTCCTTTCAAAATGCAAACAAATCACGGACAAATGAATCAACTGCATCCAATGGCGACCATTGCATGCATGTCAGCGCAATCATTTGACATTTTGACAGCCCTCAGCGTAAATACGCCTTGTAGAGTCTGGTTAAGTTGAAGTCTGAGTTGATCAGATTACAAAATTCCAATTTCAATTTACAGAAATTTGTATTGAGATGCTAGAAAGCAAGTATATGCAAGTTCTATAGGTCGATAAACCTCAACCTGAAAAGGCGTCATATCTATATGGATATTGATCCTCGCTCATAAAGTGAAGGAATTTTAGGATTGGCATATTAAATAGGGAACTACTTGAGCTCTTAAACAAGCTTATGGCATATTGAGTCTTATTATATTTTATTGATGACTTATAACTTTGTAAGAATACTCATGTCTATCTATATCTATCTATCTATATCATCTATCTATATATGTCTGTATTCAGGTTCACGTAAGGTACGATCATAGTCTTGCATTAGGTTCTACTGTCAAATGAATGAATCTACCTCTATCTCTACTGATATGATCATCTGTTGTAGTAATGATCATCTGATATTTAGGGATTGCCAGTTGTAGAACAAATTTAATGAGATGTTTATATATTTATATATTATATATATTTATATATTATATATATTTATATATTATATATATTTATATATTATATATAGGGTATCTGTAGTCGTGCATTTACGAAATGAGTACTAAGCTGTACTGGATCACATAAGTTTATTTATATATTTATATATGCTCACCTGTATACCCTCTATGCCCTATATACCCTGCCTATATACACATTATATTTACCTCACAAATTAATTTAATTTATTTGTTTTACCCAAGCCCGCGTCATTTTTATAGAAATGAAATTCTGTTGAAATAAAAATTGATGACAATTTTAATTTTTAAATAATTTATTTAATTTAATACAATTTTTTTCTTATGACAAATGTGATCATTTTTAATTGTTTATTTATTAATATTTTAAAAATGTATAAAATTATAGTATAAATATTCTCAAAACACTCAACCATTCAAATAGGAATGAAATAGACAAAAATCACCTGATATTGACTAGAAAATACCCTGTAAAAATTATGAGCTGTCTATGAAGACAAATACATAAAAAAAATATTCAAAGTTAATAAGTTATATTAAAAAAGTTATCTGTTCTTATTGGAATCTATAAGGAGAGACAGATAAATATGTCAAACTTGTATTATCTAAATAATGGATGACATTCAGTCATACCCTTATTCTATGAGCTCATTACAGGGTAGGCAAATTATTGGAAAATTATGTGTCTGCGGAAATGGCTAAGCTTTTTTTCCTAATAAACGCAGACAGCTTCGCGCGTCATTCAACAATCATATAAAAGAAAAGCTTTTTCGCTTAGCTAAGTCTGAATGCTCTATAGTGGATATATGTTGCTTAAATCTATGAGAGTTTATCATTTTTTAAATATTTTTAGATATTTCTAAAAATTAAATTAAAGCCTTAGAAAATAATTCAATATAATATTTAAAAAATCTTTTTTTATGCAAAGACTTAACTTGAATTTGAAGTGCAGTATTTTACCGATAGTCGGTATACCCTGTAATGAACTCATAGAAAAACTCTATACATAGTTATATAGATAATATAATTTCCGTTTTCGTTTATCGTTTCTTGTCACATAGCTAAAGTATCCACAGCAAACTTGATAGACTTAAAATGAGATCATAGCACAGCCGATGGCTGCTGGTCTTTACCTTAGTGCCAACGTTTTTCTGGACAAGTGGCCATACGACATCTATGTCAAAATGTGTCTACAATCTGATAATTTTAACAATGATGTAAGCTGTCGCACTTTGTGCGAAAAAAATCGGGAAAAAACTGAGAGAAGGAAAAGTCGGTGGCAATGTTTTGGGCGCGTGGCCAATTTCCTTTGCTTCGCTGGGACAAATACACATATGTGTGTATGCATGTGTATACATATGTACAGAGGGATGTATGTATGTTTATATAAATGACAAATAATCAAGTGTGTATTGTATGTTGAGTGTTAAACGTTTCTGAATTGACTTGAGGCAAACAGCAGCTGTTATTGGCAACAGAGCGTGCGCCAGAAGGCGGCGTTTGCCAAAAACATAAATTTCAATTAAATAGTAATAGGATGTACTAAGAGGTATACACATAAATATATATATATATACTATATATATTTATATATCTAGATATACATGACTAACTACTCAGTTAATAACTATAAATCACAATTACCTGTTTCTGGTTAACAACTTTGATAGCTAAGAACATTGCAGTCAAATTTTACTGACTGCACAATACTCGTTCGGTATTCTATAACTAGTTAGAGTCATATTTATATTTATACTTGTTCAAACTTGGAAACTCTAAACTCTAACACTCGAGTAGATTTAGTTTATTTCGAAAACAAAAAAGGTTCAAGTTCAAAAGCTTACCGAAGGCATTGATAAGGTATCCTATCATATCATCAAGCCCATATACTCCTGATCACAGCATGAGCGAGCATAAAACGTAGAAATAGTGCTGCAAACGCAGCAAAAATGCAAAAATGTTTGCCATGCAAATTAAAAACATATTGTCAGGCCGCTGGCTACGCTGGATAAAATGCTAAAAATAGCCAAAAAAGCAACAAAAAAATAAATAAAATAAAAACAAGGAAACTAAAAGAAAATGCAAAGAAAAGTTCTGCATGCACTTGCAATAGCATTTGCATCTGTGTTGTGGAAAGAGGCGAAGCCACATGAGCACTTGAGGCCAGGGACAGGGCAAAGTGATCAGCATCAACACTCTATCCAATTGCCATGAGACTCTCTCTGCGTATGCGTGTGTGTGTGTGTGTGCCTCATGCCGCAGATGAAATAGTTGTTGCTTCGGAAATGAGTTGCTTTAATAAATTTAGCTCATAGTCAACGTTTATATATACACACTTTTTTAATACTCTAAACCCGATGAAAATGGGAAATTTTGAGCATATTTATTTTGGTGAAATGTATGTAACAGGTAGAGTGTGGTGTGCACATATATTCCTGATCAGCAGGAATAGGCGAGTCAAACTAGCTTTAAGCCACAGCAATTTGAAATCTAAGCATCAGTTATTGAACCACATCTTTCACATCCTTAGCACGATATTAACCAAATTTTGCATCAAGTTTCTTGAATAGCATACAAAATTTCGGTTTATTTTATATTTTGCATAACGGTTTTAATTTCATCAAAATCAACCAAAGTAAAGTTCACTTGTCAAAAATAGTTAATATTTAAAGGTTTTTGTGTTTTATGATATTGTTTACATATTCAATAAAATATTATAAATATTTGCTGAAAATTTCATTGAAATCCGTTAAGAAACACAGAAGTTATTGAAGTAAACGACGTTTGGTCAGCTAGGCAAAGCCATTTGGGCCAAGCTCAGCCATTTGCTCTATGTGTGTGTGTGCACACATGCATGCAGCTACGTGTACGCTGTTCGGTATGCTATAAATAGAAACGCAATTCTGATTGATTTGTGCTTGCATTGTCAGCTGTTACACTTAAGCTTTGGTGCTTTGATGTTAGAGAGAGTGAGAAGGAAAGTGTTTGAATGGCGGTGTTGGTAGAGATGAAGAGCGAGCTTAGACAGTGCGGTATGGTTGCGGGTTCGAATCTAGGCAGCGCAGATGTTAATATTTATTTTTAAATTAAAAAATGTTTATGATAGATATATTTTTATTTATTTATATTTTATATTTTTAATTTTAAATATTTTTTTTGTACTTGTTTCAGGGTATCTCATAGTCGCGCACCTATGACTGCGCTGCGCTGCTACTTCTCTTTTTATTATTTGCTGGCGCTGCCTGAAGAGACAAAATATTATGAAGCAATAAAAAACTAGTGCTAAAGCATTCGACAAAAAGAAGGAATTGGAACCTAAAACAGACTTGCACCATGTGTGCCACTGCCACTGCCACTGCCAGTGCCATTACCCGTTGATCGTTGCTGAAGACAAAAAAAGGTCCCCGGTCACGCGCTCAGTTGAAAATGTGAAAATGTAAATATAAATGCGCACACACAGCTTAGAGCAAGCCTCAGCATAACTTCATGTTTGCTGCTTCACTTTCGTTTTGTTAGTAATGAATATTTACATTTATATTCCTTTTTTTTAATACACGCACATCTGCATGAAGTGCAAGCAATTTTAGCCTAGGCGCAAGCAGCTCACAGCTCCACAGCTTCACAGCTCACGCATAATTTCTATAATACTCATATAGTTCGTATGCTGATCGGGCGCACATGACGCTCGGCACTAAATGGGTGGAGTCGAAACAGGAGTCAGAGGGCTCCAGTGGGGTATGCGCGACTAGCAGATACCCGGCAGTTGCGGCTTCAAATATTCCAGCTGCTTATATACATGGAAGTACACTCACACACACACACACACACTCTCTCTCTCTCGCGCTTCTCGTGCTTCTTCTTTCTCTCTGTGAAAATTTCTGCTAAAATAAGTTCTTTAATAACTTTGGCATTTATTGGCCGATTTCAATGAAACTTGAAGCACATAAATTGGCTATCGAAATGTGTTTTTATATATTAACAAAATTTACTACTACTAATTTACTTCTAGCTGATTTAAAGATTTTGAGGGCATAGCTAAGAGTACTTAAAATGTGAAATTTGCCTATAGCTGCATATAGTATTAAATAGTCTATATACAAAATTTGGTAGCTTTAGCTCATAAAACATGCGAGTTATGCACAAAAAGCACAAGTTATCGAACGATTTTTATCGATTTTGCATAAAAGTTATCGATATTTGTGAATAAATTTGAAATATGCATGTGCTAAGGGTAGTTAAGTGTAATATTTAGAGAGTCAACAAGATATATAAGGATGGAGGACGGACAGACTGAGTAGAGGCAGACGCACAGACATGAGCTGGACACCCCTAGAACAGTTAGACTCTTGCTGCTGCTTAATAAAAGACATACTTCGTTCACGCCTCCAACTGCCTGTTACCTCCCGTGCACTTGAACCAATATACCCCCTTCTTAGCAAAGGGCTTACAGGGTATGATTACTAAAAGTGTTGCAGCTGTAACAGACGCACATGTGCTGATGCTTGTAAAGGAGAATAATCTCCAAAGAGTAGCAAACAGTACAACAACAACAACAACAACAACAACAACAACAGCAGCAGCAAACGATGATCTTGACAGGGTGTCGCAGTCGCAGTTGACGTCGCCGTCGCCGTCGCCTCAGCTCAGGACGAATCTTTCTTTCGTTCCGGGCATTTAAATATCGTGCAGCCAGTGAACTGCGAGTTATTGTCAGATACAACGCGGTGGCGTGAACAGCACAAAAAAAAAACTAAATACTAAAAAGAAAAATTATTGAAATAGAATCGAAAGAGACTTGTGTGTGTGCGTGTGTGTGTGTGCGTGTGTTTTGGGATTTCCCGCGTCGAATTTCGTTTGTTTTTGGCAATTGGCCGAGCCGTCCGAGTGAGTGCCGGAACAAAGTGGCAGCGTGAGCAAGCTTCTCCCCTTTGGATGTGGCAATGTCTGGCACAATGAAGTCGCAGCAGCTGCCTCTGAGCATACCCAGCCAGTGCGACGAGCTCTTTGGCAAGGCGAAGGCGAACCTGGGCAAAGTCTACAGTGAGAATGTTTGCTATGATGCGTTCATGTCGCCGCCGCTGAGTGCGACGACCGGCCCCAGCGATCTGCAGGCGGCCAAAGTGAACGCTACTAACAGCTATTTCACCTGTGATGAAATGCAATTTCCGGACTTTTCGCACCTGTGCTTCGCCAGCGAAACGCCGAACTCGGCCTTCAGCGACTACAACACTTATGCAGCTGCCGAGCAGGATCGAGATGACATCGTGTGCGCCGTCTCGGAGCCAACTGGGATGCCCTATCAACAGGGTCAATACACGCAGCTCAATCGCGAGGATGTCTTTCGCTTCGAGCCCGAGGACATAGCGCGGCTGACAGTCGATGGCGGCTCAGGTGGCGGCTACGCCGAGCTGAATGGCCTCATGCAGGTGCCACAGACGCCCTACACACCTTGCAGTGCGCCGAGTCAAGCAGTCAATCAGGACATCGACTACTTCAACTACGACGAGGTCAATTGCCAGTCGAAAAATCAATCGCCCTGCTCTTCGCCCCACTTGGATGCCTGGCTCAACTTCAATCTCAGCGAGCTAACAACAACAACAACAACAACAACAACAACTCGGCAAACATCGCCGAAATTGTGCAACATTTACGAGCAGCAAATGCCGTCGATCAAGCGCGAGGAACAAACTCAGAAATTGCCCTCAATGAACTCGACTTTCGGCACGCCCCAATGCGCGCCCATCTGCAACAATTACGGCGACTACTCGAACCTGCTGCAAGACGAGGCGATCTTTGATTATGCCAAAGAGTTCCCCACCGAAAACCTGGAACATCATATTGAGAAACCCAACCGGGAACACAAAGTCATATGGACCATCGAAGAGCTCGATGAGCTGGTGCTCAGCGAACAGCAACAGCAACAGCAACAGCAGCAATTAGTGAAGCCTGAACAGCCTAGCGATGCGGATGACGAGGACGACGATGATGCCGAAGACGCCGAGGCTGACAAAGATGAGGACGAGGATCTAGATGAGGTCTTTGTCATGCACAAGAAGTGCGATCCGTTGGACGCCGAGCGAGATGAGTCTGTGCCGTTGATCTGTCGCTGGACCGACTGCAACATGGAGTTCGCGCAGCAGCATCTCTTCGTGGAGCACATTGAGAAGTGCCACGTGGACGTGCGCAAGGGCGAGGACTTCTCCTGCTTCTGGCAGGACTGCTCCCGACGTTACAAGCCCTTCAACGCGCGCTACAAGCTGCTTATCCACATGCGGGTGCACAGCGGCGAGAAGCCCAACAAATGTCCGGTGAGTTGACAGATTTATATACATATATATATATGTATATATAGTATATATAGTAGAATGTATTACGCGGCATTGCGCGGCACACTTTGTAGTGAAAGTTTGTAGGGCGAGAGTTGCTCAATGTGTTTTCATTGCTCTGTTTCAAGCTTCTCGATTTAAGATATTTAGATTTGATATATTTACATATATTTATAAATATTTATATATATATATTTTAATATATCTATATATATTTTCTATCTATATATATCTATCTTATAAGTCTACTTTCTAGCCTCGTCTAGTCTACTTTCTAGCTTCATATTTATTAGAAAAACTACAAATGATTTTCAGCTTAGGAAATTTTTAGAATTTTTATTTTTTATTTAATTGTTATTTTTTATGTCATTTAATTTTTTATTTTCAAAATTTTCAATATTTATTTTTTATTATCTGGTATTTAATTTAATAATTTATTATTTTATCTATATTTATATTATTTGGTATTTAATTTAATAATTTAGAATTTTTATTTTTTATTTAATTTAATATTTTTTATGTCATTTAATTTTTTATTTTCACAATTTTCAATATTTTATCTATATTTTTATGATCTGGTATTTAATTTAATAATTTAGAATTTTTATTTTTTATTTAATTTTTATTTTTTATGTCATTTAATTTTTTATTTAATAACATTTTAATATGCACATATATAAATTTATAATACCGTATGTATAGCCATTTTCATACAAGCTTTATCCAAATATCATATATAAACTGTTATAATATTTCCATATATTAGATATACCCCAAATTTAGATAATATATACAATACTTCAGTTATTTCAAATAACTTTCTTCACAATTTTCAACAAACTCCAGTTTCGCTAGAAACTGTTTTTATTTAGATAAAGAATAACAGAAAATATTTTTGTTTTCATTAAAAGATGCAAATGAATAAACAGAAAACAGAAATCCTTTGCCATGTGGGCATTATATTTTTAGCCCCTCGGTAGAGTTCATATTTATCACAGTGACAGCATAAACATCATTAAGTAAACAGGATATTTGAGAGCGCTCCGGCTGAGGCACTTGAATCAGAGCTGAGATAAGACTAATAGCATTTCGTGGGCCATGTCAAGTTTTGGATTCTCTTTCAAATGGATGCCATGGCCGAGTGCCCGGCTGCGATTATTTGCTCAGCACTTAGGCTGTTTTTTTTCGGGCTTGCACCTGCAAAAGCCCGAAGGTGGCAAAAAATTGGTTTTTCTCTGCAGTAGGACCCACTATAGAACTGTTATACAACTGTTATATTGGTGTTGCGAGTGGCCATTTCAATAACCCATTTTTAACCACTTTTCATTACAGTTTCCGGGCTGCAATAAAGCGTTTTCACGTCTCGAAAATTTGAAAATTCATCAACGCTCGCACACAGGTGAGCGGCCTTATGGCTGTCAATATAAAGGTTGCCTTAAAGCGTTCAGCAATAGCTCGGATCGTGCGAAACATCAAAGAACACACTACGATACGGTGAGTAGTCGTCTCTCTCTCTCTCTCTCTCTCTCCCTCTCTTAATACATTTTTCCTATACCCTGTACCCCATTGACATAGGGGTAAAGCGGGTATATTAGTTTTGCTGAAATGTTTGTAACATGCAGTTGAATGTGTGCATATCTCAAGTCATCTATGCCCATTTAGCCTTATTTGCGTACCTAGCCCCATGTATGACCTCATGGATCTCGAGAAGTATAAAAGCTAGAGACTTGAAATTTGAAATGTATGTATTTGAGCACCTTATACAGCATAAGTTTATAAGCTTTCTTCGATAACCCATTGCATTTATATAATATCGATAAATATCGAAACTTTTATTTGCTGTTTGAGGCATAACTAGAGCTGTCAAATTTGGCTTAATTATTTTCCTGATGAATACACTTATTATAATGTATATCAATTCTATATGGCGCTATCCATGCTTCCAAGAAACGAAATATGAATAGTCATATAAAACACTAGAATCTTCTACTTTAGTACACATACAAATTTCTATGTCAGAAACATGACTAACAAATTTTATTCACATCGTATATAAGCAACTCCAGTTATTCAGAAACTTATTTGGTATGATTTATAAGCCAGCCTTGGGCAGGTTAGGGTAGTTTCTAGTCGAGCACTGCCCACTGGCGCACGCTTACTTGTTCTGCTTGTGTGTGTGTGTTCGCATATATATGTCTATGCATATATATTTACGTGTGTGTGTGTGTGTGTGTGACATGCAAGCAATTTGCTATCCGTGTCAAAGGAAATTGAAATGCTCGCGGCATTTGGTCGCCTAGCAGCCGCATTACCATCTCCAGCTGCAGCTGCAGCTTCATTCAAGTGCAGCTTAAAGTTGAAGTCGCATTTGCTCTATTCGCGCTGATAGAGCTGGGAATTGGAAGAGGCATAAAACAAAAAAAAAAACATATGTGAGCTGTACTATTTTGGTAAAAATTGTGGCTCGCGCCGCAGCTGCGGCCGCCGTGACATGTGCACATTTGCCTGATTGATTTATAGTTTTTACGTGTGGCCAGGAAGTGCGCAGTGCCAGGCCAATCACGACAATAGAGAGCAAAGCAGCCCAGCAGCCGAGATTGACAAAGCAAAAAGCCACAGCAGCAGCAGCAGCTGAGAAATTGAATAAACTAAACGAGTTATGCCTAGGCTTAAGCTGCTGTCACTACACGCATCACAAAATACAGTTGGCGTGTGTGTGTGTGTGTGTGTGTGCGTGTGTCTGTGTGCGTGCATAGCTTTGTCTGCGCTTATTGCTCTATTCTGTTGCTGGAAGGGGCGGGCCTCGCGGTCAACGTGGACAATAGCTGAATAAACAAATTCAGCATGCAACGATTTGCCTTTTGAGAGTATGCACGAAGATGCCCTGCAAGCCTTGTCAAGTACCTATTAATTATTATTATTAATTATTAATATATTATATTATATAATATATTATATTATATATTATATTATATATTATATTTATATTTATAAGCAATTAGAATTCGACTAAGTTTTGCTTGAGCTGTCATTAGAACTGCATACATTGCTTATAAGTAAGTAAGCAGCATGCCCGTTACATACACCACAGCGCAAACAGTATACCCTGCTTGCACATTTGCAATGGCTGCACGCCCAGCTGCTGCTATGCAGTCCGTGTGGACTCTTTACACTGCCTACATATGTGCATAGCATACATTTGGGCTGGCATCTATGGCAGACACAAAAGAGATCAATTAATAACAGAATCTTCTTCCGTTGCTCTTCTTACAGAAGCCATATGCGTGCCAGCTGCCGGGCTGCACCAAGCGGTATACGGATCCCTCGAGCCTACGCAAGCACGTCAAGAATCACGGACTAATGCGGCGCAAGTCGGCGAGTGGAGCGGCCGGTGGCTGCAGCCGCAAGGCGGGCAAAGCGCGACGCAACTCGGAGTCGGCGGTGGCCGCGCGGCAGACAGCCGAGCAGCGCACGCAGCGCAGCAGCAGCTGCAGCGAGGCGACGCAGCTGATGCACTACGAAGCACAGGAAAATCTGCAAAGTTTATCCGAGCAGCCCAGCGACACCGGCAACGCAATCAAATTCAACGAGCTGTCCAATTGCATTGTCATCGTGGAGCAGACTCAAGGCGCAGCAACACCTGGCAGCTACTCGACGGCCACCTACGACAACTTCAGCTGCTACATGAGCAAGGCCGTTGCTCCAGGTGAGACGGAAGCTGTTAACAGCTACGCCACAACCGCAGCCACAGCGAATAATAGCTACAATGAAAATCTGCATAAATTTAACGAGCTCGAGCAGCTGTTACCTGGCGAGCTGCAAAGCACAGGTGTTGCCTACGACGCGGCCGCCAACAAAGGCCAACTCAACGAATTCGTATCGTTCGAATACGTGCGAAAGTATCTAACAGACACCTTCGACCCACCCACTGCCAAGCGACCAAAGAGCCCGCCCACAAATCCATTAGACACTAATCAAATTGAAAACGATTTCCAAAATTATGATCTTCAGTTTATATAAGAGAGAATCTTTAACTTTAACTCTAACTGTAACTCTAAGTGAGATTGCCAAATATTTATATTCTACGCAAAGGATCTCAGAAATAATGTAAATAGTCAATTGTTTCATAAGTTTAAGTCACGCAAGACAATGCTTAGATCTAAGACTAGTTCGATAAGTTTGGACTTCCATTTCATACACCTAAGTGATCCGAAAATGTCTTCCCACCTTTAGGATTAGATGTAACGCAGGCAATATTTCATAAATTATATCTATATATACACAGATATATGTATGTATATATATAGATATATATGTAGGGTAATGTTAGTAGAGCTTTAGTCAATTGATAACTTAAATAAAAATATCTTTTAAGATTTGTATTTTTCAAGAAATTATTCTTATCTCTTCTTCTTCTTACTCTTCTTTACTTTATCCTACTTCATCTTTATTCTTTCACATCCTTTTATCTTCTTTTCATCTTCTTTTCATCTTTTCTTCATCTTTTCTTCATCTTTTCTTCATCTTTTCTTCATCTTCTCTTCATCTTCTCTTCATCCTCTTTTCATCCTCTTTTCATCCTCTTTTCATCCTCTTTTCTTCTTCTTCTTCTTCTTCTTCTTCTCCTTCTCCTTCTCCTTCTCCTTCTCCTTCTCCTTCTCCTTCTCCTTCTCCTTCTCCTTCTCCTTCTCCTTCTCCTTCTCCTTCTCCTTCTCCTTCTCCTTCTCCTTCTCCTTCTCCTTCTCCTTCTCCTTCTCCTTCTCCTTCTCCTTCTCCTTCTCCTTCTCCTTCTCCTTCTCCTTCTCCTTCTCCTTCTCCTTCTCCTTCTCCTTCTCCTTCTCCTTCTCCTTCTCCTTCTCCTTCTCCTTCTCCTTCTCCTTCTCCTTCTCCTTCTCCTTCTCCTTCTCCTTCTCCTTCTCCTTCTCCTTCTCCTTCTCCTTCTCCTTCTCCTTCTCCTTCTCTTCTCCTTCTCCTTCTCCTTCTCCTTCTCCTTCTCCTTCTCCTTCTCCTTCTCCTTCTCCTTCTCCTTCTCCTTCTCCTTCTCCTTCTCCTTCTCCTTCTCCTTCTCCTTCTCCTTCTTCTTCTTCTTCTTCTTCTTCTCCTCCTTCTCATTATGTTTATCCTTATATAGCTTTTTCTCTTCCTGTTTATTCGGCTCTTCTTCCCCTTCTTCCTCTTCTTCTTCTACTTCTTCTTCAATCATATATAATACCATAATTTTCATAGAAATACCCCTCGAATGCATTGTATATCCCATGAGAGTCGTGATCCAAATTGTTTCATGTCTTTAAAGCTTGCTCTTGCCTTCATAATATTGTTCTATATTCTGTGCTGTATGACAATAATAACACTAATTTGGCTCAGGGACATTTTTGGCGGGGGCTAATAATGACCCCTTCGCCATGCATTTAAAAGCGTTGCGAGTTCGTTAGTTAATATGCAGACAGAGACAGCGGCTTCATTACCAACTATTCCTGTGCCAGGACACGATAACACACACACACACACAAACACACACAGACGTTCTATAAACACAGAACAACAAGTTTGAACGATGCAGAAAATCTTTAACAACTGCATAATGCTCGTGTAGAGTTAAACAAAGAGCTTTATAGACTGGATATAGTATCAGGGGATGTGATGTACAGATTTATAACTTATTGGTTCAACACGTTGATCTTAGCTTCTCAGTAGACAGAAATCAACAAATATTTCACATTTGCTTTACTTACACATTCAAAACCAATATACTCCTTTGCCAACGCGAGCGAGTATGTTAAACAACAAAATGTAAAGCAATTAAAAGCAGTGCAACGGAAACATGCAGCGTCAAAACGAAAATATCCATAAAGCATGAGCAGTAGCCCAATTTGGAGCTTTCGCTTTGTCATATAACGGACTGCATGCTGTGGCTACAAGTGCCCGACAATTTTGCTGTTGTTTTGCTGTTCTGTTCTGTTTTTTTTTTATGAGTGGAAAAACTGCAAGCAATATGCGCCATGGAGCTAAATATTTACGAACACAGCTCGAGGTCATGAACTTTTATGAAAATTACGCTATGCGGTGCTAAATGCATGTAACTGCTTAGCCAACATGCTTAATATTATATGCGTTAATCAGCAAACGTTATATACATACAAACACACATATAATATAGTTATCTCTCTCACTCTCTTACTCCCTTATTGTATAAATTAAGAAAATGGTTTCATTATTTTTGAGGGAGAGTAGCAGAGCACATACTTGTGCTCGCTCAGAAAATCCACCAATAGCAGCTGACTACACAACTAAGATAACGGCACATGTCCAGTCCAAGCCTCAACAATACCTATTCTCTCACTCTTTACAGCGTGCACTACAAACGTAAACAATACTGCAAGATTGCATAGTGTTCCACTGTCCACACTGTGCGCTCTTTACGTAAATGCTCTCAGCAAATTTACTGATCCCTGCAATTCATTTGGACACACACATTCATATAACAGCATTATAAAGAGCTTAATGCGCGCTCTTCATTTCAGCGATTCATCTATTCGTATGAACACACACATACACACATATAGACATATTACTACACTATAAAGAACTTACCACGCGCTCTTAACGTTATCCCTCCCACAGTATTTACATCGCACTGTGCGACGCTTACGTTTTGTCCTTATTTATGTGTGCTCTCTGGCCCTTGCTCAGCCTTTTTGGCCATTGGTCGTCGGCTGACAAAACTAACGGTTTTTTCTCTGCGTTGGTCGTTTCCGTTAGCAATTATGCAAATTGTGAGATTGCCACACGATGATACGTGGAAATTCCATGCATTTACAATTTTCTAATCAATGAAATTTTAATTTATGCCGCCGTTGCACGGTTGCTGCATATTTTGCCACACTTTTCGGTTTTTAAGTTCTTATAGAAATATTAATGTTTCAATCAACAAATCTTAACGTAAATTGTGTTTGTTTTGCGTTTTTTTCCTGTGGCAGCGCATTTTAATTTAATAATTGAGTTTTTTTTACTCATAAAAGTCACATTGATGCATTTTAATATAATCAGGACAAACGCAAATGAAAGCAATGTTCGAATGATAAACACGCCTACGGATTGTAATTAAGTTTCCGCTGACATCGTGCCTTTTTATACGCTGGACTACATTAAAAAAACCGAGGTATATTGTTTCCGTGCTTGCTTTTGTAACAGGAGAATATGTATATTTGTGCTTATCTTTTGATTGCGTCAATCTCGAGAACTATAGTCGCTAGAGAGTTGAAATTTGAAATATATATTCTTGTAGATTGTACGTAACATAATTTAATTATTTTTACCCAATATCTAAGAGTAATTTTATTATATTCATAAATATAGGTATATGCATTTGGTTTTTGATGCATATCTGGAACACTTTAAAGACCACATTTTTTTGTAATGAAGCCACACTTCATTAAACAATCGGATTGTGTAATGTTTCTCATCTGCTTAAAAAATATAGAAAAAAGACCATTTGATCCAGAGTAAGGCCTTTCCCTTGCCTTTACAATCTAGACACATGCTTGTGCTTGAATTTATATTAGACTAGGAGTTAGACTCAGACTTATGACACAGGGTAACTGCTAGTCGATCATACCCCACTGAAGCCATTCTCTTGATTCTTGTTTCTTTTTTATTATTTTTATTTCATACAATTTGCAGCAATTTTACAACATTCTCGTTTCGCTTTTGATTTGTCTAGCAGGCTGGATCACGTTTTCATTTTTAATTAAATAAATGATTTTCATTGATGACATTAAATATTGTCACAAGGGAATTATTGAAATATTTTAAATGTGTGTTTCGCCCATCGACCGAATGAGTTTCCATTTTTTGTCACTCACAGCCGCCATCAAGTAAATTACTTCTATAATGCTCATCTATATGCAATATGAGAGCATTATCTCTATATGTGGAGCGAAAAGTTGTTACGTGGGCGTAATTAGAAGCTTTTCCGGCAGGGAAATGCTCTTTTTGGCATTAAATTTATGACAACCGCACATGTTGTACCGTTATACTTTCCCTGCAACAACAGCAGCAACAACTACACTTTGGAAACTTTAACGAAGTCTTTGCCTTCTGTGTAACAGCTGCATCATTAAAAGATTTTCCAAATTTGCAACTGACAGAAAGAGAGAGGGAGGGAGAGGGGGCGAGTGAGAGAGAGGGTGAAATCTATAGCACGTATACGCCATGTAGCGTAGTCATTGATTTGTGGTTGGAGCTAGCCAATTTAGCCTTTTTATGGCCAGAAGCAGCTTTTTTATAAACTCTAAGCTATAGATAATGAATATGGTGGGCATAAAGTACGGTAGAAAGGGGTGTAGAAGACATTTTCAAGCATACAAATTCTGTGTGAGAATAGTTCGATGTACATAAATCCGTTTATCTCGAGAACTATAAAAGCTAAAGACTTGAAATTTGGAATAGATATACATGAGTTTTGTACGCAGTGCTTGCAAAAATATTTTTTAAGTAATTCAACTCATTTGCTTATAATCGATAAAAATCAATACCTCAAATCAGTCTTTTGTATTTAATTAGAAGACTATAACAGCTAGAGATACCAAATTTGGTATGTATACTCTAGTACTACAAGCGCCATATATGAGTACAAAATTTTCTGAATACCTCTGCCTTTGCCCAACAATAACCGAATGTAACTCATCTTGCGCAATAGAATCTCGCAATATGAATATGAATATCTGACATATTTACCTGCCTAGTAATATCAATTTAAGGTATAATTGATAACAGTATGAAGCGTATTCCTAAGAATATCCCTCAATATCCCAAGTGCTTGCTTTGTTTATTTTTGCCAATTAGTAGGAGACGATAATTATTTTCAATTGATAATGAAATGCAATTAGAAACCGTTTGTGCCGCTTGCATTGCCACAGACCGAATGCCAACCACAAAAAAGGGGGAGGAGGAGGCGCAGGAGGCGACGAAAAGCAGAGCGAAATAAGGTAAAGTGTAACAAAAACATTAATTTACACAATTTCCTTTTGCCAGCGAAGGATGTCGCCTCGCACTGAGCCTGCATAATGAACCATAGAGTCTGTAATTAAAGTTTGTCGAAGCCTTTTGCGAGTTGCTCACTGTTGACGATGCCAGCAGCAACAACAGCAGCAGCAGCAGCAGCAGCAGCAGCAGCAACAGCAGAAAGCATTATCAGAAAATCAATTCCCGCATCAGGATGACGCAAAATAGAATTCAATTAACGCGCTTAAATTAAACTGCCACTTCCGGTTTTGATGACGTTTTAATCTGAGCCTCCATCATCCGACGCTCGTCGTCCGTCGTCCATCGTCCTCCGGCGCTTTGTCCTGCAGACAGCAGAAAATTGTTCGCTGCGGTCCGTTCACGCCTTCTGCCAATCCAATCTGACTGACTGCGCCTGACTACAACGGGGTCATATCGTCGCTTGCCTTGACACTTACTTAAAGCCAAGCTTGACCTGACAACACTATTGTTAATACCCTGTACGCATTGCCAGCAGCTCAACAGGGCATATTGGTTTTAAGCATTTGTATGTAGCACCTCGAAACTATATCACTCAGATCCACTGCCTGGGTCTGTTCGTCTATATGTCTGTGTGTATGAATGCATATATCTCAAGAACTACAAAAGCTAGAGACTTGAATTTTTAAATATATATTCTTAGATATATTTCTTAGCAAAATATAAATATTTTCTCTTGATGTCGCAGCTAATTTTTTTTATAATGACAAATATTCAGCTTTGTCTAAGGGTTTTCAAGCATAACTTAAAAATTATTAAAGCCAGATTTATTAAATTTGGTATGTGGCTCCATGTAAGTAATATGTAGACTGTGAGTCTAAATGTTATTATATATCTAAACCCATTCTTTTCGAAATAGATAAAGAAAACTCACTATTCACACTAGAGTCTTAACTCTTGGTATGCACATATATTTGGCTAATATATTTATGCACTGAAAATTTCATACAAATCGTACATATAGAACCCGAGTTCAATCAAGCTAGATTGGGTTGCTCTGGGAAGAAGAAGGTCAGCTGCTGCAGGAATTGCGTGCGTCTATGTATGTGTGTGTGCGTATGCATTGCTGATAAATAGCTCTCGTGTAAGAGTGATATTTCGAACTAGAAAAAGGAGTCTTTATAGGATATGATATGATTTGATATGATAAGTAGCACCGCTAAGTCTTTAAAGTCTTTAAAGAGACAAATTTTTGTACTGCTTGCCAGCTACAGCTACAAGTAAACTTAGTAGCTTAGACTGCAGGGTATCTGCAGCTGGTTGCAGCTGGCGCACTCGAACTTGTTTTTCCGTTTAGTTTCAGATGTCAAAAGTGTTTTATATATAATTATTTTTTATATTTTATAATATTGTATTTGGTATTCATGCAGCTTCTGCTTTGAGCGCTGCCATTGACAGCACAAAATATTGAATAATTTCTTTTGAGGTCCAAAGGTTTGTTGTAAATGCATTTTCCATTTGATGACTCAGTGCAGAAGCTGGAGGAAAACTGGATTGTTGCCTTCAAGCAGCTTAAGATGTGTTTCCTATATATATGTATGTCTACATGCAGACTGTAGAGTGTGTAGAATGTGACTGAAAATTTCCTTTCTCCTCTATTGCTTTGCGACTTCAAATTCCAGCAGAAATTGTAGGGTATGGGAGTGTCGGGAATAGAATTGGTTCGATGAGAATGGCTAAAGGATGAGCCGAAAGAAGAAGCAGATCTAAAACTGCAAAGCAATCTTCTTGCCTGTCCCTGCTATCCAGATGAGCTATGCGTGAGTCGTCCAGCAAAGTTCTGCAAGGGAGTGCCCGACTAGAAGATACCCAGACCACTGCGCCGAGCTGCTATTCCAGCTGAAATTGCAGCAAAATTAAAGCTGCGCATGTGAGCTATATATGTAGAGAAAACTTAAGTATTTTATATATTATATATTCGCATAAAATCTAAATTCAAATTTAAAGTTTTCAGCTGGAAATATGCTCCTGATCCAGCTTCAGCTGTCGATACAATTCCTTAGAATTCAGACTTGACTCTTGATGGGCTTCTGCTTGAGTATTAAAGAATTTGTTGAGGAACTTCGGCTGCTTTAAGGATCCGGAAGATATTTTACGGCTGTTAGCCTGCGAGCAACGTTCACAGTGGATCTCCTTGACCAAGGTGAAATGGGCGAAGAATCGATGACGAAACTTGCTCTGGGGCAGGAGCTGCTCAAAGGTCGATGCAATTATCGAATATATCTCTTCGGCGATGGAAGAGCGAATCGGTGTGAAATACCCCCGACACACGGGACACGTCTCGGTGCGAATGCGGCACTCGAGACAGAGCAAATGTCCGTTCTGACACTGAAGCACGGGCGGTGCTATCAGAGACCTGCAAACGGGACACTCGATAACTCTCAGAATGCTATCCACAATGATGACGAGGCGCTTCAGGGCAATGGGCATGGGCACGCAGCAGATGCTCTGGGAAAGTTTGAAGATATATGGATAAAAAAGTCATTATAATATTATAAATCTAACTTACGCTCTCCTCGCTGTCTTGTTGGCAGTTGCTATTCCAGCATAGAATTGTTACCTGATCCTTGCGGCTCTTAACTATTTGAGCAACGTCAGCTATGCGCATACCGAGAATATCTATATCATTAATCTGTAATCACGAAGAAGATGTTATAAAACACTGTCTAGGATTTGCCCAGAATTTCTTTTTGGAATTTGGGGCGATATTAAAAAAAGATTAACTCTATGTTTGCATATACTTAAGAGGAAAGTCTGTATCAAATTTGGTATGTCTAGCTCCTAAAACGTTCGAGATATGCTCAAATTAATAAAGCTATTATATATAAGGCTCTATTTCTTACGGACAGACAGACAGTCAAGCAGTGCTAATACAGTTTTATAGCTTTTTAGCTTCGACGACGCCTCCTTCAACCTCCTTTTGAACAAAAACAATTTCACTTTAAATAAGCTCCACAAATCTTTCATATCTTGCACTTAAAAAGTTCAACCTTATTTTGTGGAATCTAAATGTATTGCTATTTAATGTGGAATCTAATCAGTCAAAGAGTTTTTGTATGTGTTTTGTTTGAATATCAATGTTTGTTTGTTTTGCACTGCTTGTGTGTGTGCATGTGCTTAGGTAAAGCAGTTGCACTGCTTAAATTCTGTTAAATTGCCTACGCTGTCAAGTAACAGTCGACTGTTAACGTAACACAAAATTTGTAACGGCTGCTATAAGCATTAAGCACACATACTGCAGAGTGCGCGAGAGAGAGAAAGTAATATGTGGACAAACGCGTCTATGTGAATAGATAAAATAAATTTTAAGTAATCAGTATAATCATTTTATAAGAGATAACAAATTGCGTGTGCATGAAAACTTTAGCTATAAATAGAACTTTTAGCTAAGTGATTAATGTTTAAGCATTTTTGAATTGAACAATATTTGCATGGAGCAAGCTTACCTTTAGAATGCAATCGCCGGCTTGTAGACCGCGCAGGGAGGCAGGTGTGCCAGCGGCCACTTCACACACCTACAAAAGTGTACAAACACAGTTAGCAAACTATAGGAAAAATGTGTTTGAATGGCAATACCCAAGGATATGGATCCCATTTGCTGCGCGTCAAACGAAATCCATACGCTTCGATGTTAGGCGCTGCGCGAGGAATTCTCAGCAGACGCACGGACGAAATGCGTTCCACAGGATCGGCAGCCATCGGATGTGTGGATGTTGTGTGTATGCTATTCGCCTGCATCAGACTCGTGTAACGCACGCTTCACTCAATGGCGCAGGCCTAAGGTTAACTGTTTTTTGTTTCGTTTCGCTTTGTGCTTTCTTTCTTTTTCTATTTTCGGCGTAAATCGTGTTGCGGAGAGTCTAAATCATTACGTGCCTAACGCAAGCTCACACCAAATCATACTAAACTCTTGATTTGCATTCGGCTGCTCTGTTTAGATGAATTATCCCATTCTCTCTCTCTCCCTCTATCTCACTTTTGAAACTCAAATAGCATCCACATTTGGAGTTTTTTCTTTCGTACGAAATACTCGTTTAGCTGTGGCCGATGCATTGTCAGAGAGCTTGTCGTAGGGCCTGAAATGTCACAATGAAAATAGGTAAATCCATTAGCAGTCAAAACATTTTAGCTCTCAAAGAGTGCTTTAATAAAGTTGAATTGTCATTGCAACATTTGAACAGCAGGTTGGAATTATATTGTTGTTAGCCAGTCGGAGCGGGAAGGTTCGACTGCATAATACGCGTTCGCACACCAAAAGTGGGTAAAATTAAAGAAATTTATTGAAATTTCACAATTTGCGTGAATGGACGTTTTATATAATTTAAAGCTCTAACAGTGGTACAGCTCAGCAGAGCTCCAAATTGAGGTCTACAACTCTAAAATTGTGAATTATATATGGTAGCCATTTTGAGCTATGCAGCATGTAGAAAACCAATATGCTCTGCTACACATCTTGAGCGAGCATAGGAAAACACATGTGCAGACAGACATACACAGGTAATGCTGGTAATGATTGGTTGAAGTGAGGCCTAGGCACGTAGAGTCTATCTAAAACATTTATCTATTATGTAAGCTCATCTGAGAACTAAATTCAAGTTCTTAAAATTAATTTAATTGTATTTTCCAAAGTTAAATAAGGAATTAAATTGTAAGCTTAATGGCTATTGCCTCGCAGCTCGAACTGGAGTTGACGACGGAATATATATATATATATATATATATATCACATAAACATCTGTCATTGTCGCTGTCAAAGGCAACAGCTACCGCAGCTTTGAGCATTAAGTTTCATGTCTTCAATTGGCTCGTTTATAACAACAATTAGTTTTTATTAATCCGAAGGCGAACCACTTATTGGCAAAGTTCAGTAAACCCCCAAAAATATTTATTGTTTAAGGATCGCATTAAATGAGATTTTCAATTTGTTGACGTTAATTGGAAAACACAAATGAAACGATAAAAGTAAAGAAGGGAAACGTAATGTTATTAAATGTTTCTAATGCTTAGTAAGGGTCAGGGTACTCCAGTTCAATAAGCGTACGACTGGCAGATACCCTGTAGCAGTCGCCCAGCAGGTTTCGCCTATAAACATATATAAGCACATGTACAAGCTATGTTCAATGAGATATACATAATTTATGCAGTCAGCCACTCCCACGTCCAGCTTTTATAGACAATGTGCACATAATCAATATACCCTGCTTACACGCACTCAGCATGCGTATCGAAAGCTTTCTGCAGATGGCGCTTTAAAGCTAAGGTCAGCTGAGCTGAGCTGAGCTTGGCGACTGCGACTTTTGTTTGTCGTGCGAAGTCGCAGTTCACTTTTAGCTCTTTGAGTTTGCGCAGGTGACGCTGAACGCGAAGTGGAAGTGGCATCGTGATACCGGTATAAATTTGGCGTGTGTCAAATAAATAAATAGTCAAAATAATAAATAAGCTAAAATATTTAAGTAAGTTTCAAAAATTGTATCGGTTATCTAAAAATACTTGACATCTTTATGGAACATCATTTGGAATATCAATGTGTGCTTCATTTTTATCAGCTTCTGCTGTCAACTTTTTTTGGTTAATCATAAAAATGTTGTATTAATGAATAAAGTGACCTTAGCGCGAGTCTTAATACACAAGCTCTGTGCATTCATGTTACACTGTGTAACAACGATTTTGGCACAAGAGTGAAGGAGGATATGATGTATAGATGAATAGACGTATATGGCCTCAGCTAGAAGCTAAATTAGCTCGCTTTAGAAATCTGTGATACATGTGTATAACAGTTTTGAAAATATATATATATATATATATATATATATATAATATAACAAAAATTGTTATACGAAACAGTGTCTTAGTGAGTTCTGACCTACGTGTAACACTTTTACTATGTTTCGTTGATACACTAAAGTTAAAAAACTGTTATATAAAAATATATTTGTTATTGTTATACATATATATCTAATAAAATTAGTCAATAATTTTCAGTAGAACAGTATATAACAGTTTTAATATAGAAATGTACAATAGGTGTTATATTTATATACTGTGCTACATATGTACTACACCTTATGCATTTTGATGCGATTAAGTAAAGTTGAAAAAAAAAATTCATTTTAAGATAGCAGAGATAATTAAGTTATAATACAAATTGTTAAACACGTGTATAACAGAATTCTAAAGGAAATGAAAAGTCATTTAAGAGACTTAGATAAAGTTTAACACTATAGCTGAAATGCATAAACATATTAATTTTAGAGACATACACAGACAAAAAACTTCACGTGAAGCAAAAAAATAGATAAATTTTGTTGAAGAGTGTTATTTCAATCGTTGTTTTCACTAGCTTCCAAATTGTATAGGAACAGGAACAATTTTTACACAAATCAATGTAAACCGTTTTTTGCTTTTGTGAACATAAATGTATGTAAACAACTTTTATAGTGTGCTTTATGTAAATAAACACATATATACATACACACACACACATGCATACATTTTTATGCATTTGTAAATACTGCCGAAGTAGGCTGCGATTGCGCTGCTCGCATGCGCGCGGCTGGTTTTTACTGTTTGAGGTTTTTGGGTCTTTGTCGAACGTTTCGCTGTGTTTTGTTTTTGTTTTGGGTTTTTTTGCGTTTGTTTTTGTTGTTGTTGCATTTGTGTAACGGTGACGCAATGTTCGCGTGTTGTTGTTGTTGTTTTTGTCTCGCCTTGTTGGTCATTGGCTGAAAACGAAAGCGGCAAAAAAAATCACTGTTAATTTTACTCACACACACATGTATGCACGCATGTGCACACATGCGCTCGGGTGTTTGTATATCTTTTGCTTGCACTCATTTGCTCGCATGTATGTTTGCCGTTATGTAGGTATGTTTGTGTTTGTGTATATTTCGCTTGCACGCATGTGCTCATGTGTATGTTAGTAGTTATTTATGTTTGTCTGCTCGCATATCTTTTGCTTGCATGTGCTCATATGTATATGTATGTTTGTGTGTTTGTATATTTCTTTTTGCTTGCATTACATTGCAACAGCTGTTTTTGGTGTCAGCTGTTGGGCTAACGATTCCGTTGCTTTAGTTATAATACGCGCGCGTCACTGATTAGTTCATTTAGAAGCTGTTGCTTCCGAACTTAAATCGCTCAAATCGATATTGAAACCTTACAAATTACTTACATATAACGGTAAATGTTGCAATTAATAAAAATATTGAATTGGATTTATTGGAGCTCATCAAGAGGCGATTGCTTAAACTAAGGCATTCATATGTTTAACTAAGGCTTTCATGCAATGTTTTTTTGCAATGTTTGTTCTGCTGTCTGTTGAGTGTTGAAACTTGATTTCGCAATTAAATAGGCGTGTGTAGCCTCGTTTAACAGTGTGTGTGGGTTTGTGCACTGAAGGCGTGGAAAATTGAGAATCACCTTATATACTCAAGAAGTTTAATGTACTATTTGCTAAATATATGCTTGTATCTATCAGTATTACATGAAGAAATAATATTATTAGTGAGAATGGGCGTGGCAAACTGTAAAAACAGTACCTTTGACTGTTATACAGCTAGAACCACAAAAGTTGGATACCAAAGTTATTTTCTCTGGACTTTCTGTAGAGATCGATTAAAATTTACGGATAATCGATAACTGCAAGCGTGTTATAACGGTAAAAACTTTATCTTTATCAGTTAAACACTTAGGGGCGTGGCTCATAGTAACGAAACTACATCTTTCACAGTGTTAGAGTGAGTACTAAAAAGTTTTGCAGTTGGACTACTTCACAGTTAGGCCTATTTAATACATGGACTGGACATAAGAGCGTATCATATCGGAAAATATAGATTTTATGGTAAAATGAACTATTTTGAGCTCTGAGCGAGTATTAAGCTGTCGCTTATGCTCGACTGTAGCGTTCAGACAAGTCAAATCTGTTAGCTTTCTTTTATCTTAGCTAAATATTTCTATGAATATATATTTAAGATATTATTAACTATTAATTAACTACATTAATTATTATAATTAAAATTAAAACTAAAATTAGTAATTTGGCTTGCTTTACAATACGCTGCTTTGAGCAATGTCTTTGCCTAAGTTTCGTTCAATTTAATTATGACATTCGCTTTACCTTTCCATTACGAACACGTTAACGCTTTTGACGTCACGGCAATTTCATGGCCAATGCCAACAAGAAGTGAAGTGGAAGCTCGTTTAACTCCCAAGCCAGTTTACTAGGTATATATGTATGTGTGTGTGTGTGTGTGTGTGTGTGTGAGTGTAAATTGAATGCTGCTCACTTTTGGATAGCAAATTTTTGATGGGTAGCTTGCCAAACGTTAAAGGTATAAATATTGTATAATTATGAAGGAATAATAATGAAATTATTCAGATAATAGGTGAGTTCTAGTCGAGCATATGCTCGATATGGCGAAAGACATGCTTATCAAAGTTTTCAAGAAAATAAAATATCATATATTAAATTTAAAAAACTAGCATATAACGTTTTACAGGGTATCATATAGTGTAGCTGGCAATGTTTGTGTTTCCTCAATTTTTCTCTTTTCCAAAATTGTTTTTATTTAGTATGTCCCGATACTTTTATAGAATTTTCAGAAATTTTCAAAGTGTACAGGGTATATATTTCTCATACACTTACATTGAGTACAGGGTATACATATAGTCGCATTTTCCATAGATACTTTCTTAATTGATAATAATCAAGGGAAATGAAAATTCTGCAATTTTTGTGTATATTTTATATATTTTCTTGAATAATATTTGATTACAGGGTATACGAATAGTCGTGCAATATATATTTCCTTATAGTGTAATTAATACATTGCGTTAAATATATGAAAATTCTTGATACATATTCACATTTCATACATTTTCAAGAGCAGCCTTCGATTACAGGGTATACAAATAGTCGCGATTGCCATCAATGTAAATTTTACTCAACAAAAACGAAAAAGCTTATTCAAATTCTTATAAATTTCTATTTAGAATTTTATACATTTTCATGTATAGTAGTTGCCTACAGGGTATACAAATAGTCGGGCTTACGTTAACTACGCGCAGAAGCTTTTGCGGATGCTGTTTGACAGCGGCCTTTACTGCGTATACTTGATGTACTTGAACTTGCGTTGCCCGCGCTACTCATTCATTCCAATTACACAAACTCGCAACTCGCAGTTCCGGCTGTGATGTATGCACGAGTATGCACGAGTATGTACGAGTATGTATGAGTATGTATGCATGCTTGTACCCGGTGATCTTAATTGATTTAATTCGTTATTCGCTCCATTATTTTCATTCTTTTTTTTGGTATTTGTTTCAGTGATTGCAATGCCAAAGTTTTGCCGCCACTTTTGATTTATGTGCGTAATTTTACGCTATTTTGCTAGCCAGTTGCGGCTAATGCGGCGTATGCTTAATTTCGAACGGTAGGCAAAAGTTCTTTCGTGCCAACTTTCAACAGCCTGCTAATTAATTGTGCTTGGGCAAGGTGCAAACATTATAAGCAGCTCCGTTGCCCTCTCGAACCGACAAGAAATAGAAATAGCCGCTGATTGAGGTACGCAAGCGTTTGCTACGTGCGCTGCATGCCAACGCGAACCTTGAAATGGGTCTCAAACTAAAACTACGGCTTTTCATTCATTGCCCTCTATAGATACCCTGTAGTAATGGTAAGTGTGTAAGCAGGGTAGCTAGCATTTGTGAAAGGCAGCGAAAGGCGTTGTACTTGAATGGCGTGATGCGCTCGGCTGCGTTAGCCTTGTCAGCGCTAGTTTGGCTAGACTAGACTCATTGATCTCGAGAACTACGACAGCTAGGGACTTGAAATTTGCAATATATATTTGTATACAACATATGCAGTAAAATTCTATTAGATTTGCGCCTTAACTTAAGCCGTTTCTATTATATCGATAAATATCGATGCTTTTGATTGATTTTGCTGGCATAACTTGAAGACCATTTAAGCTAGAGCTGACAAATTTGATAGGTAGAGTCATGTCTGGCATAGATAGAATATGTGTATTAAAAGTTTCAGATATCTCTCAGTAGACTCTTGCAAAATCATTGAATTAGTTAAGCCATGGTAGTAACGTGCAGTCGGGAGCTGTCTAGGGCACTCGCTCACTTGTTTTTAGATATAATATGGATGTGTTTTGCTATTACATATAGCACTCGGTCTGTGTGTGTGTGTGTCTGCACGTCTGGCACACATTTGAGGTGTTGAAAATGAGGCAAAATTTATGTTATTCAGCCATTCCCTTCCATTCATCCATCCTTGACTGTGGTAAGCCCACTCGCTGCTCTGTGCATGCGTGAGCTAATATATAAATTACTGCAAATGTCTTGAACGTGCGCCCTTGAAGGTGTCAGCAGAGTGGGTATATGTGTGTATATCCACAGTCTTTTATATAGAAATGGAATTCTGCTTTGGTCTTTCAGCTCGGAGATTATGCTGCAGCAATGCATTGTCAAGGCACCGACTGGTGCTCTGGGCTTGAACTTGAGTCGTGCACCCTGGGATCCATATCCGTGGGTCAGCGGTGTGCAGAGCGATTCGAATGCCCAATTGGGCGGCATTTGCATTGGAGATACCCTGTTGCAGCTGAACGGCAGAGATGTCCTCGGGCTGCGGATCAGCGAGCTGGCCAAGCGACTGCGCGAACACTGGCTAACTGGCGCTGATCATGTGATCATGTTGATGTGGCGGCAGCAGCCGACGACGGGCGATCCACAGGAGGCGGCACATGTTGAGGTAAGCTTAAGGAATAGTCAGGGGAAGTCATGGCTTCCCCAAGAGTGTCGAATCAAGGCAGCTCTAAGCTTCCAGAAACCTGTCCTCCATTCATAGAGCTAGTCTCTTGACCTTTGCTAAATTATCTGTTCATTAAATGTGTTTTCACTGTACTTATGTCAAGCCAATCACATATTTCACTCACAGATTTCTAATTGCTTCATTTTAGCTTAGATTAAATATTTATGTATCCTCTCTTATGTCCCAGTCCAGTCAAGTTTGCAATTATATATTTAAGCCTATACCCTGTGGTAAGAGACTACACAGGGTATATTTGTTATGTGCACATGTATGTAACAGGCAGAAGCAGGTGGTTTTGATGCTGAAAAGTAGAAATATTAAGTTGATCAGAATGATGAGTTGAAGCAATTCTTTGTGATGCCCTGTAATATAATGACAAACAGGGTATGTTGGACTGACGCACATATTTGAAGCTTTATACGAGTGCTTACTTAGTAACAGTTCTACCTACTGGGCCTGTAGAGCCATGATCATATTCTAATCCCTGTTCCTTCGCCTTTCGGTTCGTTTGTATAAATCTCGAGAACTATAAGAGCTAGAGTATTGAAATTTGGAATAGATAATACTGTATAACACATGTAGCCTTAACTAAAAGTCTTTCTTTGAAATAACATTCCATTTCCATAATATCGATAAATATCGATATTTCTTATTAGTTTTTTAAGCATAACTTGAAGATTACAAAACCTACAGCTACAGCAAAGGGGGTATGTAGAATTTCGCAATGAATAGACAGATGATGCATATGTGCGACTTTGGTTACCTGCCTACATTACCTGTAAAACTGAAGATATATTAATATCTTAACATGGAAAGTGTTTAATATATATATTATAAATTTGCATCTTATCTTATCTTATATAAAAATAAGTTAGAAGTAGGCTTCATCGTTTCAACAGCAGATCTACGCGTTGGTCAGGGTATCTTCTAGTCAGGCACGAGTATATATAAGCTAGAAGACGCTACGCATGCTACAGAAGCAATTAACAAATCTGCCTTGTATGCCTCACAGCCTTGTAAGTGCTTCCATCCAGCTGATGGATGCTGCATCTTTTACTACATCGGTGTCAGTTGTATTCACACGGCGCTTGGCTGGCCCAAGGTGTTTATCTGTCTAACTAACGGCATTTGCAAATATATATTTTATTAAGTTTTACAATTTATATGCAGTGCATCATTAGAAATTTAATTGACCCAAATTTGACAAGCACTCGAATCACATAGATGGCAGCCAGGCCTGGGCGCCAGCTGGAAGTAACCCAATCACCCACTGTCTAGGGCCTCGCTCGCACCACCAATCCATACAAATTGCACTCGCATTTTGGGTGAAGGTTAGTTTGGGCGCTACTTAATGTGTAATCGAAATCATGTGCCGAATCAATTGGCATGGGCCCCAGCACTTCAGGCTATATGCATGCAGTAATCAATGGGTTTAACGGCAATTGACATACATGTGGATACTCGTTCATGAAAGTGATATGAGTATATTGGCTTGGGAGAGACTCTGAATGTCGTTAGCTACACGTGTGTAGATTATGTGCTGAAATATTAGATCTTCTATAACTTTTTGAATAGAATATTTAAGTAAGCTATGTGGGTTAGCCCATTGACTTGCTCTTCAGATTGATCATGTGATTGATTATGTTAGAATATAAGGAAATCCTGATAAAGTTATTTGAAAGTTGATTGGCCTCGCCTCTATCGAAGATCCACATAAATTATACTTATATGTAATAGGGAGATCAACAATGATATATGCTAACAAAAGTGGATGACCTTATAGCATTGTTCATCTCCCTATTACATATAAGTATTATTTATGTAGATCTCCGTTGGAGGCGATAAAATAGCTTTATCAATTTTCGGATGGGACTTCACTTATTCGTATAATCTGAATAGGTAATGAAGACAGAGGCCTAGGCGCATACCTATGAATATATTCTTGATCAGAATGATAGGATCAGTAGTAAGTCGGCATATATGCTTCTGTCTGTTCGCTCGTCCATCCATCTGTCTGTCGTACCGTCCGTCCATCCATCTATACTTCATTCCGCTTGTCCGTTTATCTGTCCTTCCATCCGTGTCTGTCTGTCCATATATTCTTTCCCCTGTCCTGCCGTCCATCCGCCCGCCTGTCTATGTATCTGTTCGTCTGTTCATACATCCTTCTATCCGTCCACCCTCTTGTCTGTCTATGCATCCGCTCTTTCATCTGTCTATTCGTCTGTCAGTCTGCTTGAACGCATTGATCTCAATAGCTATAAGAGCTAGAGACTTCCATGACATTCTTAGAACAAGTTTGTCCTCTCAAATCATCGATAAAGCTCTCCATTTGCCATGAAATCGTTCAGGATCAATATAAATTTTTAGTTATTTGAGCATATCTCGCACTTTTATAGAGCTGGAGCCATTTGGTATGTGGATTTCAAGAGAGTATACAGCTATAAGAAGTAAGACATCTCTGCAATAGCTGAAAATTCTGGCTGTGAGGGTATTTTCTAGTCGGGCACTCTTTGCCTGAATCACTCTCACTAGCTGTCGACACGAATTACTTTTCCAGTTATTTTCCTATGAATAATTACGTTGGGTTGTTTTTAACTCTTGGAGAAAGTATTTAAAAAATACTAAATGCTAAATATTAAATACTAAATACTAAATTGATTAACTTTTGCTTTCACTTGCTGCTGTTCTCTCTTTGCAGCATGGGATTAATCAACAATCGCTGCAAAAGTTTGCAACTTGCTTGCAACATATTGCTCAACTGCTGGAGTGTCCCGTTTGCTGTGATGTAAGTATGATGTATGGAGTATGTCGGTTCGCGTGAGTTGCATATCGATGAGGCGACGAGGCTGTGGGCTGCCAGTTGCCAGTTGCCAGTTGCCAGTTGCTGGCTTTTAGTTCTAGTTTTAGTTTGTCATTATATAACTTAGCCGCACCGAGCTCGGCTCGCACAAAACTTAGTTGGGCTGTGGGCGCTTGTTTGCCTTTTGTTGTCCTCGTTCCGGCTGCTGTGCGTTGATTTTGCCCGGCGCAACTTTCGTCGTTGCTAATCACTTGACCGTGCATAAAGTTGAAACGTCAAGCTGCATCCACTGATTGCAGCGCCCGATGCCCAGGTAGACCCTTGCCCCGTTGTTTACACAATTACTCACAGCCTGTCGCCGTCATGACTACAAATAACTGTTGCCGCTGTTGTTAGTTAATGCCCCCCCGCTGCCCGCCGCCCGCTCTCTTTGATGTCAGTCACCAGCTATGCCATAACATATGCCTGCTCAACTATATAACATTTATATATATATACGTAAGTCCCTCTGAATCCCTTTTGAAACTGTTTAAGCAGGGTATAAACTTTTGATTCAAGCTCATGTAACAGGCCCATGCAGGCGTGGCACGACCGCGTAGCTCTGTGTCTGCCTGTTCTATACAAATGTATACATAGGTGACTATTGCATACCCTGTATTCCTCTGATAGTGGGTATATTGGCTTTGTACACATGCTTGTAACGCGCAAAAGTAGGCGTGGCAGCCAAGGTACAAGGTACAAGGTCTCTATTGTATACCCTGCATTAATGTGAGAATGGGTTTAACGGGTATATTGGGCGTGTACATATGTAGTTAAGAGTTTGATATATGTGTGAGTAGTTCTAGCTAAATGCTTCATTCCTTATGTTTTTATACATATATAAGACTTATTTTCATACCCTGTAATGGGCATGTAACTGAAAGTAGAAGAAGCTGAGGCTTGGCTAAAAAGCTTATTAGTGCATAAAGTATATAGGATACTTCATAATAACTACAAACTGAGTCGATTTAGCCATGTTGCTTCGCCTATATGCATACATGACTTTGGTATACCCTGTAATTATTGCAACAGACTATATTGTTGCACTCAAAATGTGTGTATCCCACGTTTTTCAGCTCTTATTCTCGATCAGAAAGACGATCTATGTTTCAAACATTTCATTTCCGTTCATTTAAGTTCATAAATCTCGAGAACTATAAAAGCTGCAGACTGGAAATTTGAAATATTTATAATAGTATGCCATACGTAATATAATTAATATTTCTTTTTTCGATAATTAATCGCACTTCTATTATATCGATAAGAATCGCTAAAGATACTTGGTTTTTTTTTGGCATAAGATGTAAGATCATTAAAGCTAGAGACTGCAACTGTGTTATGTTGACGTTAATAGTGAGCATATATATTCATAAAATATCTGATTTTGCATACATATTAGACTACCAGAGAGAAACTCTATAACTCTAGAGTACTATAGACCACAGTAAACTCTGTCAGTTTGAATGTGCTTCAGGGCATATCTGAGTCGATCACTCCCCATTAAGCTAAGCACACTTGTCTTTTTATTAAATATTTTATTGAAACTCAATTTAGATATATATATTACTATCTATGTATATGCATGTCTATGTATGGGGATGCATATGTGGAGCTCTCTCCATATTCAAATATTTCGTCTGCTTGATAAATGTTTGCCATTGCATGTGATTTGATTAGTTTTGCTCTATTGGCTGGCGGCACTTAGGCGAAATATATGGAGCATGCTGTGCGATGATTGATTACGAAATTTAAAAGTCAAATATTGTCGATTAGGCATGACAGGCAATACAGCTTGGCTGGGGTCAAGTGCCACCAGTTCCAGCTGCCCCAAAATTTATGTTGAACAGAAATTTCCATGCTGAAAGCTGCTCAAGCGAGTGCCAGGTGGCAAGCATATAAATTTAATTAATTAGACAGCATAAAGCGAAGGTTAACTCTCGTCTGACATAGTTGTTTCTTTTTTCGGACTGCAGTTATATAGTAAAGTTGTCTCCTAATGAAATTTATTAAGCCAGAAAAAAGCAGCTTTGGGCCAGAGACGAAAATGTCCTTTGCCCGGGCAAGGCCGCAGAGTTATATATATATATATATAGAGTGAAGCTCTGGGCATGTCCTGCTCACCTGGCTGGCTGCTAACACTGAATGCATAATTTTGTTTATTAGCCTTAAAATCTGTTTATGCAGAATACCCCTTTAAAAGAGAGCGGAGGCGTCACGACTCTTAGCTTGCGGCTGGCAACAGTTGATAGCTATCAAAGCAGTCTATAAGAAAGTGAGACGGCTTAAATAGCAGATACTCTGTAACTTATACTCAGGCATATGAGCATCGTTTATAGAGCAGCAGTCCCAATGGTTCGCTGTATGGGAAATGGAATTTGAATATTGAATAACTCGAGTTATATACGCACGATCCTAATGAAAATTTCAGAGCATAATTATGATAACAAAGGCTGTCTGCATACTAAATTTGTAAACTTTTGTATGTGAGTTAAGGATTTTATTTTTGATAGAAAGAACAATTTGGGAAGCTATCTAAAATAAATAATATTTGTAAGCTAAGTATTTTTAATATAAGCTTACATACCAAATTTTGTATATACTGCTCTAATTATCTTCGAGTTATGCTTTAAAAACCAAATAAAAATATCTATATTTATTGATATTAAGCAAACTTAATGAGATATTTTAAAAAAGTAATTGTCCTAGGTTACCTGCAATATACAGAAATAGATATTATAATTTTCAAACATCTAAGTTTTATAGTTCTCGAGATCTGTTCATTTATTGAGGCGAACACAATGCCAAACGGACTAAAATGACTTAGTCAATAACAATAGTCTCCATTAAGCATATGCATTCAATATTCAGCTCGTCACGCCTCCCACTTACTGTTACATACCAATGCACATGCCAATATACCCATTTTCAACAAGCACAGGGTATACACACATACGTGCGCTAATGGGTTATGCTATTTGCCTCTGCAAACAATCAAATCCATTAAGTTATTAAGGGATTTGTTTCGTTAGATTTTCAATATTTCCACAAACAAATATTTCTCTCCAAGCGACTTAAGCAAGTTTCTGGCTGAATGACTTCGGACGGCAACAAAGTGCAATTGGTCGTCAGAGCTTGCTGTTGACTCTGGATAAAATACAAAATCGAAATTTCATTTCTATTAAGCATGCATAAAATTTGCATTTTGACAGGCTTAAGAAATGATTTATAAATTAAAATTTGCCAAATGAAATTTAGATATGAAAATTCGTAAAATTCCTATAAATAGATTTAAGAATTGAACTTTTTCAGGCAGAACTGGCAATTCGCTTTTGGCCATTCCCTTTGGCCGTTCCTTTAATGTGATTAAAGTTGCATTCTATAGTTCTACATAAATAATACAGAGGAGGAACCCTCTAAATTGATTGCAAGCAAATCGCTTTACATTTGTAAAGCTTGAAATTCATATTTCCAAATGATACCAAAGGAAAAAAAACAATTTCAAGCAAAATTTGTATCTTTATTGCTGCATATTTGTAGCTGAGATGGAAACACGTACCGCTACACATGTATTACACGAGTGTGTGGGTGCGAGTGTGTGTGTAAATACTGACAAAATGCATCAATTGAATTTCTATATCGTTGTCTATGCGCGTTCAGCAAGTGCTGAACGGGTATATTGGCTTTGTGCTTGACTGCAGAGACTTTAAGTTGGGTATATGTGCAGTCAGGCATACCCAGCTCTGAACAGATCTTGTGCATTCGCTAGAGAGTTGGGCATTGGTATAACTCTTACTATATAAACTATAGCTCTTCTATATTATAGACAGTCAACTATGCGTGGCGTTACTATATAACATGATATATTATATATATATATATTAAATTACTTAGGCTCTTCTGTATTATAGACAGTTAACTATATATATGATATATTATATATATATATATATTATAGAACTTAGGCTCTTCTGTATTATAGACAGTCCACTATGCGAGGCTTTTCTATATAACATGATATATTATATATATGAAGCGTTCTATTCAATTATAAAACTATATCTTTTTGTATAGATCACATTTACATACATTGAGGATCTACGAGATCTACTGATGTTTCTACTATATATATATAATATATACGTGCCTTGAGCAGCTAATAAAATCGGAATTACAAAGTTTTCATGAGAAAGTCCAGTAGGAGAAACTGGCAACTCAACAAAAGTGTTGCAGCTATTAGATATACGTCGGGATAAAGTTTAGTTGCGATTAGATCTATTTTTGGATAGGGTTTAGCTTTTGATCTGCTCTACAGATCTAATAAAACTGTTAGATAAACACATTAAAAGTCATATTAGCTATAGATGTATAACTGAAATCCTATTTAATGTGAGTTGCTGTTGATTGCAGCATCAAGAGATCTACTATAATTGTATCAGCTAAACATACTTCGGCTGGGCAGCTTGCAAATTCTTAATTAAGATGGTTCCACATAGTCTTACATTAAAGCTGGAATTCCCTAGTTTTCTTGATAAACTTTTTTAGAGTTCGATCGATTGCAGTGTTTAAAAGAACTTAAGTTTCTAAAGGTTTCTTGACAACCTCTTCTACTAATCGACTTACAGTTATATGCCCAAGACTTCTGGGAACGCAGTAAATCGAAAATACTTTTACAGATGGAATCGAAAAATGTTGTATGTAGCTGATCTTTGACCAGCTCTACAGCTTAACCCTAACTTCCTATAAAATAATATAATGAAAAGTGTGACCTAACTCACTTGATATCAGCAGCAGTAACACAAAAATGTTCAGCTTTGATACTAGAATCGAAAAGTTTTATAGTTTAACTATTGACCTACTCTAAGCTATCTGGGACTTTACATATAGAAAATCATCTCTTCCATAGCAATATATCTCTTAAGTACTAAGCGTTCTCAAATAAGAACTCCTTAGTTAAATGTCCAAGCTTTGTTAGTTACCGCGAACGAGCATTGTGCAGTCGTTAGCGCCCGTTTGCTACTCATTCGCTTGCTTTGTTTCAACTTTTTTTGTAAGCAAATCCCATGTTTCTGTGTGAGCTGGTTTTTTTTGATTTTATATATATTTCTATAGCTTTCCGTCCGCCGCTTGAACAGCGCAAAACTGTTTTTGTGCATCAAATGGGGAAAAAGCGGGAATTATTTTAAATCCGCTTGTAATATTTTTCCATTTTGCAAAAAGTAACGGTTTTTCATGCTTAAATTATTGAAATACATTTTTGCTTTATTGAAAAATCTCAGACATTTCGTTTGTTAGCCGAATAACAAAACGCGTTTGATTGATATGATATGAAATTTCGTTTTATTGAATAATTGCACATTTGGTTGTCTTCCGTGAATGCAGGTGATAAAGCCACCTGGCTGGCAGTGCTGCAACGGGCACGTGCTATGCAATAATTGTCGCAATCGCTCTGAAAAGTGTCCGGTTTGCCGAGTGCCATTGGGACCCCGCGGACGCTGCCTGCTCTCGGATAAATTATTTACGCTGCTCGCTGAGAATTTCCCCTGTGACGGCGGTAAGTCGATTCTTCTTCTCCTAGCTCTACTTAATGAGAATGGGGTATGGGTGTTTTGTTAACATGTTCATTCGTAGGCCTGGACGAAGCCTTAAAATTGAAAAAATTTTAATTAGCAGCTGCAGGCAAGTCTTAGTCTTGTTCTATACACAAATCAAGTTGGCTTCAAATAATCGATAAATATTCCAATTTTCCCAGGTATAGAATCAAGCTTCAATTATAGCAGCATATCTTAGCCATCTTTCGAGCTAAAGTTACCAAATTTCGTATTTAGTTTCTTGAATAACATTTAAAATTTTAATGAATTTTATATTTAGCATAACTGCTTCAAATTTATCAAAATCGATCAAATTAAAATTCAGCTGTACAATATAGTTGGTATTTAAAGCAATTTTTATTTTAAGATATTTTTTATATATTCAATGGATTATTATGATGATTTGCTGAAAATTGCATTAAAATCCGTTTATAAACACAGAAGTTATTAAAGAAAACGTCAAGTCAATTGACAAAACTGACTTTGGCCAAGCTCAGGCATTTGCGCTATGCGTGTGCACACGCACACACACATGCATACATTGAAAGCCGTGCATTCTTATTGGAATTCTATAAATAGAATTGCAATTGTGATAGCATTGTAAGTGAAATGTTAGCTGCTGCTTTACTTGTGTATTTGTCGCTGTAAGGTCAAGTGTTGGAGTGGCGTTGGTGATAGAGGTGGGGAATGTGATTATGCCTTGGTTCGAGCAGGCGTGGGTTCGAATCCTGTGTGGTGATGTGAGACAAGCAAAAATCTCTTATTTTCTTTTAGTGCATTATTAAATTACAAAAAAGTCAGTTGAAGTGTTATGGAATTTTCTACGGAGCATCGCTTAGCCGTGCGCTGCTGACTGAGGAGAGATTTCCCTGGTGTTTTTTTGCTTTTCGAGTGAATCTATTAATATGTCTTCAGTGCGTCAGTTGTTGAGGCAAAAGTTTTGGGCCAACTTGTTGTAATCTACCTAAAATGGCGCTTAAATTAGCGCTGTCATTAGTATAATGTGCCCATGCTTGGACCGTTATGAGCCTAAGCAGCGGGCTTACCTCACCTTTGCTGCGAGCTTCGAATCCTCATTGAGCAGCAACAACAACAAGATGAAGAAGAAGAAATGCCATTAGAAGGGCTCTCGCTATCTGTCAATTGCCTTGTGCAAAAGTTTTCAGCTTCAAAATTACGTTTAGTTGTAACATTAAATAGGTATCAAGGTGTACCTTAGTCTTAGAATATGTAAGTGAGGAAAGGTACGACAGAAAATAGCCATTCGAAGTTCGGTTTAAGTGCAGGACGTAATCCCAAGCAAATTTGTTGTAGGTTTTTATGAATTTTATATAAATAGGAATCATTTGAAGAAGATTTTCATGCCCTGGATAGAAGGAAAAGGCGTGGCTGATAAGCATAACTTACTCATATATAACTTCTTGACCAGCACTAAGAGCTGCAAGGGCTTTGCAATGCTTGACTGTCCGTTGTATACCCTGTAATCTTTGATATTGAACAACTCAGAATTAACCCCAACTTCCTGATCAGAGCTAAGAACTGGGCTGACCATGCGTCTGTACTGGTCTAGAGACATCCAATTATAAATATATAATGCTCTTGTGTACGAAGGTCTCTTCTAGTCGAGCACTCCCGACTAGCCACCAGCCCACTCCTGCTAGATTTTTATTGTAGTTGAGACTTCTTGCATAATTATGTTGCATAAATTGCAAAACTTTTTCACGCTTTATGCTCTGCTCCACAGTTCTCACTGCTTGACATTGCCTTTCCAATTGTCGTTTGCGCTGCTTTCAGTTGTCGTTAGATGTTTTCTATACCTAAATACCCATTAAATGGGAATCGTATCGCAAAGTTTTTATAGCTGTGCTGTGAGTCTATTGCGCTCTTTATCTTTCTCTCTCTCTCTCTCTCTCTCTCTATCATTCTGTGGAACTCTAATGAGAGAGTGAGATCTCTCTATCTGTTTGTTTCTCTTTCTTTTATGTTTCAAGTGTCCCTCTTCTTCCGCCACTCCCTACATATCTTTCCCTCTCTTTCACATTCTTCTCTCTCTTATACTTTATATTTTCTTCATTTGTCTCACCCGCTCACTCTCTCTCACTTTGCCACTCTCTCTCACTCAATTGTTCCCTCTCTCTTCCTCTCTCTCTCTTTCTCTCTCACTTTGTTCCCTCTCTCTTTCTCTCTCTCTCTCTTTCTCTCTCTCTCTCTCTCTCACTTTGCTCCCTCTCTCTTTCTCTCTCTCTCTCTCTCACTTTGTTTTCTCTCACTCTCTGCCACTTCATCGGTTTCTCCCTTTCTTTCATACTCTCTCTCTTTCCGTCTCTTTCTGTTTTTCTCTCTGCTTCTCTCTTATGCTTTCATTCACTCTGTCTCTATCTGTCGGCATCTGTCTCACTCACTCTCTTCCACTCTCTTACTCTCTTCCATATGTGCTTACAGTTGCTTCTTTCACAGCGTGGGGTATCTTTTAGTCAGTCACTCCCTGCTGCAGGCAAACTTGTTGAGCTCTTCTATCAAAGAAGTTGTTGCCATATTTCTGCATTTTTCAATTTGTGCATTTCCTTGAGGGTCGAGCCAACTCGAGTTAATGTTAGGTTCACAACAACAGAAAACGAAACACTGATGTCGCTTGCCTCTTGTCTCTTGTCTCTTATCTCTGCTCGCTCGTCGCCTGTCGCCTGTCTCCTGTCTCCTGTCTCTTGGCGACGGCATTTCTGCTTACTTGTTGAACTCACTTAGAATCTGGAATTTTGCTTTTCACTCGCTCAGCACTTTGTGCGTTTTTATTGCTTCTCAATTAAGTGTGGAGACTTTTTCTTACCCTGTAGCCGCGGCATGGCTAGGAGTTGTATATTGTTTCTCTGTCAATGCATGTGACGGGCAGCAGAAGGCGTGACTGCCGTCAGTTAGCATATATATTCCTGAACGGCATGACCAGCTGAGGCGATATAGTCAACTCCATCTGTGCTTCTATTTGCCTCGCTGTCTATTCGCTCCTCCCTTTAACTGTCTGCAGCTGTTCGTCCTTACGAGTGTCTGTCCGTCCGTCCTTTCGCCTAGCCGTCCTCCTACTTCTCCTACTTCAATGCGTCTGTCCGTCCGTTCGTCCATTCGTCCATTCTTACGCCCACTCGTCTGTCTTCATGTGCCTGCTCTCATCTGTCTATCCGTTCGTCCGTCCATTCGTTCGTCCCTCCTTCGGTACGTCCGTTCATTTGTTCAATGCGGAATGGGAAAAATCTAAATGGTACAGATAGAAACTTGTGCCTTACTATATACTACGCTCATACAACATTCCTTCATATATATATGGAGCTAATAATTGGTAACTTTTTACTTCTTGCAGTGAAATCCGTTAAGAATGATGCAATGGCCAACAACAGCAACGGCGGCAAATGCACAAATGAATTTCATAATCAACCAAAAATGGCATTGGCCAAATCGAACGGGAGTAAAAAGTGTAAAAAGGCGGGCAAGCTGATGCAGATGCAGCTGGGCGTGCCGGGGCAGGGCGTCAAGTCAGTGGATGCGATGCCAATGGGAAATGAGGGAAGTGCGCAAGTAGAAAATAATGTCAACGTGATAAAAGAGCCGAGGGTGGAAAGTGTCCTGAAGGAGCAACCACAACAACAACAGCCAGAGGATGGCAACAATATGCTCGTTAAACCAAAGTTCAAGTTGAGTAAGAAAAGTTGGCAGATTACAGACGAAGATCAAGACGAATTGCACAGCAATGAAGTTGCAAACATAAATAATGGGCGAGAGCGCTTACTGGAAGTTGGTCTGGGTCTGGGTCTGGGTCTGGGTGCGGGTCTGGGGCAGGTGTTGGGCCCAGAAAAATATCAAAATTATCATTGCCCAACTGGGAAATCATGCAGCAAACAGCTGAAAGTTTTCCAGCCAACGCCAGGCAGCGACAACAACAAATTGTCAACTGCAGCGAGCTTGCAGCGGGCGCAGCTGGAGGCGGGCGCCTTGCCGAAGACATCATCAATAAAACTGCCGTTAGACCCGACGGAGTGCCTGCTAGAGCATCTGCGCGCCGAGCACGGCTTGGGCACGGTGCACAGCTGCGGCACATTGGGCCAGCGCTTGCATCTGCACGTTCAGCTCGATGCACAGATCTGTCTGCGCCTGGCTGAGCCGACAGGTGGCGCACAGGTGCACACGTTCCTCTTAGCCATGCTGGAGATCAGCGCGCATCGCTTTGCTGTCTTCCTGTGGCAGCTTGACGCGGAGCAGCATCAGTTCAATACCAGCATCGAATCACAGTGCAAACAGCTCAAGTGGTTCGGGCCCGCTCAGCCGTTAACGCGCAGCTGGTCAGAGATTTGCGCCACAGGTGAATACCTCACCTGGCTGGACACGGGCGAGCACAATTGCAGAGGATTCGATATTATTGTTAAGAGAAAGTAGTAAAAAGAAAATTTATTTTTAATAAAAAAAACACGTGATGAACTGAAATTGTATTAAAAATATATAAAATATAAATATTTCATATATAAAAAAATTATGTTTTTAAAATTATTCTATTATATTTTAAATTTAAAAAAAATGAAAAGCAATCGATTTATTTTTTCAATTTTTAGGAATTATTTTATGTGCCCAGCAGCCCATCATTTTAGCCGTTATAAACTGATTTGTATTTAAAGAAAATGTTTTTTAACAAATTGTATGCTTTGCAAATTATATTTACACACACATACATACGCATTCTTTTTTATTTTTGCGTATTATTTCAAATATGTGAAAGCACAATTTTAAATGTGTTAAGTCAGCTGAATTTTTAATTAATAAAAGCATTTAGATACAAATATACACATACACAGATACACGCATACATATAAAAATATGCTTGCCTGTGCTGTGCTCAGCTGCCCACCCTGCACTGTGCTCCGGCTCTCCTTTATGCGTGGTGCCGTTATTTTTTTATTCTCTTCATTTTTTTCATGCCTTCATATTTGCATAAAAGCAACAACAGCAACAACTACCACAACAGCGACAACAACAACACGTAGACTGCTGCTGCTGCTGCTGCTGCTGATAATTGACTTGCACGCAAATTAATGTTTCTGCTATGCACATACACATATACATGCATATGTATTACAGCTGAATGCATACACACATACTCACTTGTATCTACATATATGTATGCGTGTGTATGCGGTATGGCTACTGTAGTTGGGAAACGCGCAGCGCAGTTCCATTTGAATAAATTGCTGCCGCTGCTTGACAAAATATTGCGTATACTCAAAGGCGAGCAAAAAATTTCATCAGAAATACATTTCAGTCAATTATTCAGTCATATTTTTATATGTGTTTCAAAATACACATAAAAAGTTCAAATATAATAAGAAGAAAAAACTAGAGTCTATATGCATGCTTGTAAATTAGAATTATTCAAATATTTGTGTTGAGTGGCTGAATAAAATGATGAGAGTTGCTCTTTGATTATATATATGTATGCACAATTATGTATATGCAGCGACGCTAACTCTTTCACTCTGTCTGCATTTCAAGTAAATGTGCGCCATGTTTTATTCATGTTCACCAAACACGACTGATCAGCAGGAGATGCGAGTCCAGACTGATTCAGCTGGCATTCTCATGAACATAAACACAACAAATAACGCGTTACTTTTAACACTCTTGTGCTCAATCCACTCACATTGTACGTTACTTGGTTAAGTCGCTTTCAGCTGAATACACAACTGGATCAAAGGCGCGCTCTTTACTTCAATCGTACTCATAGAATCTACAATGTGCTTAGTTCACATCGATACATACATGCATATATGTATGTACAATTGTATTTATATGCTTTGTCTGTGCAAACGCGAAATATACAAAGTTCACTTATTGGGAAGAGGAGTTACTACGTCGTTTTTCAATGAGGAGGCATTTGCAAGCAATTTGGTTTAATATTCTATAAACAATTTTGTAGCTATAAATGTTTGCCTATTATAAAAGTAAAGTCTGATCACCGATTGATATGCCTTGGTCGTACATAAATACCAAGGGGCAGCAGAAACACTGTTAATATCAATAGCAAAAAATGATGCATTACATTCAGTTCAACCTACCTACATATATACATACACATGTTCAACTTGTTCAATAACAACTGTTAGTTCTCTTGCTCTTTTTGTCTCTCTTGTGGTATACCCTTTGATTAAAGTCACTGAAGGGTACACGAACATAAAAAAATTTGTGAACAATAATTTTTTTCAATTATGTATATATATAAACATGTACAAATAGTAAATATATTTGTTAAATACATTTGATATGGCCATTGACCGGGGCTTCTCATTTTTATAAAAGTATTTAAGCGTATAACTACAATGTAAGCTATTTACAGGGTATGCTATAGTTAATCATAAGACTGCGTTCTTTATATTTCTCTACTCTTCGATTGTCTTGACCGTATGTGTATGTATGTATTTAGCAAATAGTTTTTGTCGATAAGCGTTGTCGGCAGGTCTGTTCCGCGTTCAGTGTGTATGTTCATTGATATTTGTTTGCTTTAACTTTGAAATTTATTTGCTGACAAACATTAGCGGTTGTTGAATGTGTAATAAAATAATAAAAATCCGTTTTGCCAAAATTAATCGGACATAGCCGACTTTGCGGCCGCCATAGACAGTAAGCATTAAAAGTGCGCCGATAACGGTGTTTTGTTCATTTCTGCTCTCTTTTGCTTGGCGTTTGTTACGTTCGTTAGTTCTCTTTTTCGTGTGAGTTATTCAATCAGTCATTCAATTGCGTGAGTGTGAAAGAGTACGCATAAATTTCGTGCTCTTTGATTTGACGAAAAAGACCAAAATGGACAGCGAAAGTGGTGAGTGAACTTTTTAGAAGGTGCTATTAAATTAGACTTAGGCATTTCGCATTCAAATTTATAATCTTTAATTTGTACACAAAGTGGTGATAAATTTAGATGTTAATGATATTGTGGCGAACAGTGATGGACCAGAACTGCAAAGCTTTCGCAGCAATTATGGAGATGAGACAAACAAGCCCAAGATATCACGAGATCACGAATCCAATTCGACACCTGTGCAGATGTTGCGCCGTGCCAGCGAGACTGTCACACAGCACATCCTAAGTGATCTGGAGCCAGAAACTCAACATTTGCTCGACGGAGCCCTGGCTGGCCTAGAAGATAATGCCCAAAAGCGACCGCAGGCTCCACCTCGATCGTACATGACCAAGAGAAACATTTCGGGTGACTGTGCAACAGGTGAGTTAACTACCCGTTGATATGATGATTAGGTTAGTTCAAAGTCAATGATATATAATTAAATTTTCATAAAATCGTTTTAAATCGAATTGGGATTACATGTAATTGGTTATATCTCGAATACTTTAGGCGCTAGAGCTATCAAATTTGGTATATAGAGTAAAGGAAGATATACAATTAAGATGAGTGTTCCTTTTTTTTAGATACCTTCTCTAATTCCAATGAAAGTTCGAAAAACTTTATTTTATATAGGAAATTTAAGATTCTAAAAAATATATATAAATATATATTCCATTTTGTTCACCTCTTGTCGAATGACTTTTTCCTAGAATTTTAAATTTCCAAAGATAATTACCAGCAAGCATGATATCATAGCCAGATTAAGAAAAGTGCAAAGGAACTCTAATTTTTATGCACATTTGGCTTCGCGACATAAAACATAGTAAAGTTACTTTTTATCGAATGTGTTGGGTATTTTCTAGTCAGGTATGCCCTATGGTGGCACTTGCCTCTGGTTACAGAGAAACTTTTGCTCCTATTTGGCTGTTACAGCTGTGCATTTGTGGAAAGTAACTATTATTATTATTGTTAGATTGCATTTACATTTGTTTTTCCTCGATTGTTTCTTTTGCTTTCATAATTTTCGCATAATTTCAGCAGAGTTCACATTTGAAATAGCGCACAGAACGCGGTTCGGGTCAACTGAAAGCGTTGAAACAACATTTTTAGTGCACGTAGCGAAAACTTTTGGCTACGAAATGAAAGATTTCAACTTCGTTGCATACTTTTTAGCTTGCGAGACAATTTTTCGTATGTATTTAAAGCAGCGCCATGAACAGGTGCGAAATTGGCCGACGAGTTTGCACCTGACTGCTGCATACTTGTGCATGGCATGAGTGAACTTTATGTTTCTAGGTTCATCTGTAGAGAAAGCCGAGATTGATTCAAGCACAAAACTTCATGAGTCTCGCTAATATGTTGAGAAGCTGTGCAAAATATGCGCTATATAACTATATATTTCAATTTGATCTTTAGAGAAGAGCTTTTTTGAAAGATATATTAATTTCTTATACAGATCTCAACACATAAGACAATCCATAGAAGAGATACCCAGTTATTCACCAACCAGACTAGATGATTCTATTTGAGGGTATATCACTGGAAATGCATCTCTAGCATATATAGATCTGCTTAGTAATTCAACTGTCAGATTAAATGTTTCTATATGATAACATTGATTTGTTAACTGATTAAACTTGTTATTCCTATGATACACTAATCCTTATATCAAGCATCTAGCTGCAATTGATCATAAAATATAATATGATTTACGCACTCCTACAAATTTCCATTTTCAACTAAGAATAGCTCCCACCAGGCTCAAAGCCAATATACCGCTTCTTCACCCACACGAACGAGTATAAAAAACGATTTACTTTCCTTCACGTAGTCAAACCGTTGATAAATGAAACTCAGCATCTCAGCGCGTCATTCATTCGCAGATGTATTTGCATTTATGTACATGCGTTTGCATGCGCATGCAGTAAATGCAACTGCACACACACACACAGCCATACACACCCATACAGATGTTGGCATGTTTGCATGCTCACATGCATACGCATAACAAATAGTTATAGTAACTATATCAGCGGAAACGCTTGGCCTGCCCATTGAATAGGTAACTGTTCCAGCACCCAGATGCCCGCTTCATTTCACTTGACACACAAATATCCTTGTGTACACAACAGTTCGTTTCACTTTGACTCGTTTGCTCTGACTGGGGCACAGTTCCTAGCCCGCCCCTGCCCCAGCAGTGGCTTTTGACTTCATCTGCTTCAAAGCAATATGAGTTGTGTCTCGATTAAGAGGGCAAACGGGCTCATTGTGTGAGTGTGTGCCAGCATTAACGTTTACATATACCCTGTAAGCATTGAGAATGAATGAAAGAGGTGTAAGATGAGGCATGCAACATGCAGTAGCAGGTGTGCTATGTGCTCTTCAATAGCTATGTTTCTGAGCTGGAAAACGAGTTGAGTCAATCTAGCCATATCTCTCGATCTCAGGAACTACAAAAGCTAGAGACTTGGCATTATAAATATATGTTCTTGCATATCGTATTAAGTAGAAAATTATATCTTTTTTCCGAGTTTTCATTCCATTTGCTTAATATCGATATATTTCGATATAGTCGCTGTCTGATGTTGTGGAAAATGAAACCAATTTCAGGGCATCTGCTAGTCGTGTGCTCCCAACCCTCGCTTCCTTTTCAATATTTTCGACTTTAAAAACAATTTCAAAGTTTTCTTTGAATTTTTTTAAATTTATTATTGTAGGATTTTTAAAGATATATATATATATATATATATATATATATATATATATATATATATATATATATATAGAAAGCTTAGGGAATCTTGCTCATAAGGTAGACTTGTATTCTTATAAAGCAGTTTGCTTGAGCCTCTCATACATATCCAATATGCTTGGGTTCAGATAAAGTGCTCAGTGCTTCTTTTATGTGTAACATATAGCAAAAAGATCTAGTTTTTGTAACTAGAACTTCGCTCAGTTCATTTGGTTGTTTATGAATAAAGTTTTGTAATAATTGAAATCAAAAAATTTTCTTCATCTAAGAAACTTTACGAAAATATTTCATTCATTGCCACTTTAGAGTTGTGGAAAATGAAGAAAGTTAAAATGGCAGCAGCAAAGAAAAAAACGAAGGTGCAGCACAGGTAAACGCTGACCAAATGGACATCAAAAGTAATAATCAGAGTCTAGGTAGGTGTGCAAAAAATGTGTAACATAAGAGCGTATATCTTTAAAGTTGCTGCCACAGGGATAGAGTGGGAGAGAACCTTAATGACTTTTGGCAACTTGCAAAACCCCCGAAAGTTCATAAAAATCTTTTTTTGCTCTGTGAAATATCGCAATTGCAGGCCACAAACTGAATTTGCCGTCTCACCTGCTTCATGCAGCCAGGTGTACACACTCCTTGCTATCTTCAGGTGACACCTTGTGCAATTTATGTTCAAATTTCAAGCAACAGAAAAGCTGGGCGTCAGTATGAAAAAAGGCAAGTAATAGTGCACTGTTGGGGAGTGCACGACTAGCAGATACCCGGCCATTTGAAGGGGATGTAATGTGGCAATGATCCTGTCTTATTAGTATTAGAGTTTAGTTCAAGTCAAAGTAGAGATCACAATGGAGTGAATGTGTAAAGATAGAGAAGCGTGGAAAAAAGTCTATGAGTTCCACCTGCATGAAGGAACTCTGATAATGCTGTTTGGGGCGGGAAATGGGTTCAGATATCGAAGAAAAATAATAAGCTTATAATGTGTATAGCATAGAACTACCTTTGGTAGTTCTCGAGATCAACAGAGAGAAATACAAACGTAGCTTCATCGCCTCAGTATATATATATATATATATATATATATATATATGTATATATACTTCAAAACCCCTCCCACGCTTATTTTCAGCTGTTACTTACCCCTCAAAACCCATATACCCCATTCACCAATTTGGTAATGTGTTCAACGTATTTAAAAAGTGAGAAAATGGCTCTACCGCAAAACTTGGAAACGCCTCACATTATTCATAAATGTTGAACGGAGTTGCTGAGCGAAACTAACCAAGCGCGAACAGTGGAAGCATTTAAAATTAATTAAGCAATGTTAAATATTTGTTGCACTTCAAACGTTGAATTCGCATTGAATTTGTAAATATTTCATGAGCCCCCACACACACACACGCGCCTAGAGAGCCGGAGAGCAAGTTCAGGCCAAGCTAGATGTGATCAATATTTGCTCTTGATTATGGCTAATTAATTGATAAGCAAACGTCCAGCAAACACAATTTGCGAACTGTTTGTGGTTCACTGGGTGCGAAGCGACAGTCTCTTAACTAATTACCGATTCGAGCCTGTGACTCACATTAATTATTAGTATGATACTCGCTCAGCAGGGCGACTGAAGTATATTGGCTTTAAGCGTTTCGCGGTTTGACTACTGCAGACCTGAAGCTTCAAAGATATTTTCTATATAATTATATTTTAGATATGCAAATTACCCAAATATTTTGGTAGCTTGGTAATCGAAGCTTAGATTTGTGTGAAATATTCAATAGTCTGAAAGGCAGAATCATCAATGAATATACTGATGAATACACTTTAAATACTTTCGAAATCTACTTTTCTATCAGATTTGCCAAGCGATCATTGAGTTTAGCTGCTGATCTACTCCAGATATCCATTTAAACTTATTCAACTTAATGTGAATTTCAAAGAACTTCACTTTAAATAGATCTAGATTTTTTCTCTTTAGGTAGATTTATAAGTGATCAAGTGATCAATGATCAAAGCTTGACAATACTACCGAAGCTCTGACATGTATTTTGTAGTCGTATATAAATTTATTTGTTCATATAATAATTTAAATAAAATACACTCATAACTAAAAAGGATTCTCTTCATAAAGCAGTAAGATCTACCTAGTATCACTAATAACTGACTTTTCGCTTCAATCATTATGAAGCACACTTAGCCTCTAAGTCGAAGGCCTGTATAAATTAATATTATTATATAAATTAATAATGTAAACAAATAAATATTTTGTTTATTTTCATATTTAAGATTCTCTAATATTATTTTCAAACATCTTGTCAAGCTATATATAATTTATTTTGTGTTCTATTTGAGAGAAAGATAAGATATTATTTCAATATATGAATTTATTATTATCACTTTTAAGTATAACTAAAGTGATAATAATAAATGCAATTATCTAAATAAATATCTATAATTTTTCTATCTTTCTCTACTTATTATTTTATCTTCTCTGTGAAATGTGTATTTTCAATAGAAAACTGAAAATAGATCAAATGTGTTGCAGTGCTCAGGGTGTATCATAGTCGGTCACTCTCCACTAGAGCAGCCTCACTTGATTTTTATATTATGAACTCATTTGATAGCTGTATAAACAAAGTTTGATCTTAAATGACCTAAAATGGTTATAGCTGCTTCGCAGCGTATACAAAATTGTTATTCCCGCGATATTGTTTTTAATTTTTTTTATATATAATCTAATATTTATTTAATATATCTAAGCATCGCTCGTGCAGCGACTTTGTTTGCTGTTGTTTATTAATTGTTTTGTTTTCTATTTTTTGTTCACAAATTAAAAGAGCGAATATGTGAGAGTAACCTTAAGAGAGAGAGAGAGACATTCGTTTATGTTTTTTATTAGCGTAAGATATTGGAAAAACAAACGAGAAACGCAAAGATTCTCCCAGATCTATAGACGTTCTTCTGGGGTTTCTGCTTCGCTTTGCCGCTTTTGTCAGCCGAACGTCGCGACGCGTCGACTGTTGCGCATCTTATCTGAGATTAGTGAGACTTTTTTATACAATTTTGTATATTTCATTTAATCTTTTCGTCTCGGTGCGGTAGGTCGACAGAAAGTTATTCGATTCACGCAAATGTTTTAGACTTAATCTAAGTGCAATGTGTTTTCCAGTGGCTAAGTGTTCCAGCTAAGCAGCTAGATTCTAGAATAACCCAGTATTTATAATTACCCAATATTAACTGGGTATTCTCAATACAGTTTTATGTAATGTGAACAGATATTATATATATATAGATATAAATATATATATATGTATAACAGTTCAATCATGTGAAGCATCCGAATTGTGAAACAAGCCAACGCTGTGCAAAGTGTAGAGAAATCATTGAAAGGCTATTTAATATAGCTTTAACAACTTTTCATATTTGGATTACAGAAAGATAGGTTAAAGACATTAAAGTGACAAAATGGATCGCAACTGTTGCTTCACTTTCTCAAGGCTTTCACTACTATTTTGCTGTCAAATACTTTGATAGGTTTTTGAGTGTTTACTACTTCTTTGCTTAAAATAAACGAATTTATTTTAAATTCATAATTTATTAGGTTTTCATCGCTTGTCTCGCGTTCGAAATAGATTCAACTTTTCTACTACTATTTTTATGTTTCATCTGATCAGGCATAATAACTGATTGCTAGTTGCTTTCATCTTTAAACTATACTATACTTTTAAAGCCGATACTACTCGTTGTGATGCTTTCTTTATTCAAGGAATTTCATTAATTCTGTCTACTACTATTTTCCTACTTTTTCTATTCCAATTTGGTCAGCCATTTGCAGTTGATTCGCTGGAATAAATATTGATTCCTCTTCATCATCATCTCAATTTCATATTTGAACTCTTTCCAGATTTCCAAAATGTCTACTACTTTTTTCTATCAAAAAGCAGATCCATCAGATTAAATTTTCCTCGTCAATGCCTTCTTAAAAAGATCTTACTGCATTAATGTCTCTCATTTAATAAATTAATTTCTTACTCCTTTTTTTAATGCAAAAAGAGTAATAGAAAGAGAAGCTGATCTCAGCTTCTACTCATTTCATACTATTTTGGTTCATTAAATTTCACTTATTTATTGGTTCTACTACTAATTTCTATAAGCTGATAAATCTGATCAAATGATCGCAGTTTATATATTTCGCCTTTCCTAAGTTTCAGCCTTTAGTTCTAACAATATTATTGCTACAGTAGTTAAGTCTAATTCAATGCCCTTTTCAAAGTTCCTACTACTTTTTTCCCTCCGTCAACAGATCAGTCAGAGAAACTGATCTCAGTTATCTCATTTCCACTTTGAAGCAAGTTAATTGATCTATTGCCATTTATTTGCTGGCATTAAACAAAGTGTGTTTTGCATTTGGAAAACTGTGAATGCTGATTGACAGCCTTGGCGATCATTAAGAAGTTTTTGCTGGTCGCGTGACAGGTTAATCCATAATTGACACGTGATCCACGTTAAAGAACGCTCCGAATTGACATCAAAATATATTTGCAATCAATTAACATGTCGCCGCTGCTCGGTGACAACGCGCAAACAGATTGTTTTGTCAAAATATATGTAAATACGATGATTGGAAACGATCGAATGTTAAACCGGTTAGCGAGAAAATCAAATTAAGTGCTAATTACACCGAATGTGATTGCTATCTGCGAACCGCATCCTAAGTTAATCAACTTTTATCCATTTTTTTTAAATGGAAAAAGCAGGCGAGCTTTGGAAATATTCCTAATTAGCTGACATCTTGAAAAGAAGTTTGTTGCCAACAAGAAATATGCCAATTTAGCGCCATGTTGACATCGCCAGTCACGCAGCAATGGGAGCACTTTAGCCCAAATCAGCCCTAGACAACTATGGCTAGACCTTTGAATACCTCTTTCGAAAGTGGCTAAATGGGGTATGTTGTGCAAGTGAATCTTAAGACTTGGCTAAATTCATAATGACTTTCTTATATCTAATTGAACTAGAATATGAATATGAATATGTGAATGAATATGAATTATGAATTATGAATGTGAATATGAATATGAATATGAATATGTGAATGAATATGAATATGAATATGACTATGAATGTGAATATATGAATGAATATGAATATGAATATGACTATGACTATGAATATGAATATGACTATGACTATGAATATGAATATGAATATGAATATGAATATGAATATGAATATGAATATGAATATGAATATGAATATGAATATGAATATGAATATGAATATGAATATGAATATGAATATGAATATGAATATGAATATGAATATGAATATGACTATGACTATGACTATGACTATGACTATGACTATGAATATGAATATGAATATGAATATGAATATGAATATGTGAATGAATATGAATATGAATATGAATATGAATATGAATATGAATATGAATATGAATATAAATATGAATATGAGTATGATATATACATACAACAGCTTTCTGCTGGGTAACTGCTAGTCGGATACACTCGACCAGAACACTCTTACCTGTTATGGCCAGGTACACATTTGCTGCTGCAGCTGCAGCTGCTATCGCAGTTGAGCGCAATCAGCGACTGTCAATCGCTGTTGCAATCTTCAGAGTTTGCTGTCATCGCAGCAACGTCTTGAGGTATTCCGCTGCGCCGTTGCTGAATTTCACAATTTAAACGTGATACAGGGCAAAGTAGACGCTGCAGATGTCGCTGTCGTCTGCGCTTCGCTCTTAACTTATGCATGAGCTAAACAGATGAATGCAAAATGCAACATTCTGGCACTTATAACCAATTTGCTGTGTTCCAGGTTAGACAGACAACGGGAAAGCAACAGAACAATGGGAGAAACAAGTAAAAGTGCTTTAGTCGGGGGTGCTTGACTAGCAGATACCCTGTAAGTCGTGTCGATCTGCTGTTGCAAGCGGCTTGGCTTTAATACATGGGGTATGAATGTGTCTATGATGCAATCTGATATTTTTAGAGTATGTGCGGGAGTTACTCAAATGGTATAGACGAGGAAGTAGGCGTATAAGATAGTAGAGGCCTTAAGATACTTTATATGAATTTATACCCATTTTGTGTGTGTGTTTGAGATGTGCATTAAGTATACTTAAATAATCGATTTGTATGAATTATACATTTAAAAAGTTATCGATAACTTGAAGATGCGATAGCATACCTTTATATCCTTAAACAATATTAGGTTGCATATGGAGGCAATTTGAAAAGAGAAACCAAATTTAGATTTTAGCTCATAAAATTTGGGAGATATGCCAAAAACAGAGAAAACAGAAGCTTGCTATCGATTTTAATCGATTTTATGGAAGCACTTGCCGTTCCACTCCAGGCTTAAGCCTGGCTCTACCCTTGATTGTGATCAACTTTACATGTGTATATGTAGAAATCTTTTCATGGATTTCATAGAAACAGAAAATAAGTTTTCATTCAATATCTAGACTAACTGTACGCGACTCTGCGCTTGATTCCGTTCAAGTATATATGTCTCAAATTCTTATAGGCTGTCTGAAAACAACATACCCTGTTTCAGTCAACTTCTGTGGCTCTGCCGAACTTATCACTTACCACTTACAACTCTCCCACTGGGATCAACACATTTGAGTATTCAAAATGTTTTTGCCCGCTTCTGCTACTTACAGTCAGGCGCGGCAAGCAGCCAAGCAAGATGATACAATGCGACAAGAGTGCGGCTGGCTGTCCGGCTCAGCCATCACACACTAAATTAGACATACACAATTTCTCCGAGGACCACAATAATGGGCCGTCTGAGCCGGCCGGCGGCCGAGATGGAGGCGAGTCGCAGCCGCAGAATGCAGCAACAATAATTTTAACGCCGACATCATTAAATTTAACAAACCCACCGCCAAATGCAACACACAACAATAGCCGGCCGAATGCAGCAGACACTGACACCAATGGCCGGGGTTATTCAGCGCACGGCGAGCACTACAAAGGACCCAAGTGGTAAGTGGAAAATGCTCCATTGGGGCCTGGGCGGGGCCTAAGCACATTTATGGACCCAACAACGTGAGCGTCGCTCTCTATGTGTGTGTGTGTGTGTGGGTGTGTGTGTGTGTGTGTGTGTGTGTGTGTGTGTGTGTGTGTGTGTGTGTGTGTGTGTGTGTGTGTGTGTGTGTGTGTGTGTGTGTGTGTGTGTGTGTGTGTGTGTGTGTGTGTGTGTGTGTGTGTGTGTGTGTGTGTGTGTGTGTGTGTGTGTGTGTGTGTGTGTGTGTGTGTGTGTGTGTGTGTGTGTGTGTGTGTGTGTGTGTGTGTGTGTGTGTGTGTGTGTGTGTGTGTGTGTGTGTCTGTCTGTCTGTATGCGCTTTTGCTTAACTCTTTTGAATGCACTTCCGGCACAGACAAGCAGACACAGATATATATATATATATATATATATATATGATTACATATATATACACATACATGCATGCACACTGGCAATGCACGCGCTTTTCGCATATCCTTTATATGCCCTGCAGTCGTTTGAATGTGTGAAGAGGGCATTTTGTTTTTGTGATGATGTATGTAACAGGCTGCAGCAGCTGTGGCTGCGTCTAACGGGTATTACTGAAGTGTATGTACTTGATGACAAGCAGCGTCGATTGTCTGGTCTTTACTTCATCTATTTGAAAAATTTATGCATAAAATTTGATTACTTAAGCATGACTTGAGGGTCATAAAAGCTAGAGAAACCAAATTTGGTGAGCAGGTTGTTGCAAGGAATCTAAGCTTGGGATTATTTGTATTTTCAGCTACTTAGCCCTCATTTTATCTAGTAAATTGTGAAAGTAATGCAGTTAAATAAACGGAAGCTTGGTATTGTTATACCTATATATATAGCTGTATAATTTATTCCCTGAAAGTTTCATTCCGATCGTGCAGCTAGAACCAGAGTTCAATCAAACTATTTTCCAAAGTGAAGTGTGTGTATGTATCTATATATATATATATATATACATATATGTATGTATGTGTGTGTGTGTGAGTGTACTTGTCTATGTGCTGGTTTCCCTAGCATCTGCCTTGACCGCGCTAGTCACAGCAGCTATACGGTACGGTTAGGATATTTGCTAGTCGTGCATACCCAGCGCGTTCACGCCTACTTGTTGTTAAGCTTGTTGCTGATTGTTGTTAGACATCATATTTTGCTTTGTGTTTATTTTATGTTGCACTGCCAGTGTCTGCTATATTGTCAAAAAGTGTTTCCGTTGCTTCGCACAAATGTCTGGGTTTGGCCTCTGCTTCTTCTGCTCCCTTTTTGGGGCTTGGTGTTAAGCTTATGTGCAAAGCATTGATGTGCCTAGTTTGGGGCAATTATTAAAGTCTACTAGGGTGTGAGGGCAGCTGTTGGCCCTGCGTCTACTTTGACAAATTGATGAGCAAGGCCAGAAAGCTGTACGCATTATTGATGGTCTGCAGACAGACAGATAATTAATTAAGATGAATAGATGAAATATTGGGCTGGTTTACCTTCATAAATATGGGCAGACCTATTTCAAAGAACATGCCCGCACGCAGTTTGACAGGACGTTTTAGGAATTCCATATAGCAGTTGAGGATCTTTCGTGTCGCCACCGAGTACTCCAGCCAGTTGGTGTTGAATACGCTGTTTGTCAGCTGATGAGCCGAGAAGGTCAACTCGTTGCCATAGTAGCAGGGCAGAAAGATTTGCACTATCATCACGCCCACAAACTGGAGAGTGGTGGCGAAGACGCCCGGATTCGATTTGCCCATTTGCACCAGGCGATAGAAGCTGAAGCAAATGATTAAGGCGCTGAGCACAAACTGCGAGACGACATAGGGCGAGACCAGGATCTCACATTGCTTTGTCAGAGTGCGAAGGCGCCTGTGCAGCTGAAAGATATGACGCAGCTCTGGAATCGCCTTCACCTCCGATGTTTCCCGCAGTGCCAGCAGGCGTCGATTCAAGAGGCGGTAGAGCAGCCCTATATGAAACATGAAGTAACAGCCCATCGTGTCCAGCAGGCAGTTGGAGAGGCAAGACAATGTCATTGCCAAAACATTATAGCTCCAGGCGTAGAAGTAGCGCTGCGGATTTTGCCACTCGAAGGGCACATAGTAGCTGAAGGGCAGCTCGTATGTGTCCTGGTAGAGCACGCTCAAGTAGCCCGTCAAGCCAACTACAGAAGTTCCTCCGATGTAGGTGTAAAAGATGCGTTGAAATGTTTTTTGTTCGCGTTGCCAGAACACGATTTCATCGCTTCTCAGTAGTTTGTACATTTCATGACGATCCAGTTCATCTATAAACTGAGCAGCCTCTTGGCGTCTGTACCAAATGTTCAGAATCTTGATGAGCATTACCAATATGGTCAGCGCCATATATAGAACATTGCCAGCCTGTGCCACGTCCTCAGACCTGAATACTTCGATCCACATGAGCGCTGCGTAGGTGAAGGTTAACGGTAGATGTAGAACAAATGGATAGATTCTCTTCATGATGTGCCAGTCTTTGTCTTCATTTCGCCATTTCCAGATGCCCAACCAACGGTTGACTGCAGCTACTTTTCGTATTGCCACTATGCGATCCATAGCTTCCGACATTTGCCCTAAAACTCTTAACACTCAATGCCTAGTTTGCAGCTAGAAATTAGCTGCTTTTATAGACTCCGGGGCTTTGGGTCATATATCATGAAAATTTTATAAATGCCTCTCGTATACAATTAGTATATTCAAAACTTCAGATGCCATACCGTCAGACCTCTCTCTCTCTCTCTCTGTCTGTCTCCCTCTCGCCTTCTCCTCCTCCCGCTAAGTCAACCCTCTTTCAGTCAGTGTCACTTCGACGAGGTTAGTTTAGTTCCTAGCTGAACTGTTATACTTGTTGTAGATTGAATCCGAATCACATTAATTGCAATGCTTAATGTGATTATTTGTTCAAAATGAACTAGTTCCGTTCATCGAGAGCTGCCAGCCCTGCGCGCATTTCTAATTGCTCTTCATATTTACGTATTTAAAACCAGAATCCAATTACAATAATTAGCTCGTTGACATATTAAATAACCTTAATTGTTATTAATCGTTTATTGAACAAGTCACGCGATTTCTCACTTCTATCTACCAAAAATAATTCGAATAACTCCGACATTGACAACATAGCGCTCGACCTAAGCGCAAGCGAGTGTCACATAAAATGTTCCTAGTGAGAATTTCTATACTTTACTATTTTCTATTAAGTATTTTATTGTTCTGATATTTGTTTACTTAAATAAGATTTCAAAGACTAAACTAAAGATATAAGATTTTTTTATCATTCTTTTAAATTCTTTTGATCAAATGTCTAGAAGAAAGATAAAGCGAATTTTACATGTGATTTTTGTACTTTGGCATGGAGTGGCAAAATTGTGTTTTAGTTGAGATTGCACGACTAGAAGCTATCCCGCACTACAAACAAAGCTATTTTCTATATATAAAGTAGTATAGATCTTAATACTTATATCTGAATTGTACTTTAGAAATTAAGCGAAACCTCAACAAAGCTAAATTGACTTCTGTGAACTTTCTGTTTTCCACTTTAGACTAATTCGGCACTTAAACTTTAATTAGCTTAAATTTTTTTTCCTTACCTTTCGAAAATATTTGGAATATTGAAAATAAATTTTTAGACAGGCTCAAAATTTTCTAAAAAAAATTAAAAAATATTTATGAGCAAATACTCAACGAAATTATTTTTTAAAATTCATAAATATTTTTCAAATTTTTTTTCAAGCTTAAGACACAAATTCTGAAATATTTTAAAAAATATGAAGTCAGTCATAAAACTATGGCTGATCAATGCGATATACTTTAGGGCGTGGCCACGCCTTCTTTTGCCTGTCTAGTAATCAATGAAGCTTAAGTAACAAAGTGTTTATTTTTATTGCACATTCTTAGCTTACAGTTCAACTGAAGTTCTATAACAAGTTTACTTTAACATTACGATTAAATCGACATAAATTCAGTTTACTTAGAAGCATTGAGCAGCAGCGCAAAGAAGCTGTAGGCATTGTTCATGGTCTGCAATAGAAGTGTGAATGAATTTCTATAGGGAATACCAAAGTAAAAACGTATTTCAAGCCAACCTTAACGAAAATGGGTAAGCCAACTTCGAAGAAATAGCCAGCACGAATCTTGACAGGTTTCTTGAGATGCTCCATGTAGGCGATGAGCAACTGGCGGCTGCGATTGTCGCACTGCAGCCAGTTGGTGTTGTAGACGTCGCTGGTCAGCTGATGGGCATAGACTGTGACCTCGTTGCCGAAATAGCAGGGTAGAAATATTTCGAGCACCATCACACTGAGGAACTGCAGCATGGATATAAACTGGCCCGGGTTGGCGCGGATGCCTACATGTTGCAGGCGATAGCCGCTGAAGCAGATGATGAAGGCGCTCAGCACAATCTGGGAGAGCACGTAAGGCGACACTAAGTTCTGAACCTGCAAGGTTAAGCTGAACGCAACATAAATTACGTATACGCCATGAGGTTCTCTAAGAAACGCACCTGCGTATGCGATTATGCAGCTTAAGAATGATAATCAACTTCTCTTTGAATCTCGTTTCACTGTTGACGTACTCCAATCCCTGGACTCGCAAGCCCAGCAGGCGATACAGCAGCGACAAGTGAAAGAGAAAATAGCATCCAATAGCATCGAGGCAAACGTTCGAGACACTCGTCACAGTCATTCCAATCAGGCTGTAGCCATAGGCGTAGTAGTAGCTGCGCTCATTGCGATACTCGAAGGGCACAAAGTAGGCGAAGGGTAACTCGTAGTCGTTCAGAAACAAGACGCCAATGCAGCTGCTGTAGACAACGCCCAGACTCGTGAGCAGAAACAAATAGAAATACCATTTGAAGAGGCGTTGTTCCTGTTGCCACAAGCTCTGCTCCTGCTCCGATTGCAGCTCGTAATCGCTGGAGTGTTTCATATGGAACATTATCTGCCTGGCAGCTGCACTCCGATGCCAGATATTTAAAATTTTCACAACTAGCGCGATTTCCGTCAGAGACATGTACAGCACTTGGCCAGCCTGTTCCAAGTTGTTGGACACAAACGCCTCCAGCCACATGAGTCCAATGAAAGTGAACGTGATGGGCACGTGCAGCACATAGCGATAGTTTCCTTTAAGCAATGCCAGCAATTGGCATTCATCCTTAGACGTCGACCAAGGCCAGAGTCCGCCAAGCCGCATTATCCTCAATACCCAGTTAATGGCCTGTGTGCGCTGTGTTTGCTCATTCATTTCTACCTGAGCCGGAACCGAGTTAACGGCTTTTTATACCCACAAAACAAAATAATTAAAAGCAATTTGTCGATTATAAATTCGGGAAACAGCACGAAAGGACGTTTAAGCGGAGCTAGGACAAGCTCTGTTCACAGTTGATAAGCAGAGAAATTCTTAGAATACAAAAAGTAAGGGGAGCACCTGACTATGAAATATCCTGCAAGTCTGAAATGCTTTATATAAATAGATATAGTTTTCCCAAATAATATCGATATTATAGAATTGGAATGAGATATCGAGGAAAAGTATTTATATAAAATAGCTTATGGCATACCATAATTTATATATCAAGTTTCAAGTATCTAGCTTTTCTAATACTCGAGATTTAAGAAGAATCTATAAATTCAATTCGGCCATATAGAATCAGTTTTTTCTATAAATGTTACACATTCATGTTCTTTATTTTGGCTTATGCTGCTTACTGCACAAGTATACCTTTTTTTAATGAGATTCAATATATTACAGGGTATCTTTATGTAGTATAACTCATATAAGCCATTAGCTGTGCTCCATCTAACTCTGACTCTGTCGTTTATTTTTCTAGGTGGCGCCATTTAGTATTGCACTGGGGCCTTGTCTCGGAACACGTTGCGCTGCTTGTGATTTTCCTGGGACTTTGGACCTTGGCCTTGGCATTGCTGCCGAACTATGCGGCACCCGATACGGTTATCATGCGCATTATCTTGCTCTTCGTGGGTGCCCATCTGGCTGGCATCTTGGTGACGTTCATCCATCTGCCCGACATGCTGGGCATGCTCTTCTTCGGTGTCCTCTACACTAATGTGGGCTTTGCCAACTTCGAGGGCTATGAACGCTTCGAACTGTTTTTAAGGTGAGTGTTCGAGAGCTTAATAATAGTGCGCAATGAATGGATGAAAAATTAATTGCTGAAAGCTGAAAGCTCAAAATCTCTTTACAATTTGAGCGAATTGTGTTTGAGGTGTCTAAAATGAATACCAAGGCTCATAAAATTATATACAATATTGAGAGACTTCATGTGCAGAGTGCGACTGGGAAATATATTCTGGAAGACTGGATCAAGTTTTTCACTGAATAATGGGCATAGGAAGCTTTTTTCGCCAAGTGTTTTAATCTGAAAATTAATTATCAGATTCATGTCTTAGTTTAGATCGTAATAAGATTCTTTCTGTGAGCTCGAAATGAGTTCAAACCTTTAAAACATCCTTGAAGTAATAATTAAGATTTGAATTGAAGCCTAAAGCTTATTCAGAAGTAGCTAAATATCATTTCAACAAATACTAAAAATCACATTTTTATTACAACATCAGCACACAAAGATGTTAAATATGCCTTTAGAACTCTGTTATACATGTGTATAACACTTTTGCTACTCTTGAGGCCTTAAGAACTAAACTTTAATTTAATCTAATATATTTCACTTTACAAATCAATGTCATTAAGACCTAAGCTAAAAGTTATTAAGCTAAGCCTTACTTCCTATTTCTGTGCTACATGTGTATAACAGTTTTGATATAGAATAAGCTCTCACATTACATTACAACTTAAGCTTTACAAATGTGAACAATAAAATCGCATTATAAAGACATTAGCTTTCAGTGCTTTCATATTCTGTTATACACATGTATAACAGTTTCAACAAAAGCATAATCTACAGCCGCAAATCGTTTCCATTTCCATATCTACTCACATTGTCAGCCAAATCTTTGTAGTACAGTGTTCTATATGCTCGTTTATTGCAGAGAATTAGCTTTGATAAATATTATGCTGTTGGCTGGCCTGGGGCTGGATGCTGGCGCCTTTCGGCGCTTATGGCTGATGATATTGCGTCTGACGCTGCTGCCAACGATTTTTGAGGTGGCCGTAATAGCTGTGCTGGCCCATTTCACACTATCCATGCCCTGGCTGTGGGGCACGGCTCTGGGGTAAGTAGATCAATAAGCCAGCTGCTTAAAGAAGCTATCTATAGCTGCATTTATGTGGCACGGTTGTCTTCTAGGCTGGTCATCACAGCTGTCTCGCCCAATGTGGTTGTCACAGTCATGCTGAAGCTGAAGGAGGATCGACTGGGCCTGAACAGCGGCATTCATACTCTCATCTATGCAATGACCACGTGCAATGATGTCGTGGCCATTTTCATGTTTGGCGTCGTCATCAGCATGATATTCTCAACAGGTACGTGACAGCCGAATATGAACTGTCTGCTTCTGGCAAAGAGTACTTACATGCTTACTTGCTTACAGGCTCGCTGACACAAAAGCTATTGCAAGGACCCATTGGCATTGGAATTGGACTTGTTTTTGGCTATCTATATGGCATGCTACTACACTATTTGCCATCGCGTAATGCGGTAAGCATGGCAGGCACTGAAAAGCTTCAGCATTTGCACGAGGGCTGCTCGAAAAGTGAATGGCTTAACGGAGGTGGCAGACAGCCTTTTGGATAAGCATTTTCGCATAGACTTCTATTACGAGAGGGCTACTAAAAATGCTATATATTCCTTGTTGAGATCTCATTTTATCTTGAATTCAGTTTTGAAATGGCTTGAGGCAGTTAAATCTGCTTGAGACATCAATTAGAATTTTTAAACACTGGGAATTCGGGGTTTTGTGTGGCACCCCACATAAAGTACATAATTTCTTGATTATGATGACGACGAGCTCAGTCAACTTAGAGACTTTAATTCTTATTTGTGTATTCCCATATACCATATATAGATAACTTAACTGATTACTAATTATCGATTAGAATCAATATCCATATTTAGCCACTTTAATGCTAGTTGAAGCGTATCCTTTGGCAGACTTTCCCAGACTTAAATCTAACTCAACTCTGAGTTAGTCTGGAATAGAATCTTTCAACTAGAATTCATCAGTTTCGAGCGAGTTTAAACATATACTAAAGTGCTGCAGCTTCAAACTCAAGCTGCCTGTAGCTAACCCTCACTCTGCTCATGCCAGCCCTGCTACTGTTGTGACCACCCTCGCAGTCATAGTTGACTTTCACTGCATCACGCTGTTCAGTGAACACTTCTACACACTCAATCAGAGCATTTAATGGTATAAAACGTGGCGCTCGAAAGTTCTTCCTCGCTCTCGCTCGCATGTGTCTTCTTCTTCCACATATATATATTTATATGTATAACAGATATGTATAACAGAAATGTGCTTGCCCGCGTGTGTGTGCGTGTATTTTGGGCGCATTTTGCATAAAAATACACTTAGATTCCAAGCGACGACGCGTTGTCGACGCTGCCACTGGAGCTGGCGACATTTGCGACGACAGTTACTGCCGGCAACATCCCTGGAAACTTATGACACAGCTGCGCTGTGCTCGCTAGCTGCAGCTGCAGCTGAAGCTGAAGCTGCCGTTGCCTTTGCCGTTGCAGCCGCAAAACTCATTGCTGCAACTTACACCGCTAATGGTGCGCATAATCAAACGCCATGGGTGGCACTGAACTGCCTTTTGAACTTGCACGGAAATGCATATGCCACCATCTCGCTCTCTCTCTCTCACACACACACACACACACATGCACATAGACCACTCATAACTTTTGTTTTCCTCTGCAACATTTCCACTTGCCACAGCGCAAAAATTGCTAAAGTGTACAAAAATGTCATGCTGTGTGCTGCTGCTCTTAAGATTCCTGCATACATTCATAGCTATTGCTATTTATTGTCACTGCATGTGTGTGGGTGGGTGGTGTGGTCTCGTTTACTGACAACACGTTCTATAAACCATTTTTTTTACTAGAAATTACAACTTTTGGTATTTAAGACACTGTTTAGAAAATGAAGCGAGTTGGTTTATGCTTTACTTTCGTTTTATAAAGGGCATTATATTATGCGATCTATGACAATATGGAAACAAGAGAAGAGAGTTCTAAAGAACATAATTCAATTAGGTATTGAGCTAACTGAGAGTCAGAATGCAGCTGCTGCTTAAAATTCCTAGACTGTGTGACTTGATAAGACAGCAACACACAAGGTAGCTAATGCTAATCTAGTTTTAGAATAACCATAAAGAATAGTCTCTGCATTGCTTACTAAAGCATGTTTCTCCGTGTGAAGATTGTAAAAGTCGAGAAAAAAGAGATTTAGCAAATGATTTGCTTACATAACTCGATATATCGTCAAGGCAGATCTCAGTTAGAAGTCTTTTTGTCAGGCAAGTGGAACTGAAGTCATATGGAAATATGCTTAATGCTGAGCGCATAACTTGCTTTACTCAAGCGGCTTATTTCAACTAAACGTGTTCGTCCTTAGGATCGTTCCCTCGTCAACTGGTTAAGCATGGCTAAGCCAACTGCAAGGCATTCAACTGAAAGTTATGGCTAATGTCTTGCTGAAGGTGATAATAAAAAGAAATGAAGTGAAATATATAAATATATCTTTTAGCCAACATTCATGTGGGGAAGTTCCTTCCGGCTCTGTTATTTCGGCAACTCGATTTGCACTCATGTTGTTACCTTCCTCTTCTTATTAGGTTTATGCAAATGGACTGCGCTTCGCTCTGACGATGCTGGGCGGCACCATAGCCGTGATGGGCAGTCGAATTATTGGCTATACTTCGGCAGGTGCTCTCGGCTGTGTGATGCTGGCCTGCATAGGTGGCATTGGCTGGAAGCGGGAGGCGCTCAAAATGACGCCACAGCAGCTGCAGGCATATGAAATCGTAAGGCTCAGCTCGGTGTTGCAGTTGTTAAATGCCAAAAGTGAATTCTAATTGCAAACTCTGATCAATTTCTAGGCGAGTGTGCCCAAGCGCCTGGATCTGCTGTGGAAGTTCCTGAAGCCCGTCTCATTTGCACTCATTGGCAAGGAAATCAATTTCGCTGTGCTCGAAGGTCGCGTCATTGGCTATGGAGCGCTGTTGGTGGTGCTGGGCAGCTTGGTAATTGGCTTTGGCTTGTTCCTTCTGCAGAAATACTTTAAAATTAAAATTTAAAATCTTGTTTTCCTCTCTGCTTTGTCTTGCCACAGTTCCGCCTGGCTTTTGCATATTTATCTACATATGGCGGAAATCTGTCGAGCAGGGAGCGTGCCTACATTACAATTTCCGGTTTCCCCAAAGCAACTGTCCAAGTAAGTTAACATTTCCAACAACAGCTATGACGTTGCGGCGTAGAGCCAATGTGAAAGTGCAACTTTTTGTGTATACCCTGTAGAGCTTGGCAAGTGCTTGAATGAGGTATCTTGGTGTTATCACTTAGCTAACAGGCAGAGGAAGGCATTGTTTAACATGTGCAGTATTTATATATGATGAACTGCGTTGACCTAGTTCTGTGCGGCCTAACGTCTTTCTGTTTCCGCCTCTATAAATGCATTAATCTCGAGTACTTCAAAAGCTACAAACTTGAAATTTCAAATATATATTCCTATAAGCCATACGCCGCATAATTTAATTATTTTCTTCCAATATCTCACGTAGCTCGCATAATATAGAAAAAAATTAATGTTTTTGAAGTATTACTGGAGGGAAATTAGAGCTAGAGACAACAAATTTGGTCTGTACAATTTCGTAAAGAATATACAGATTCTAAATATTATCGATCTATCACCTTCAATGAATAAATGGAACGCATTTCAAGTATTAGAGTCTTGATATTTGGTATACACGCACATTTGCCTGCCATAATTATTCTCTGAAAATTTCATTAAGATCGTATGACTAGAACCTGAGTTCAATCAAACTATTTTACACAGTAGGGAGCTCAGAGCGGAACAAAAGCAGCTAAGTGTTGCTTATATCTTTTGTGAGTGTGTCTGGGCTGCTTGCAGCAGCCAGCGTATCTGCTAGTCGGGCACATCCGACTCAAGCACTCGGAATTGTTTCAGTTTGGCATCGGTGCCGGACATAACCCGTACCCATGGTTTTTTCGGTCAGCCATTATTTGGGTTATGTTGTTTTCCTCGAAAACCCAAAGTTATTCGTATTTTCGCATGATCATGTTGTTGTTGCAGCAGCAGCAGCAGCAGCAGCAGCAGCAGCAGCAGCAGCTCTTGACAATTGTCTGCAGTTGAACCGCAAAAGGACATTTTGTTCACATTGTCTGTGTGTTTGCCTTGCATTGCCTTTGCTTACGCGCTTATGTTGCGCTTCCCTTTTTGCGGTTGCCCGAAATGAAAATGTTACATTTGCTCACCTAACAAACTGCTGTTGTCGGCGCGGTTTTAACATGCCTCTTATTGTGGACTTAAGCGACACAGGCGGCAGTGCCCGACTAGGAGATACCCGTTAGCCTGTGCAGAGCTGCTAGCAGAATCTTTGCAGACTTATTGAATATTTTATATAAGCGGGAGTATGCTTTCAGGCTAGCTATGCTTCCCAGAGCACTCCACTTTGGAAAACAGTTTGATTGAACTCTGCTTCTAGTTGTACGAGCTCAATGAAATTTTTAGGCCATGAGCATAGCAGCCAAATGTATGTGTATGCCAAATACCAAGAGCTTGGTACTTAGAATGAGCGATTATGAGTTATCAAGTTGAGTTATCAAAGTAGAGAGTAGAGAGAGAAGGTTTTGTAATGCTTCTGAAATAGCAGAAAATACATATTGTCTCAAAAGTTAAGTTAAGCCTGAACTTCTCTTATTGAGTAAGAATATACTTTCAGAGTACGTTAAGGCCTTTACATACTTTTGCACGGCAACATAATACCCTGTTTACCCAGTTGCACTAGGGAATGTCATTTATAAAAAACCTCTGAGAGAGGGAGACAACTTAAATGTTGCTTAATGTGCGGTGAGCCCACGTAAGCTTTTCTGTAAATGAAACAACTTTTCATATGCGCGATTTGCTAGGCTACGGCTAAGCACTCCTATTATATTACGTATACGCAGCGTCTAACATTTTGCCCTCTTTTTTTCTCTGCTTTGCAGGCTGCCTTGGGCCCAGTCGCCTTGGATTTGGCTCGCTCGTTCCAAGGCACAATAGATATGTCGTTGCCGAATAATGTGCTCATCATTTCGGTGCTGGCTATAATATTCACGGCGCCACTGGGCGCCATTTTGATGCTGCGTCTGGCGCCTTTCTGGCTCAAGCATGGCGATCCCGTCGATACAGCCGAGACACCTGTGACGGCCATAGAACCAAGTCCGCTAAACAATCTCAATGCAAGGAACTCCGCAAAACTCTGAGCGAACGAGCTGGACATTTCTCTAGTGACATATCTAAAATAACATCTCGATCCATAGATAGTTTTATATAAATTTAATTTTAATAATTAAACTTAGGGTGCAGGATAGACTCAGTAAGTGTAAAAGTTTCTCAGCTGTCATAGATTTTTAGCTAATATTCTATATGTTTCTTCTATATATATTAAACGAGTTAATTTTCTATTCCTTTGGCCTGTTTCTCTACTGAAATTTGAAGTGAAATTTTTCAATTCACCTCATTACAAAAGTTGCATAAATTAACAGAAGTTTAACCCTAAGCCCAGAATAGCAGAAGAGCTTAAAGCCAACGGCAATCGCAGACAAAAACTTACCCAAAAAACGTTCTCAAATTTAATTGGTTTCATTGAATTGCTAATTATGATGGGATTTGTGTTAATCTGTGAACTGGATTTTAATAATTGCCCGGGTAATTAATTTAAAAGGATTTCAAGGCTTTACCACTGTCAGCATTGTTTGCTTATAAATATATTTGTGCTGTGTTTTGTTTTTGTTTTTGTTTTTGGCCTGCTTTTTAATATTATTAAACAATATAAGCTGACCGCTCATTAAATTCATTTTTTTATTAGAAAAGCCACAGAGAAATATCTCCTGAAATTCGGCTTGGAATAATATTTTAAGACTTGATTTCTGTTAAATGGAAATTTAAGCTGAATTCTCATGAATTCTTATAGAAATCATAGGCTTTAAGAACTCTTGATATTTTAATATCTTGATAACTTGCTGCTTACTTTACAACAACTATTTGAACAGAGTAGGATGAAAGTCTTTTAGGCATAGATTCTTTGATACCCTGACCCCATTCCACTTGGGAAATCGGGGTATAAAGGCTCATGAGTCTTCATTGATGCCATTTGGGCTTTATATTACATAAACTATAGATATTAAATATATACAATATGTACTATATTTATTATAATTACCATATTATATGTGCTATATATACTATATGCCATATACAATACAATATCTGCTATATATGAGGTCAGTTCAAAGAGTTCTGTGTATGTTGTTTTAAAGGCTTCAGTTTGGCACTTTTTTGCTTACTGATGCTCACAAGTTTTGCATCTTTGAGTGCTCAGTTAATGCTTGAAAACAGGTTTTGGGCCATCTTCGATTCTGCCAAATGCAGCAAAGAATCTTATAAGTAAACTTGGTAAGAAAATCATGTGGAAAAAATGTTTTCTTTGATATCTAGTTCTCAGTTAATTTTAATATTTAAATTAATTTTTAAAGTCATTTGAAATCTCGTATATTATTTTAAACATAGCTAAATATAATTGCCGAATAGATTAATAATGAATTCAAACAAAAAAATACTTTATTTACAGCACTCAAAGCTTGGAAATTTTCAATTTAACAACATCTCTTAACGAGCCATGCTCTGCTATAAAAAGTTACTTTCATATAAAGAATTCGAGCTTAACAAAGCAGTTAATAAGCATGGAGCAAAGCAGGAATTCATCAGCGCATGAATGTTTTGTGATTCAGTTTTATTCTCCATTTTATTTCCTTCAATCTCTCTCTCTCTCCCTGCAATTTGTGGCATGGAGCAAAGGCAAGTTGAAACCTGCAGGTAAATTAGTGTTATTAAAATAGTTACATTGAAATAATTGCGCAACTTAATGAGAGTTTTAATGAAAATGCTTTGGTTTTCTACTTTTTTGTATATTATTGTGATTTCCTTTTACAATGAAAGCACAAATTTATAGACTAAACAATCTAGGTGAAGCTTTGACTAGCTGCAACGCGAATAACTGAAGTTTATTTAGTTTACCTTTTGAGTTGATGTCCCTAGTGCTTGCAACAGGCAGAAGTAGGCGTGGCTAACACAGTTAAGTGCATGTCCTGTTGACAGTATTTATTATGGCATGTTTTTAACATTTTTAGAGCTAGAGCCAAACAATTTTGTATTTAGTTTCTGGAGTAGCATATAAAATTTTGATTTATTTTATATTTTGCATAACTGCTTCAAATGTATCGAAATCTATTAAATTGTTGTTCACAAATTTACTCTTCAAAAGATTTTTTTCATATATATTATGTTTTATATATTAAATGGAGTATTATGATTATTTGTTGAAAATTTCATTGAAATCTGTTGGGAAATACAAAAGTTATTAAAGAAAACGTCAAGTCAATTGGCAAAGCTTTGAGTTTGCCCTTTGGCTCAGGCATCTGCGCTATGCGTGTGCACACACACACACACACATATATTCTTACAAAGCCATGCATTCTTACATGCATTCTATAAATAGAATTGCAAGTCTCATTGAATAGCATGGGAAATGCTAGCAGCGCTGCTTCCTTAGCTTGCCACTTAGAGAAAAAGTGTTGAAGTCGAGAGGTTGAACAAAGTCTGCTCGTTGACGTTCGAATTCTGATTGGGACAAGCAAATTCAAGGTTCATGCTTGCTGTTTTATTATGTGATTAAAATTCATACGCTAAAGCCGAGGTGAGGGTATTTACTAAGCGAGCATGCCCTGCTAGAGAGACGCTTGAATTGAAGATATGCAAGAATTTTAGCAGCATCTGCTTAGCTGAGGCTCACTCTTGAGTTCTCTGGGTAAACGAAATATAATGGGCAAAGGAATAGAATCTCAGGCAAGTGCACAATTACGGCTAAGCAATTGAGTTATGCCGCCTTTCAATCACTCTGAAATGGTTGTTTGGCACGCCCGCTGGCCTAATCCTTCGACAATCATTGCCCTTATCGCAGCTCATTTGAATTGCTGTATAAACACACACATATATATATACCTCCATAGATCATGCTTATCAGCGCGGCTAATGCTCGTAGTATTTTCCTGTAAATAAAATAAATTTCATCACTTTATTATTGTAATTCGCATGGCAAATTTCTATAGAATCGAGCGCCACTTTCCCGCCTTTGTGTGCCAACAGACAACACGCATAACACAAATACCACGACAAACTACAAGAAACAATTCACAAAAAAACAGAAGGCAATTGTGAACTTGACAGTCGGGCATGCGCAACTGCTCAATACTCGCTCAAGGGCCAGAAAACATTATTAAAGTGAGAATGTTTTCCTGGTCTATCAATGAGAGCAACTTCAACTTTAAAGGAACTAAGCAAGATATGAAATTTCTAACAAGAAATGCTTGACTTGCAACTACCCGGCATTTTGAGTTATTCTAGAAGAAATTGCCCTTTGAATATTATCTGATCATTAGGCATGTATTAGATGTAGATAAGTTATTTTACTTATAGATAAGCTTATATTCAGCTATCAGATCATAGAGCTCTAGCTGTACGCAGATTCTAGCTGAGAGAATTTAGGATTGGTTGCGCCTTATAGTGGACTTCTACGTACAATTTCTGATCTATATTTAGACGAGCTTTGTGATAGGCCTTTATTATGTTGTTCTAGCTGTAAAAGCGGATTTATTATTAGTCTAATGGACTTAGCTGTGTTACTTTTAAATCTCTCCTCAAATTTCATATTTTTAACTAAAAAAAAACTCAATATTTAATAGGCCTTATATTGAAATTCGAACTTCCCACGGCTCGCAGGCACTTAAACTGTAAAAAAAGTGCAGTGAGACATGTTCACTGTGGCATTTGGAGCTTAAATGCAGGTATCAGTTATCAGGTGTCGTTATCAGGTAACAAACTGTACAGAATTTACAACAAAACTGTGAAAGTTCTATTCCTTTTTCGCCTTACCTTACCGGGTGTATGAGAGGCGGGCATACGTCTCTAGTTTTCATATAGACAGTTAGAGTAAGCGACACGCTACGCACAAAGCCAATATACTCGTTTAGTTCATGCATGAACGGGCATCGAAAGAGTACAGAAAAGTGGAGCTGAGGCAAAAATCAAATCAAAAAGTTCACAAAAATGCCAAAACCAGCAACGAGACGACAATACAGAGAGAGGAGAGAGAGAGAGAGAGAGAGAGACAGAGATAGGGGAGGAGAAGGAAAGAGTGAGTGCGAGAGAGAGAAAGAAATTGTGAAGCAAAAATTAAGTTATAAAATTTTAAGGGCCGAGTGCGGTTTAATTTCCAAATGCCACGCCAGCCCCAGACACAGGTGGGCTAGGCAGGTATGTCGGCTGGTTGGAATTTAGCGAGAGAGAGCGAGGGAATGGGGTGGCGTTTGGGGGTGGTTTGATTACCATAAACACAAGCAAAAGTAAACTCGGTTTGACGGAAGCGGAAATCAAGAAAAACAAAAAGAATGAGCTTAAATGAAGTCAAAGTTTGTGGTTCGCACAGTCAATTAATAAAGTTTCGTTGCGTTTGAGTTGACTGTTAAAATTTCAGAGTTATAAGCGCGCAAATTATGGCTTACAACAATGGCCCAACAATAACAACGAGCACAGCAACAGCAACAGCAACAGCTAAAGCCAAACAATTAACATAACGAAGACACATCAAAAATCCACCCACTCCCAGAGTGGAATGCGGAATTTCTATGACGAAATGTGCTCGAATCACGTGATGCGACGCACTCACTGGCCTCGTCTCATTTGTGTCTGCGCCTTGTCATTTGTTCGCTTTATTAGTTCGACTCTTGTTTCGTTCGCCGTGTCCACTCAGCTGTCGAGGCGCCGCCAGGGGCTAGGCTCAAGTCTGGGCTTTCACTTCTAACACCCGTTAACAGGCGCCTGAACAACTCACTTATGCTCGTTCATCAGCCTGAAATGGGCATATTGGCTTTGAGAACTCAGGCAGTTGGCTTGGAGCGTGTCTCGAAAGGCAGCTGACAACTGGAGCTCGTCTATAGCTGTGGCTGCTCAGCATTTCACAAAGTGGCGTGGCCAGGCGAGCTTACATGAGAGCTTGAAATTTTAGATACAATTTCTCTTTAGGATCTATGTTCCAAAGTTTTTCATTCGTAACTCAAAGATTTGACAGGCAAATTGTAGTTGACCTCAGTGGCATCGCCCTATTGGTATATACTTGGTATACAATTTACTATATATGTGTATATATAACGGTAAATTAAGCATCCCCTTGCTACTACCTTAGCTTTTCAAGGCGCTCCTATGCCTTGAAGGCAAATAGACTGGGGTAGAATTTAATAGCTTATACAATATTCAATATTCAATATTTAATATTCAATATTTAAGTTAAATTCTCAGTAAAATCTCAGTAAATTCGAATCTGCATCTAAAGCAACTTTATCTTTGATGACACCGTCAATTTCCTCTACATTAGGCTGCAGAAGCGGAGCTCCTTTTCTCGTGTTTTGAAATCTGAAATACTTTTAGTATATATAACTGAAATATATATATTATAAACATGCCTAGGTTATATATACATCTCTCTTAAACTGATTTATGTGTACCATAAGTGAGTGACTGTGGATCTCCTCAATGTAGATCTCCTCAGTATAGATGCGCATTATCTCTATGATATATTGTTTATAACTGTTGAGTATTCAGTTTATATATAGTTTGTAGTATTCTTCAGCTTCAGTGAGCATATCCATATGCATTTCTAATTCATGATTGTAGCTAAGGTATACAGTCTTCACAGCCTTTACAGTCCTGCTGAATGTCGCGCAACTCAACAGATTGTACACGAAGTAATATATATGTATAGAGGCGTGGCATCACTGATATGACTATATAAATTAAGCAATTGAAGCGCTGGCATTTATGTGTAGCTCAGCCTAATAGCTCCCAGCCTCAAAGTCTAGCAGTTGCATCTTTGGGTACTATCTCTAGACATAACTAGAGAATCAAGTGTAGTTTTATCTATAGATCTGTCTATAGATCTATCTATAGATCCAGCTCTGTCTGTAGATCTATCTGTTTATATATTAGTTAATCTAGTTGTAGATTTTTTGCTAGATCTATCTATCTGTAGACCCTGTCAGTAGATGTATCTATTTATCAGTTGATCTATCTGTAGATCTAGCTGCAGATCTGTCTATAGATCTATCTGTATATCCATTAATTAAATTATTTGAAGATCTTTCTGTAGATCTATCTATAGATCCAGCTCCAGATACATAGTAATATCTGTAGATACATCTATAGTTCTATCTGTAGATCTAGCTGAACATGTATCTATAGATCTATCTGTATATCTATTAGTTAATCTATCTGTAGCTCTATCTATAGATCCAGCTCTAGATACATTTGTAGTTCTATCTGTAGATCCAGCTGCAGATCTATCTATAGATACAGCCGTCTGTCTGCATATAAACCTAAAATAAGAAATTTTAAACTTCAACTTAAGCAAAATTTGATTCTTGCTCAGTACCAAGCGAGTATCCAGCAGTCGTTGCCTGCCGATTGGCTCAGTACTTACCCGTTTATGACTTGTTTCAACACATGTTCTCATGTAAACTGTAGACAAAATAGTTGGGCGTCACGTCAGGCCACGCCCAGTTCGCTAGCTCATTAATGAATGTGTTTTGCTTTGGCTTTAGTTTTTCTTTTATTACAGACACAAAAGTTTTATTGCACAAAGTAATTTGGAAGAAGGCAAAGGCCTTTAGTGGCTTTTGCTGCTATTCGATTTACCATATCTCGCGGCAGCGTCCGCGGCTGTCGGGCAGGTAGCCGGGCTGGCAGGGGAAGTCGATCATGGCCACTTCCATGATCTTCTCAGTTGTTGCAGCTGACGAGGGCCGGGCCGTTGTGGCCTCATAGTCCGCCAAGACCTGGCTCTCGTCCAGCTCGACGCACTGGTTGGGCTTGCCGCGTATCACTTTGCTGTTGGGGCACTCGATGCGCTTCAGGCAGTACTTGACGCAGGGCCGCGGCGCTGCCACGTTCGTCAGCTTCTTGCTGCACGCGTAGTGCGCAGTGCATTGTGGCTCCACTTGTGGCAAGTTGTTGTTGATAAACAATTGCTTAACTGATCTGGCAGTTGTCGTCGTCGTCGTCGTCGTGGTTCGATGCAGCAGCCGCGAGAGCAGATTCCCCTCAGCGTTACAATGTAAGCAGCCAGCACAGAGCGCCAATAGAATTAATAAAGTTTTCATTTTCTATAAGTGAGTGTCGACATAGAAATGCGCCTCAAGCGCTTAAGCCACATTCAAATGGAATTGCTATCAGCTGAGCTGGGCTGAGCTGAGCTGAGTCGCAATGCTGCCATCGATAACCTTTCAACGCGCGACAGATAGAAGAACTTGAAAAAAGCAAAACAAATATTTAATCGTTTGTCTATTAACTTTACTATCAGCTATACCCTGTACTTGCAGGAATGCAAAGAGAGTCGATTAGCTGCTTGGGCAATGCTGGAGGCAAAGTAGAGGGTATCAGCGGGTTGCTCAGCCAAGCAAAGCAAAGCACAAACTATTTATGTGCGAGGTATATTAAGAATCGCTTTGTATACGAGGCTTTAGGCTTGAAGTTTCTCTACTTCAGATGCCAATTCAGAAAACTTTTCATTATCAATGTCTGACAGATACGACAATTCCAGAAATTTCAAGCACGCTTAATAGTATTTCTACCCTGAACTCATTGACAATGCGCTTTTAGGGCATATTGGTTGTTTGATAGTGCATGCAACAGGCAGCAGAAGGCGTGGCGAAGCTTTAGTTACATAACCACAACACTCCAATATATTTAAGGTGTATATTAAAGCTTACTTAGAGAAAGATCAAGTCATTCCACTCAAGCTTAGTCTCACTACACTCAGAGCTTTGAAAGTAAAGTAACGGCAGAATTGTGTCAATAAGAGCTTTGCAAGTAAGGCAACTGCCCAATCAGAGCTTTGCCACGGTAAAATCGGGCAATCTTAAAGCTATCGAGTGCAGCAGACAAGGACGATGAGCTCAGTAGATCTAGCCTTTTCCGTCTGATCGAAAAACTAAGAAGTGCAAATGTTAACTATAAATTATATTATATTAAATTATATTATATTATATTATATTATATTATATTATATTATATTATATTATATTATATTATATTATATTTGATAATTCAGTTAATTTGCTTATTATCGATAAAAATCGATCATTTGATAGGCTTTTAAAAAGTAGCTTGAATAGCATAAAAAAATAATGAATACACAGATTTGGAATAATTCAGACTTGAAATAACTATTCTACTTCGCCACAAATTTCAAGCCATTGCATATAGTGGAGCCTTAGTCTTGGCACAGTCTCTCATCTGGGTGGCATTATAACGCTCTGAGTGTGCATGTAAAGGGAAAAGCTCAACAATACATTTCTCAGAGTAAAGCCTATTAGTGCAGTCCAAGTTTCGGTGAAGCGTAAACAGAGCTGTGCATGTATCAAAGCAGCGTAGCATGCTTGTAATAGCAGCTCTGCGCACAGTTCAGGGTGTTTCCCAGTCAGGCACTCCCCACTAGAGCACGCTTACTTGTTTATGCTCAAGCTCAAGCAATGCTTTGAACTGTCTAGCAGACAGTCTGCTGCTATTAGGAAACACTTCACATGCACTCTCTATATGCCATGCCATGTTCTAATTTATAATTTCAATATAATTTACTGCAGAGAGGCCTGACTTTGATAGTATTAATAAAGCATTAAACATTTTGCGTAACGACTTCTGTGGCTGTTGCTGCTGCTGTTGTGGATGCACTAGCTGCAGCAGCGAAACCATTTGAATAATTGATATAAATTATATCCGAATGCTGTCAAAATGCATTTTATGTACGCAATTATTAATGATGATTATTTTGCACTAGGGCAAGGCAAGCGAATGCAAACAAAGGCATTAATTTTACTTTAGAGCCAATTATTGATGAAGCAGCTGAGGCTGAGGCTGAGGCTGCGGCTGCGGCTGAGGCTGAAGATGCTGTCCGGTATTCCCCATTGGGCATATGCCTCTAATAAGTATTAACATTTATTGCTTTTGGCGAGATGCTGTGCATAGAAAAATCGATGTGAGAGCAAAAGCAGACCGGAAATTGCCAAACACTGATACTTCCGCCGGAAATAAGCTCAATTGTAGTTGAGTTGAGTGCGAGTCCACTTGCTGTGCGAGTCTCAAAAACTTTATGTATTTACTTAAACGAACTTTAATATCATTGCCTTCCACATAAAGTCGAAGGCCAACCTTGAATGTCTTTGTTTTTCACACATTTCTATAAAACATGAAACTATCTTGCTGTACATAACTCTGAGGCCCGAGACAGTTAACACAATAAACAGATCATAATCTGTGAAACTTGAAAGTCAAATAAAATAAATAGCATTTGCAGATAGTTTACGACGAGCTAAGTGAAGGACTGACTCGCTCGGCAAGTGACAAGGATGTGGGCCTTTTCCATTCTATTTAATAGCTGGAAGAGAGTTTATAGACTACAGTTGCTGATTCTAGTTAATGCCACATATGAACTTCATATAAAACAGCTGAATAAGGCTCTAATAGATAGATAGATAGATTTCCTTGTTATGCTAAAAGTTATCGATAAACTTTTATTGCGAGGGCTGCTTGCTTTTATAACTCAGTTGTGCTTCAAAATAAATAACGTTTTCATAGCATTGGCAATTATTGAATTGAAATTTAATGATAAATGATTACTAAACCTGAGCTGAGGAGGCATTAGACGGCTTTTGGCATTGCCTTTAGCTGTGTTTATACCCACAAACTGACCTGGCGTATTCCAACTGCAACCTTTTGGCGCTGCTTTGTCAATAAGTGAACTTACTTATGGCTAGGCGAACATACAGTGGTATACAGAGATGACGAACGAGCACTAGTTGAGCTAGTCAAGAATACAAAGTCAACCTCAGACTCTGGTTGCAACTATCATTTGTCAGATATTCGAGTTACTTTCAGCTGTTGCTGAAGCTTGAATAAGTTTTTTGTAGTTGATATTTGTTGCTTATTCAATTTGACACACATTTTCAGATTTCAGAGAACTCATTAGAATCTCTTTTTCCACTATCCCTCTGTCGCTCTTTGCCCCTCTGCATGACCTCTCCCTTTCTTCTTCTTTAGTTCCACTCCATCTTTAACCCATTATTGATATTCACTTATTAAGCGTATTAATTGAACAAATTTACATCAGCTTTCTTTTCGTACTTAAGCCTCAATGGGCGTAGTCCAGATTTTAATATCTATTCACATTTTCCATTTATTTTCAATAAAAAATTAATAGAAAATATAAATTTGGCACTGAAGCTGATTATAATTTGTATTCTTCCATTTAGGGAGTGGAAAACTAATTGTTGGAATAAATTAGAGGACTATCGCGATAGCATTGCATTTCGGGTAAAATATTATTATTAATAATTTATCGATCGGCAGTCGATTGGTAATTTCCATGTCCACGAACGTGTTCAAGGGGCAAAGCGTGTGTAACGTGCTTGATAAACCTTTGTTTGAGCTCCGGAATGCGAACACGATTTACCTGCAGCACAAATTTATCTAGATTCACTTTAGCCAACCATTTAATTGCACACAAACAGGCAAAACGCAATTTACCCGATTAGCGTCCAATTAATTTCGGGTCTACATTATTTGAAACATAAATGAACATTGGAAAAGTCAGTTGGCTGATAACAAAGGCAAATAGAGAGCAGGCCTTCTGGCAGCAGTTGCCATTTGTTGTTTACTTTACAAAATGTAATTTGATTTTGATTTAGTACATGTTTTATTCACTTTGGTTCGAGACAAATGAATTCGAGAAGTTTTCCATGGTATTCGAAATATGATTCGCTGCGCTTTCCCTGACCTTAACTCGTTCGTTTGGCATTCGATTTTGATTCGCTTATTGATTTGTATAGCAGTTAGATTGACCGTAACTAAACTACTTCTCGTCGGGTTTCAGAAGCCTATTGATTCAGATATTTAATATGTACTTAGCTTTAGAACAATTGGAAAGCTTTCCAACTAATTTGCTGAGCTTTGAGTAGCTCTAACTCGGGCATTATATAAGACATAGGCTTATCTATTTACATTCAAATATTTTCAACCTGAGTCTGTGACACATCCGAGAATTTTGTGATGTAAACCCTCAACATTTTTCATAAATTCGGTTTCAATTCGGAAGTCGATCAGTATTGATCGTTAAATTTGTGTTAAAATTTAAATATTTTCTACTCAATTTTAGATTGTTATACCTGTTCAGAAGCATATTTTTTCAGAGACTCGTTATATATTTATTATTTATTAATTAATTTACTAATTAATTCTTTCATTTATTTATTTATTAATTTATTTATTTGCTTATTCATTTATTTATTTATTTATTTATTAATTTATTTATTTATTCATCTATTTATTTATTTGTTTATTTATTTATTTATTTATTTATTTATTTATTCATTCATTTATTTATTCATTCATTTATATATTTATTTATTTATTCATTTATTTATTTATTTTATTATTTATTCATTAATATTTAAATATAAATTTATTTACTTATTTATTTATTTATTTATTTCTTTATTTATTTCTGTATTTATTTATTTATTTATTTATTCATTTATTTATTTATTTATTTATTTATTTATTCATTTATTTATTTATTTATTCATTTATTTATTTTTTTATTTTTTATTTATTTATTGCTTTATTATTTTATTTCTTTATTTATTTTTATTTATTCGATAAAATTTTAATTTCTGGAGGAGTTTACTTGACTCCGAAAACTACTTAAATTGAGTTTTGAATAGTTCTAGTTCTTAAGCCTAACTTTCGATTGATTCACAGTCTACAACTAGCTTAAGTCAAAACTCTCAATTGATATTCAAAAATGTCAATGCTGAAATGTTGCCATTTTCGAGCTCTTATAATATTGCAATCCTTGTTAACTTTTGACTAGATGTAACTGAAGTAATATGAACTGAACTAGCTTTAGCAAAGCTTTTGGCTTTTTGTTTCGCAAGTGCAATAAACACTAAGAAAAAATTGTAAACGATTTTCCAAATTAGGAAACAAATTACTCAACTCCGAAAATGAATGCCCTAAACTTGGCACGAGTCCAGCTCGATATCAGATTTGTTGAATGGAAAACCTGTTGGGACGCTTACCTCCACAAGGAATCGAGCCAAGTAGCCTCCATTGAGCATGCTTCGCACTATTATGTATGGAATAAATAGTGTGTTAA